CCCTTAATTATCATTTGGCCGCGAGGGTTGATCGTTTATTATTTTTTATTGCCACAGAAAGCGACGGGTGGTGTAAAATTTTATTCAACTCTAAAAGAAGAAAAAATTTACAATTTTATAGGTTCGAAACTTTTTATAAAATAATTTCAAATACACATTTTTTAAAGAAATGAAAACAAGGTTTTTATTTAAAATTAATATGATTTAATTCTGAACGATATTTTATAAACATTTTAGTATCAAAATCGAACGGTTTTTTTACTTCATCAAACTTGCTGCAATTTAATGTTTGTTTATAATTACCAAACACTCCTCTCTTCCTAAATTATTATCTCGTTGAAGGCATCAAAAATTGTCTAGGAAAGTCCAATAAAAATTAAGGTGCGTCAGATTAATTAGCTGCTGATAAATTTAGAGGAGCATCAGTTTTTCATTATCAAAATTACCTGTTTTCCTGTAAAACCCTCAATGGACTTTCATTATTTATGTACTTCGTGACTATAAACTATATAAAAATTAGATTTAAAAATTAAGATCTAAATACACTGATATTCAGAAAAATATAGAATAAAATCCTTTTTTTTATAAGATAAATTTTTGTTTATAATATTTTCCCCCTGTTATGCAAAGAAAATGTTTGTCTATAATTATTTTCCATTTAAATGAATTATAGTAAACTCTAAAACGCAATTTTCTGTGAAGATTCACAAAATTGTATAGACACGCACTGCCGGAATTTTTAATTAAAATATTTCCAGTAAAACGTCTAAGAATTAATGGGCTCGTGCATCTACGCGTTGGAAAAAAATATGAAATGCCTGACCAAAACGTAATTATGCCTCCTAATCTGATCCCACGCACATCAATAATAAAGGGGCACACACACACAAAATTTTCTCTCTTCAATCCCAAGAGTGGAAAAACAACTCGTGATTGTATGTGTTTTTGATCCAAACAAACTGCCCTCTGCCGTTTAATTAATTGTGCGGTCGTTTCGTTTTTATTATCTTCGGACGATATCTCAAATTCATGAAATATTCTCTAGTTTGTGTTAATAAAAACTTATATTAATTATGCAGTTTTCAAAAAAACATGGAATTATTCATTTTAAGCAACTTATAGAATCCAAATTATTTTAATAAAAAAATCTGTAAAATTGTGAAGAGCGAAACTAATTGGATTTGTTTATATATTAATAAAATAGTGGCGCCAGTTAGAGTAAATTAATTTTATTTCTAATCCCAAAGCAATAAACAAAAAGGTGTGGGAGTCTGTCTTGCTCTATTCCTAGCTGCATCTTGATCTCGGTTTTTTTCTTTAATTTTATTACAAGGGCACATTATAAAATTAAAGGCGCAGGCTCGGCAATTAGGAATTTTTATAGCGGCCCCAATAACACACCAAATTCCGAAGAATAGGGATGCGCACGGCCCATCATAATAATTAGTTGCGTTTTATATATTTTCTCTCTCGCTCAACCCTTCCATTTTTTGTACACTTTGTTCCGAGTGATTTTTCTTTCTCAGGCTCTCCTTTGATTATGTTTTTTTTAAAGCACGTCTCTTCACGTTGAGCTTCAATGTGTGTAATTATTTTGTTTCCAGCTATAGCGTGAGCGGAGAAACGACGAGCAGGAATCCTCACACACGCGGGCCGATCGATATCTCTCTGAATCAAATAGAAAAGTCGTCGATTGTATATGAAAAGCATAATCTGCTGGGGAATTTGTTTAATGCACGGTGAGGAATATAATTGCTATGCACTGCATTAAAGTTTTAAAAATGTGAAGAGAAAAATGCTTCTATTTATATAAATTATGATCAAAAATATTAAAAACATTCTCTTAGGATTTTTTAAGTAAAATATTTTTGTACATAAGAGAGAAAATTATTTTAGCGAATTGATTAAGTTTCCAACATAAATTAGGTGATATGAACAGTATGAACCGGTTAATTAGTGATATTTGTATAAATTTTAGTCTAATTTTGAGAAAGTCCCATAATTTTCAATTCAGCAATCCCAGTTATTTAAATTTTTATATTATATCTCCTTGGAAGAAACGTCTGCAAAATAGTATTAATTATAGATACAATAAAATTTATTGGGCAGAAGCTTCCTCTTAATTGAGTTGGTTTGATTTTTGTATAGATTTTCTCTAGTTTAAATTTTTTTAAAGGAAACCACGTTTATTAATTTATTTTGATTAGTTGTTTTTAAAGAATAAATAGCATCAAAGTAAAAAAAACTTTTCATCAGTAAAAAAACATATTAAATTTGGTATATTTTTGATATTTTAAGTTATTGTCCGTTATTTTGTTATTCGAAACGGACGTTGCCGTCTCTCTCTCTATCTTTCGTACTCACATTGTCATGGCTTGACATGGTAATCTTTTGAATGGGAAACTTATTATTTATTATTATGTCGGCCGCCGCCGCGCACTTTGTGTTGCTGCTGCAGCCGGGCTGGGAACACAATTTTTTTCCCCGCCCGACACATAATTATGTAATTTCCTATTGACTGCTTCGGCAGGCAGCGTGATCGATTGTCCGAAATTCGAGATGCTTTTTCAGTCACCTCGAAATTGTGGCGCGGGTGGCTCTCGTCCAATTTTCGTGTTATGTTACCAGACGTGCCTTCGTGCACTCAAAATATTTCATCATATCTCACTTTCGTGACACACACAAAAATTTTACACCGAAATTTTTAATAAAATCGGAAATTTAATAGACTTACAAACGTTATAAAGAAACTTTGCATTACCATTTTAAATTCGAATTTAAATTTTTCGATGTTTTTGTGGAAAATCTTGATTTCAAAGTTGATTTGAGTAAAGATTTTCCATTAATGTACAATTTTAATCGGCAAATTTGGGTACAAACTACATTTTAACAGTTGTAAAAATTCATAACAAATTATTAAAATTATTTTCTTGATCTTGATTTGTATAAATTTAAATTTTAGATAGAAATTGGAGAAATAAACATAAAATAATGAAACAAAAATTGAATTTGGAAATAAATAAAAAGTTTAATCCAAACTTTGATTTGAAAATAAGAAAAAATAGCAATAAATTTGCACTTTTATTTTCACTTTTCACCAATTTATGAAATTGCAACAGATCTACCGTGTTATTATTTTGGATTTCCTAAGGAATTTTCGGCCCTGAACAAAAGGCCGTAAACGTATCTTCTCTGCGCTCACGAGGCATCAAAGCTGGCTGTCTCGCGATCCGATGAAAAATTGCCCATGAACAATCTTCGCGGCCGCCACACGATGAAATCCGATCTGGTAACGAGCAAATAATGAAACGACGCTCGCTCAGGCATTTTTCCCTTGCTCGAGATAGAGTCATAAAAGGAGCAGGGATATATCGTTGAATGGAAACCGCAGAGTGCATCGTTAAAGTGATAGCAAAGGAGAAAGAGACCGCAGCATCCTTCCAGCTGCACACGCACCGGCCCAATATAATAATAATCAAATTTCATGCCTTATTCTCTCGGCTGAGAGGAAACAATCGTCGCCGGGAAATCTGACACGTTTGTTTGCCAAAAAATGAAATCAAAAACGCTCCCTTGTTTTCCCACTTCCGGCCCGTACTGAATTTTTTTGGTCGACCCCCAACGAATAAAAAGTCTGAAAATAAATAAGAATGTAAAATTTAAACTTAATTGTTTTCAATTTTATATAAATGATTAAAAGATTGGTATTCCATTTCGAAAGCAAAGTCAACTGTAAATAAAAGTAAATTTATGTTTTATTTTTATGAAACTGAAATAAACTGACGAAAAAAGTCTTAGAAATAATACAACTTTTCAAAATTATTCCCAGGTAAAGTCATTTTTTTGAATTAAAAAAGGTTCAAAATTAAGATGATATTTTTAAATTATATTGAAATGAAATTAATAATATCAATATGTAATTAAATTGTTTTTCAAAGAAGATACTTAGATCAAAAAGGGCCAAATTTAATTTACATCATTAAAATTTAAAATGGTATGATCACCAAAAAAGCATTGAAAAGCAAAAAAATCAACCAAAGAAATTACATTTTAAATTTTACTGCTTTCAATGAAATATTCTTCAATATTCCTTTTTTCTTCTTATCAAGCTTAAATGTTTTAGATTTTGTTATCATTTTCCATTATTATTTGGTCAAGTTCAGTGAACGCATCGTGCATGTTTCATATCTGTCTGAAGACGGTTGAAGCAAATGGACTCATTGTTATTTTTCCATACCTTAATGGTCTTGCATTCAAACAAAGGCAGGTCGTAAACTCCTCATCGTTTCAATACACGCACGGAATAAAAAATGTGTTATGCGCCTCGACCGTTTCCAGCCGCTTCAAAATCCAAATGATCTTTTATATATGTTGCCGGCGTGCTCGCGCCACAGAGCAACTTTACACTAACAATCGGGCAGAGAGACAAAAAGAAGCATATTTATTTTATTGAGAGTCGGAGATTTGCCGGGGAATATATTTCAGTGTCTTCCTCGCGGAGAGCGGCCATCAATCATCATCAAATCGGAACGCAACAAAAACAACTTAAAAAGAAAAAGAGTTAAGCGGCCTGCACCTCTCTGGATAACACACTTCTCGTCACTTCAAACCTTCACGCCCGTAGGCTCAATAATTCCGAAAAATATAATAATGTATTAAGCACGGGTCCATTTACGTTGATTAATTGCTTTCAAATTTAAACGAGATACTATTAAACTATGAAAAATTCTTCAACATTAAAAACAAGAATAAGTATGACTGCGTCGCAGAGTTGGAATTTAGTACGCCAGTGTTTATTATTTTTGTTTTTGTTAGAATAAGACCTAAACTTTGCATTCAAGTTGACCATTTTGGACAAGATTAACAATTTTCTTTAGAAATTAATTTTTATTTATACCTTTTTTTAGTTGTTGTTTTCATTAAGGCCGGTTTTTAACATTTTATTTTTGACAAAATTAAAAAGATTTCCATTTTTAAAAATCACTTTATTTTAAATTATTGAAAATACTATATTAATTATCATTAAAGGAGTTTCTTTCAAATAAATTTAATCTTTTTGTTTTTGAAATTGTTCATTTTCAAATAATTCCAATGAAGGATATTTCGTTGTTTTTTTAGTATTTGGAATTGAGTTCCACCACTCGACCATCGAGCTCCTGCAGAGGTCTGAAATTACTTTCAAGAGGGCCTTCGTGACTCCACAGTTCGGTGAAGGCTTTGACCTGGCAATAATAATTTCATGTTGAGTTATTTGCAATTTTCAAATTAAACCGACGCACTTGTTCGTTTCCGATGTAATAAGGTTCGGCCAGGACGATCCAGGTGACGACCTCGCTGCAAGGAGGGGTGGTCAAAGAACCGAAATAGGTGAAGAAGTTGCGCGTCTTGTCGTATCGCTTGAACCAATTCATGGCGTCGCCGGAAATAAGGGTCTGCGAGTCGGTCGGAACGATTTTGCTCAACGAATCGACGATCAAATTCAAATTGTTGTTTGCAGATTCAACGCCCTGCATTTAAATTAATTAAATAAAGAATGTTTGGAAAGATAAAGACGAAAATTGACAAGGATTTTTGCGCGACATTCAAAAGTTTTTTGGACAAAAAAAATGATGGAAAACTTTGAAAATTAATAACTCCGGTAATTTTGTTTAGAAAATTTTTGAATCCGTCATGATCATTGCAATTTGTTAGGAATTTTCAAAAAATATCAAATCCTTTAATGAAAAAATTGTGTCTTTTCCTAACCTTGAAGAGGACTCCGACCACTGCCAAACCATCGGGGTGGTGAAGAGCTTCGGCGACGGAGCCGTATTTTGTGTTGTAATGGACAAAGTGACCTTCCAGTTCGAAGCTTTGATGAGAAATTGAAATTTGTAAATTAAAATGGAAACAGTTGAAATTAAGAAGTGTCTCACAAGAAGTTGTTGATTGCGTGTTCGCTGCCCGATCCAGCAGTATTTCCCCAGTGGAAATGGACTTGCGCAAGGGTGTACTCGGAATTCAGAGGTCCACCGGTCAGAGTGGGAGCCACTCCGGAGTAGACAATTTGTGCTAATTGAAAGAGTTTGTTTGAGTCATGTTTTTTTTTAAGTTAGGCAATAGTTGATGTAGCGAAAAAATGGACCGATTTTCAAGACAATTTCCGCAGAAAGTTCAAAAGGAAAATAAAATTAACACATTTCTTTTTAATTAGTCACATTTTAGGCTGCGTCGGTCTCGATTTAGTCAGTTTAAGCTCAATTTTAAATTGGGATTTCTGGCTTAAGATTATTTGATTCGCTAAATTTAACCCTTATTTTTGTATGGTTTGTCTCTATATATTTTCAAGATTTGCCAGACTGGCAATTTTATATTTATAAACAAAAAATAATAATATAAACTTTTACCAGCATGTCCTGTGTTTTTCAACACAAATCCGCCTTCCTGGAAGTTCCAGTGCCCGTTGAACTGCAAAGCAGGGTAGTGTGCTCGCTTGCTGTCCTCAATGACTAGATTGATCGGCGATTGATTGGCGCCATGACACGATTCGGGCCACTCACCTTTGTTCAAAATCAAATTTCTTACGATCCCGATTTTTTAATTTAATCTTACTGTATGATGCAATTAAGTTCTGGAAATTGGTCCTCGGAGCGCTTTCGGCAGCTAAAATAAATTATTTTTGAATTTGTAAAAAATTGTGGAAAAATTCTTACAGTTCCAAAGGACCACCAGAGTTAAAACGAGGCAGACACGGCTGAGCGACATGATGTTAGAGATTTGAAACTCAAACGATATGTGCTTAAAGGGCCACTTAAATTTTGCGCTTTTATAATCGAGAGGACGTCTAGACAATCGGGAATCTCAAAGTGTAAACTTTATCAATTGTTTGTAATCAATTATATGGAAACGCGAAAGAGAAGAGCAGACGCGTGCAGGAATCGTTTTCAGCGACCTTTACTCGAAATCAGAATTGACTATTTCAATATTTTTTTATTTAAATTATTTAAATTTTAAGGCCCCATATTATCCGACAAGAATAAATAATAACAATAAAAATAATTTGACAAAAAAAAAGAAAAAAAATCACATACCCTCTAATTATGAGCCACCATTTTATGGCTAGTAAAAATTAATAATCAATAATAAGACTTTTGAACTGGCCAAATTTTGTCCCTTTTACGATTTTATCATTGATTTTCTAAAGAAATTTATTTGTTTGAAAATGAAACCATTTTGAATGAAAGTATTTTTTGATCAGTTGCGAATAAAATTTATTTACTACGCCGCAAAATTTGTGCATCGGTCCTTGAACGATAATATTGTTCACGCGGTCAGTGAGTGCAAAATCAAATGGTGCACTAGCTATTAAAACATGTACTTTAAACCATTTGGGTAGAAACAACTTCAAAATGTACGCCTCAAATAATCTTCTAAACGGATCCGCGGCGTGATAGATATGATAAAATCAAACTGGTACAAGCTGTACTATAACTGGACTCAATATAGAATTTCGGGTAAGTTCAATTAAATCCTTTAGATCTTCTCTTTGATAAATGCACTTTTGTACATTATGTTATGTAATATAATGTTGTAAAATTCAATTTGAACAATGAAAAAATGCTTTAAATATTTCTTATTTCTCCTTTTTCAATGAAAATTTTCATTGAAATATTATATTATTTGCAAAAATCTTAACCTGTGTAGTTGAAAAACAACTCTTTGTCCTAAAGAAATAAAAATATAATTATAATCAATCCCTCTTGACTTTCACTAAATTTTTGTGTTAGTCCGCGAAATAATATTTTAGTTGATTTTGAAGCAAAACTTCAACTTATTGTTTTGCAATAAAAAAACGAAACAAGAAAATTCTTGCAATGGAACAGTAAATTTTTCGAAAATTTGGGAATACAAAGAGGATTTGGCCAAATTTGTAAATATTTTTGAAATAATTTTGTATTTTTATAAAAATTCCTTTGATTTGCTCATATAAGGATAATTCATGAATATATAAAATTAAATTAATTTCAAAATTAAAAGTCTCGAATTGACTTTTGCTATGAAGATATTATTATTTTAGAAATCGACTTTGAATATATTTATATTTTGATAAATTGCGTTCAGTGGCGGCCGCCCCCGTCAAGTCATTATCCCCAAAAAGAGACGAACGCTTTCTCGCGTGTAATGAGTTGGACACAGTGCAGCTCTCTATGTTGTCAGTGTATAGCATTTGAAAGAAACCTGTTTGTTATTGTTTCGAGCGGAGCGAGGTATGTATATTGTGTACATGTACATTTTTGATTGATTGCGGCCGTAACCGAGTTTGAATAGCTCATTTCTGGCGGCGCACCATAATCAAAAGAGAGGAAATATCCATTCTTTTATATCTCACCTCTCTCTCTCAGCCAGCCAACATCTCACATAATGCCCTAACACAATGAGATCGAGACGCAGGGGCGGTTTCCAAACGCCGCCTGCTTTTCCAGCACCTCAACTCATTAACGAGTCTAATGAACTCTCTCGCGCCCGAAAAGTGATCGATCTGCCCGAATGCCGAATGGCAATTTATTTAGATGTCAAACTGCATTTTGCTTTATGACATTAAATAATGAGAAATGAAAATCATGTATAATTTTTTTTCATACAGTTAAAATCTATTACTTTTTAATCAAAAAACTTTTGGTTTAATTACAATCATTAAAATTTGAAAATCTGAATTTTAATTCACACAATAATTTTAAGGATGTTTGAATAAATATTGATAGAGAAATTGCCATCAAAATTCTTACTATATTCTGATTTAATTAAGAAAAAATGAAAACTTATAGCTTTAACGGACTGAAAAACTTTCTAAAGGAAAATCAAATTTTGGCCCCAAACCACCATTTTTGTGCTGTATTACGTTCAGTCATTTTTAAATTTTATTTTCTTAAAATGAATCTTGACAAAAATTATCAAACCTATTTCATCTGGAAATGAGGGTGGATTTTTATTTCACCCATTTTTTCACCCACAAAAATTTGTGATAGAAATTGACCAAACAAAATATTTTATGCAAATATTCTGTTTCCTTTCAGTTACTTATTAATTTTGCTTCTTTCTTAATTGAAACTTGGTAAAAATCATTCCTTAAATATTAATAATTTTTGTATATAAAAACGCATGATTACTATTTCTTAATAATATATAAAAATTAATCTTAATTTGAAACCTTTAATTAAAACGATATTTATTTCAGGTTGATTATGGCTTCTTTTGGCTTCTTTTTTATTGAGTAAATCGCATCAAAACGTTAAATACGATTAGCAATTTAAAAATTACACTTCAATCACAAATCTTATTGTTGAAAAGTGTTTCTAACCTCCAACGTGCGATAAGAGATTTCACTCTCCGATCTATTCCAAGAAAAGAAGAAATTAACCAAAAATTGTGCAAAATAGAGAATTTTTCAATAATTTAATAAAAAAACAAAACTTCAATTATTAACCAATTTAAATGGGTTTTAAATAAAAAAGTAAATTAAATAATTACTAAAGAAACTGAAATTAAATAAGTTGATGGTTAATTTAGCTTTATCAATCATACAAAAATGTTTTAAATTTTGTTATATTTGCATCAATTAATTTAAAATTAATTATCCCATTAGTCGATTTGTCAAAGTTGATGATATTTCAAGGCTCCTGTTTTTGTTTTCTCGCGCCTAATGACAGTAATGACGAGAATCGCGAATCAGCAGTTTCGTAGATGCCGCGATAAAATATTTTGATGCGATTAGGTTTGAGAGAATAATATGAAAAGGAACCGCAGCAGCGCAGGAAAAACGCCATCAGAAGAGAAGTGAAGCGGCAGCTGCTCTGCTCCATTTGATGCGTTTTCGCTGACAGTTCAGTATTGTGTTTATTCTTCGGCGGCGGACAAAAAGGTGCAGCGGCAGAAAAGAGGATCAGCCCCAAATTATTGCCCCTCTCGCCATTGTGCACGTCATTTTTCCCGAAAAAATAACCGAAGAGGAAGTCCATGAAAAAATAATATTTTGAACAAGTTTTATCTCGCATTGTTGGCCGAAAGGTGCTCGCTTGAGCCGATTTCCGCACCTCATATTGTCCTCGTTCAAACATCCAAGCTGCCCACCGAGAGTGAAAACGAATATTTTTTCCTTCTTTAGTCCGATGAAAAACCACACGTGCCTGGTTGTGATTTGTGATTGGAAGCAAAAAGTATTTAATCGTTTTAAAAATAAGTCGAATTTGGAAGAGTTGAGGGTGTTCGGTCGTGAGCAGTCTTGCATAAAAGGTGCAGCACCTGCGTCGACAAAAAAAATCGAGTGCAACCTTTGAGGTAAAAAAGCTAATCGATGAAAGAAAAGAAGGCGATCCGGTTCAGAAACTTGCGGTAATGGTTATTTTACCCTCTATTGCTCACACCGACCACCCTTGACATCGAAGCCAAGCATAAATTCATTCTCAACAGCAAGACGAAATAAATCAAGAAAACTTATTTAAAAAATTTTTATAAGAGGAGAGATTATATGTACCATTTTATACAAAAAATTGTGTTAAATCATAAGAAATAATTAAAATGTTCCATAAAAAATTTCTATAAATAGCAAACTGCAAAATTTTCATTCAAGATTTACAGATTATCAATTGAATTATGGAGAATACAATTTTCCTATTTTGGTACCGGTTTTTTTTACTAAGTTTCTTTAAATAGTGAAAAATATTTTTTTACTCACCAAAAGTAGAATGACGAACTTGAACTTCTCAAAAGCTGGCCGAATCCATCACCGAAGCCTCTTTTGCGATAGCCTGAAATTTTTAGAAAAAAGAGAAAATTATAAATAATTTCATTGAAATTTTCATTATAACGGATGAAAGAGTGTGTAAAATTTGTTTCCTTCTACATAGGAAATAAAAGTAATCATAAAATCAGATCTGAAAAAATGATTTCTGAGTAAAAATTCCCCATTTTCTTGAGCTTTTCTGATGATAAAATTTGTTTGAACCGCCGTAACTTTGTTTTTGAGCGAAATAGCTCATGAGACCTAATGACAAAAAGTGTTTGTCTTGTCACGACCTATCCAAATATGTAACACACTTTGTGACCAGGTCACAAAAGGTCATTGACGTCGGTGACCTTTGACCTGGCAACATTATTTCCATCACGTAAGACACATGGTTTGAAAGAAGGAATCAAGGAGATTATTTTGGTACCTTTAATTGTTCTGTAGCTCAAACAGAAGCTGCGTTATTGTTAAATTATTGATCAAGATTTTACATACATAAATGAGGGTTGACTTTCAATTCTGGTCACATTTAAATTCTAGTGTTGTTTTTTTTACACATAAACTCTACTTATTCAAGCGTAGGTTAGATTGAACAAAAAATTACATGGCAGGTTTGGATCGTCAATGAGAATTTGTAAATTTTGCTCCAAGATTTTCTATTAATGAAGTCAAATGTAAAATTTGTCAGTTAATTTGAGTTGACGGGCAAAATTGCAAGTCAATCACAATAGCTAATATTTTGTTATTATTTTTTTAATAGCTAATTTGATCAGTTTATCAAAAATTAATATCAGAAATATTTACATTTACAATGTAAACAAAACAAAACAATTGACAAAACCAAAGATGATTGTTTCCATGCGTACCTTTTTCTACGTAATGACGTAATTCACCAGTCACATGCTTGTCTGAGTTTAAAAATGAGTGAAGAATACTGCATGTCCAAAAAAACAGCACATTAATTGAGAAAAAACAACGAAAATGTAAAAAAAAAACACATGTCAAACACGCGCCGTCGAGCACCTGAAACCTGAACACAGCACGTGTAGCTTCCCTAGTCAGTCACCCGATCGTGGCAGCACCGTCCAGTGTTTAAAATGAAAATAATTTCCCGCCACTGCGCGCAGTTCTGTTTCTCGTCCGTCTCGTCCCTTCCATCCGATTTCCAGCACTGCCATTGGCCAATTTTGGTAGGCTAGAGAAACGTAAACAAAACGCTTTTGACGACCGGCGAGACGCGAGACCATGCTGGTTTTGAAGCTTTGATAGGTAAAAAGTTCAAAAATTAACATTGATTTCACCCTACAATTTGCGTTAATTCCCTTAGGTTTTGGCGGATTTCGTTCACGGAGTTTACAGTCTCGTCAGACAAGAACATCTAGTCGTCGTGAGTCCCTTCTCACGATGGATAAAAAAGGAAAACGTGGACGTCCAAGTGATGAACAAAGCACGCCGCCGGTCTGCATTTTTAAAGCGTTGACATAAATATTTACAATGATTGATTTTTATCTATTTCTGCAGATCCGGCCAAAAAAAGTCAAGACAAAATCAGATAACCAAGCAAGCACCAGCAGTACCAGCACCTTGAGCAATGACAATAGCAAAGACCTGAAAATGAAGAAAAAGAAGGCAAATAAGAAAGGTGAGACTTTTTTTTCTAAGCTGAATTCTTTTTCATTTAACTTTGATTAAAATATTAATATCATTTACGGCAGTGTTGAAATCATAGTGTTATTTTATTGTTTCAAATTTCAACAACCTATAAAACACAATTGATTAATTAAATTTTTTTCTAGGTGAGCCGCAAAAGGCCCTTGACAATGAAATCGCCAAGAAGAACAATTCTAGTCAGAGCTCAAGCGTTGTTGCTCAACCAGGAGGAACTGTCAACATTGAAGAACTGCTTACGGAATTGCACAAGAAGTACGGCCGACCTGAAGATATGATTATCGGAAGGTGCAAAACCACCATTGGAGAGGTTCTGGACAGTGTTACCTCCATGTCCAAAAGTTTCAACCTTAGCAAAGACTGTCTCTCTGCCATTGCCTTCCATATCATGCAGTTCCTACCTTATAAACACTCCTTCCGTGCCAACATGGCCCTTGTGTCTGAAAAGGTCGAGGAAGTGAAGACGAAGTTGAAAGAACCAACAGTCTCCTACCATTGCAGTGACTGTCTGAATTCCGACATTCAGTCATTCAACTCCAAATGCAGCAAATGTTTTTCTTCGTCGATTGCAGTCAACGTGCAAAGTGACCTGGCAGCTGCGATCAAGTACCTCTTTGAGCACCAAAATCTTGCTAACTTGATCAGCGAGCAACAGAAGTATTTGTCAAGCAACAATAAAGATGGACCTGAAGGGGAACTAGAGAGTAAAGTGATTGGACCATACGACTTGTCCCTCATTTTGAACGTTAGTGCTTTTCCAGCCTTCGGGCACCTTACGGCCAAAGTTTGGTCGCTCCTCTTTACAATCTATGAAGTTCCATTCCTCTTCCGAAAGAGATTAGTCATGCCAGCCAATTTGTGGTACACCCCAAAGGAGAAGACCAACCTAAACGAATTTTTGGAGCCATTCATTGCTCTGATGAAGAAACTTGGCACTGTCGGGGTTAAATGGAGACACCCCGAGACTAAGGAGAAGCACAACAGCAAAATTTTGGTTCGCACATGTGTTGCCGGTGCTGAAGCTAGGGCCAAATTGCTGAACCTCAACAGCCCAAGCGAGCTCTTCAGTTGTTCATTCTGCGAAATTCCTGGTCAGAAGTTGAATGAACAGTCCGTTTCTTTCGTTTGCCCTGATTTCCCGTACGAGTTGAGGACAAGTGAGAGAATGGAAATGCACGCCATTACCCTTGAGGAAGTCCAAAGGGAAGCAAGTGCTCACTTGCCAACGTTGGACTGCATCTTGGGTGTTAAGGGTGCTTCCTCCATGGCCCAACTGCACAACTTTGACATAGGGAGAGATTTTTGCCCTGATGATGTAGAAACAATTCTTTTGGGAGTTGTAAAAAGCCACCTGAAAGAAGTTTTCAGCTCCTGCAACGCCGAGGAAGAATTTTACATCGGTCATTTGCAAGACATCGTGTCCAACAGGATGAAAGAAGTCACCACATCCGTATTGCCGGGAAGCATGCCACGAGACATTGGTACTTTGGACACTTGGACGTCAACAGAATTGAAGAACTGGCTGCTCTACTTCAGCTTGCCTTGTTTAGAGGAAATTTGGCAGGAGGAAAAGTTCTTTGAGCATTACATGCTGCTGGTTCTCGCTACTTACACTATTTCCCTAACAAAAGTATCTAAAAAGGAAATAGCCTTTGCCAAGGTTGCCTTTAAAAAATTTCAAAGTGGATATGGTGAACTGTACGGAGAAGAGAGAGAAACGCTGCCACTGCATATGCTTCTGCACCTTTTGAGGTCCACCTCACTTTTTGGTCCTCTGTTCACTCAATCAGCCAGCTTGTTCGAGGATTCGAATATGCTTGTGAAGATAGCTGTTGAAGACGCTGCAGAAATAGGAGTTGACCAAAAACTTGTGAAGACGGCCAAGTTTCTCAGCCTGGAGCCTATTGTGACTCATTTCTGTGCTTCCAGACCAGATTGCTTGTTCTTGGGGGAACCAGAGCATTCAGATAATGTTGCTCTCAGAGTTCTGAATTTCCTCGAACGACTGTACAACGGCCCAACTTCTGTGACTTTCTACCCTCGTATCAATTACAGAGGGTTAATTCTGACCAGCGCAGCTGACAGGCAAACAAAAAACACGTGCTCAAACTTCATTGCCTACACTTTCACAAACATTTTTGAGTCAACCCCTCTAGTGGCCAAAGTTCTTTACTTCTGCAACCTGCAGTCTACCTTTTCTGGCGGCTCGATGGATATCTTTGTGGGCAAGAAGGTTATACTTAAGGAGCCAAGGTACAAATTCAAGACAATGAAAGTCAAGCATATTTTGAATTACAAACAGACTAATGATCTGGTTTGGGGACACATTTTCTCGATTAAGTCACCTGTAGTGAATGTTTCCATTCCTCCAAAAGACGGTTTTAAAGGTTGTCAAGTGATGTGCCTCCCACCAAACGTTCAGGATATCTAATCCAAAGTGAGAAAAAAAAAATCATTTTTTCTAGAGTCTATTATCAAATATATATTACGAATAATGAAAGACTGATTTGGATAAAATCAGCAATGTTACTTTTGAAATCAAGTCCTATTTTGTAAGCAAGATATATGAAATTTATTGAGTGAAGATTAAGAGTCAGAATAAAAAGATGAAATTGATAACTAGGCATTTTAATTGTTATTTACCTAAAATTCATTTATATTGTTGCATCAAGTTTTTATCATTGAAAAGCATTTTGTTTCAAAATAATTACATAGTCAATATTTTATTTCATTTCAAATACTTTCTATTTGTTTATCCACTTTTAATTTGAGACAACAGCCATTTGACTTACACTCTGCGCTTTGACAGGAAATATACATGACAAATAAAATTTAGATAGAATTACAAACAGAAACACAACAGTAAATTCTTTGTATAAGAAACTTAAAAGTTCAACATGAGGTAATATCTAACGACGCCTCGAGTCAACACCAAATAAGAGCTGCACACAGTGGCGGATTTTAGCGGTGAGCAAAGAAGAAGAAGAATGATCATCTGCAATCACAAACCCTCGTTTCTGAAAATCAAATCAATGGCCTCTGCGACGTTGGCCACAGTGTAATTGGGCTCTCGAAGTTTTTCTTCAACAGGAAGGAAATCCCTCGGAGAGTGGTCCAGGGTACTTGTGGAGCAATCTTGGCTATAAACCCCTGTCTAAAAATACATGAAATTAATTTCAAACCTTAATCAAAACCTAGAGTCAAAGTACCTCCACAAGAATGCTAGAACAGGTGCTGGCGCCCAATTCGACCATTTCGCATGTCTCGTCGTGTCCTCCGACCAAATTCTCGATGCTCCTGGCCACCTGGACTGCTCTTTGGGACCCAATGATGCACTGATTGCGCAGGTATTGCTGGTACAAATTGGCACCAAAGACGTCTGTGTTGATATTATCCCTGAAATCATCGATTCATTTTATAAACTGGCTTCGGACTTGTGTTAAAAAATTAAACCAACCCGATGGCATAAAGGGCCTTGAGGTGCTTCTCTAGGCCAAGCAACTTGGCCTGTTTCATGACCATGTGGTGGGCGTGATGATACGTCAATTCACTGGGCTTGCCAATAAGTGCGGTGTAAATTAGGTCGTGGCCGGTGATCTTCTTGTAGAGGTTTTCCAAACACAAGAGAAAGGCACCGTGCCCAAATCTATAAAAGAGAGAAAAATATTTTAAAACCAAATTGAAAGTCAAATGTAAAAAATTTTTTGATTTTCAATTTCAAGACCAAATTTGGTAAATCTGAACATTACGAGAGCCAAAAACCTTTGGACTTTGGTTGATTACAATATAATAGTGCATTTAAATTATTTCATGGTAGTAGAACCTTAAAAAGTAAAATTGAAAAGAAAAATTGGATCCATTGAAAAATTACCAGTAACATAATTTTTGTCCTTGGAAAAAAATTCAACAATTTTAATCAAATTTAAAAAAAGCCCATTTTCCCACCTGGGCATGCATGCTTCAGCCATCCACTGCAAATCCATGTTGCAGGCCAATACTGGAATGTGAGGGTAGAAGTGCTTCGAGGGGGCTTTTCGGGGCAAACCGTCCGTCATCAGAACGTCCACCAACAACTGCAGGGCAGTTTCCCACCTGACAGGTTCGCCGAAGAGCACCAGGCCTTCAATGCGAGGAAAGTATTCCTCAAAAGAGCAGGGCTATTTTATAATCAATTTAGATCATTTTTATTTAAATTCGGAGAAAAGCTCACGACAGAAATTCTCCTCTGGTGGTCGACTGCGTCCAGCGCAGGAAAGGTTGCGCGCAACTCCTCTATGGTGGTCACCTTCTGGAAGCCCAGGTACTTTGCGATCTCCTTGACGGGACCCTGACCTGAGACGAGCATGTGTTTGTTGTGAAACTGGTGGAACATGCGCAGCGGCGAGTGAGCCATGACGACTTGGTCTTCGTGCACCTGACAACAAAATTAACTTCAATTAAAACCAGTTAAAACAAATAGCAAGAAGTGACACTTAACAGACATTAGCAGCAAGTTGTGACCATTGATAAGAGGAAGGCTTGACTTTCAAAATATTTCTAGGTTAAATTAAATGCATGAAACTTTCGAAAGTCATCCTTTGTGAACGGATTTACTTTAATAAATAATAATTACACAAATTTATACTTAATTCTAATTCTAATTGTTGTAATTTACTAAATAAAATAATAGATTAACAAATTAAATTAAATTCTTGGACCTTGTACCTCGGAGATTTCAAAAGACGGCATTTATGTAATGAGTTTATTATAGTGGGTCAAAGTGAAATAACTTTTGTTGACGTCACAGGCAGCCATTCAAGTGCAAATTACACAATATTTTGTCTCCGCTAAAATTAAACTACAAGCAAGCCACTGGCGGTAACCTGTCTGTACTGGTTCTTTTGTATAATTTCCTTATAAGGAGAAAATTCAAGGCTGTAAATTGTAAAATAAAATTTAATTACAAACATACAAACTAGATTTTCCCACAGGGAATAATAAACGCCTATGTAAGCAAAAGATTAAACACAGATTAGATTATTTTTAATTGTTACTGTTGATCATTTTCTTTAAATTTTTAAGTCGAATTCAACAGAGAAATTTGATCATTTTGAAATGTTAATTTTCTTATGATTATAAAAAAATTTGAATTTTGAATAATTTTATTTTTACATGGAACTTAAAATTCTTAATAATACTTTGGGTATAAATGAGTGACTTTATGGGTTTAAAAAATACAAAACACAAAAATATACCTTCACTTGCAGCCACTCGGAGAGTTGCTGAGCTTTGTCGTGTCGAAGAGCGTTTCCAGCATTGGTCACAAACACGGTGGGCACCCTGAATTTGCCCTTGCTGTCCACGAGTCGCTTGAAGCCGTCGGCGGCCGGTGGCAACACCTTTTTGCCCCTGACAATGACACCATCAATGTCGAAGAGCAGGCCAAAGCGAGGAACAGTCTGTCAAAATACACGATTTGCAAAATTTTGTGCCAAAACTTGTAAGGTTGCAGCCACTTACCTGGTTGCTGAAGGCGCGACGCACGAGGCGACCTGACCCGCTGGCCGCCTCCAGCGGCCGCAGCACCTGCATAAAAGTGGCCGTCGACATTTGGCCGTCCAGCCGCCAGCAGCTGAGCAGCAAAACCAACAAAACTTTCGTTCGTCAAAGCAAGTTTTCAGCGAATTCAGCCTGGTCGGTGACGTAAGAAGAGGGTAGTAGAGAAAGGAGTCGCAAATACTGGATACTAATTTGAGACAAAAGAATTGATTATGGCAATTTACCGCGATTTAATTAAAAATTGAATAAAATAGAAACGTTTTGTTCACAAATATATATATAAATGTGAAATGTGTATTGAATGAAATAAAGTAAATAGAATTTGATTATATATACCTGAGCTCCTTTTTGCACGCACCTTGGACTATGACGTCAGAAGCACGAGTTGGCGCAGTTGGCGCGCGAGCCCCCTTTTCTGGTGCGCGAAATCGGAATGGAATAGAAACAGGAGATTCTGCCTCCGAGCCTCTGCTGCATTGAAATACGACACATGTTTTGCTCATTTTGCTGCGTTTAGCAGTCTTTAACCAGTCAGAACCCGCACGGCCCGCACCATTCTCAGATCGTCACCATTAAAACTTCAGTCGTCCAAACCAAAACAGGCAAAACACTTCAAAAGAAGGCTCCATAAGCAGTTAAAAAACTAGGTAAAAAAGTTTTTTTTTTTATCAAATTACATACATAGCGCTTAGCGCTTCAACTTTTACATAGAGATTATGTACCGATTATGTAGCTCTCACACATAATGAACAATAATAAAATGAAAAGTTGAGAGATTCATGTATGCCCAAGGCCCAAACAATTATGTATGTATACATTTTTTGAATTTTTTTATTCTTGAAGATTTTTCTTTTTAGATTCAGCAAAAGCATCCCATTTTTATAATGGCATCATCTGCCACCCTTGATAAGACGGAGCTGATGCAGAATGATGAACTTGGAAATAAACAACCTACCACTCTGTGGGATCCGATGGCTTCGGCGTTCTACGACAAGAATTTCAACTCCTACCTGCACGGCCCAGGTCGGAGCTTCTCTGAGCGAGCAGCTGGGAGGAAAAAGTTATTTTTTTATAACTTATTTTTAATAACTTTTTAAGTAAAAATTACAAATTTTTTAGAGGCGAGCTTGTGCAGCTTTTCTTCCATAATCTTCCTGAACTTCTGGACCAGGTTTATTATCTCTGCACCTTCGAATAAAATATATTTTATTAAATTCATAAATTTTGATTTAATAGCACGGTCTCTGGAATATTTGTGCCAAAATTCAGCCAAAAGTTGCAAGAAGCTTAGTCTTCCGAAACAAAAGGAATCAAACTGTGGGAATCGTCGGATACTGGAGTATTAGGTATGTATGTTTTTACAAAATTCCACAGTTATCTGTGAAAAAACAAAAAATTATTTGTGGAAATTTGTATTTTTCAATCTGAATTAATTAAAAGCTTACACTGTTATGAATTTATATTTCAATTTAATATATAGGCTTAATAAAAAATGAGCTAAGAAATTAAAATCATGTACTGATTCAGGGAAGCCCAAGAGGTTTTGCTGGCCCTTGACCAAACTCCGCCGTGGCACATGCGAGTGACCTTTGGCTGGAGCATTGAGACGAAAACCAATCAGGAATCCATCCGATTGCACAAGGAAATCTGGCGCCAACGAGAAGAGCAACGAAAAGCAAAACTTGCAATCAAGGACGTGGAGGAGTTCAAGCAGATTAGCTGGACCTTTCCAGTCAACAACCTGTCCGTCGAGGCCAAATCGGCGTTGATCAATTTTGCCGAGTATTGAATTTTCTCAGATCAATATTATAAAAGAAAATTTAACCAAAAAAAAAAACCAATTGTTTTCAGAGACGGCTTCTTTAACTGGAAATTCTGCATTGGTAGAGGAGCGGCTTTACCGCCACGTCAGCCTTTCCTTTCCAATCAATTGAATTTCCTCACTTTCGACGTGGAGCACTACAGGGCCATGATGAATCTGGACTTGGATGGTAACCGTGAAACGGAGCTAGACGTTTTCGGCCACATCTCTGGTGAAATCTAATTATTTCACATATTTTACAACAAATTTATTAAAAATCTATTAAACTTTCTCCAGCATCTTTCTTCGCAGAATCATTGGCTGTTATTGAAATGGTGTGCGAAGAGAGCCGAAGCAAAATCAGCACAAAACCCAGAGTCATGTTTGGAGGTAGAGCTTATTTCCACAATGGTTCTTCTGCTCCCCTCGGGTAATATTTTTCTTCTTGAGAGAGTTTAAAAAATTAAGCATTTTTGTTGATACAGCAATCATCAGATTTCCATGGAGCCCTTTGAATTCTGCACTGCTGGCTTTAAAAATAGTGAGCTTGAGTTAATTTTGAAACTTTTTATTTGAAATATTTTGATTTTAGAACTAGCTGGGAACTCTGCAGACATCAATGAGGAGGGAAAGATTTCAAATTGCACTTTCTGCAAATTGGCGACAAGTACTTGTTGTTCCACATGTTATCTGCCTTTCTGCAGTGCTTCATGCATTGACCAACACAAAAATGCAGTTTGTCAGAATGAGTGAGGATTAAAAAGATTTTATTGATATATAATGGATTTAAAGCAAACTTTTTGTAGGGGCGTTTTGATTCATCCGATCTTCCAAGCAAAGATAGCTAAGAAGTTTGCAGAAATTCCAAGAAACCTGACTGTTCGTAAAAATTGAATTTCATAATAAAAAGGTCTCATAAAAAATACTTTAATTTTTCAGATTGATTGTTATGAGGGAAGTAAAGAGATTACATCTAAAATGTAAGTTTTTTAGTGGAAAGTATACACAAAAATTGGGTAAATTTAAAATAAAATTTTCAGCTTATGTCCCAGCTCCATAATGAGCAATTTGAGTAATGCCAACAGTGGACAGCTTCTTGTCCAAGACATTGTCACTCAATTTGGTGAGCCGCAGGCGTTTACTTGCATTATTCTGACCGAAGAGTTGAGACCATTGTTGAAAGCCTTTCACAATCTCCACTCTGGCAAAGCAACAAATTCCTCTACAGTCTTGATCAAATTAGAGCCAAAGTACTCCAAAAACAAAATTTTAATTTCAGTTTTAAATCTAATTATTTGTATTATAGCTTTGTTGTGGGCGAAATGAATTTGGTTCCGTACGATGGACGCTTTTGCCGAGCACTGCTTGTCGAGAAGGTTGGCCCAAATTGGAGATGTATTGTGGTGGACAAAGGAGAGACGATCGAGGTCTCGGAAGCAGACATGGCTGCAGTGCCCTTGGAATACCTGAACCAACCTAGACTGGCACTTCTGGCCACTGTCACTAAGTATTTGGTGCCCTTCAGAGACTTCTGGGCTAAATTTGTTAGCGTAAGTGACTCTTAATTTCATTTTTTATTTAATTTCAATTAATTTAATTTCAGCCTAAGAAAAAGTTGTCTCTAAGAAATATTGAAGTCTCAAAGCAGCCGGATGGAATGGTCCAGGCAAAAGCCATGGTTAAAGGTCGCAATAAGGGAGAGGAGTTGTGCCACATCAAACTCTCCGACTGGCTGCCGTTGCGCCCCGAGGTGTCCAAGAGGCACTTCAAGACGATTCCTCTGGATCACAAAACTCAAGTCGTGGTGACCACGTTTTGCAGCTCAAACGTCTGCTACGCCCAATTGCAGGACAGGGCCTCTGAGTTGTGGCAATTGCAGAGCAAACTGAGCACCATTCCATTTCAATGTAACATTTTAAATTCTAAAATAATTTTCAGCTTTCTAAAAAATGATTAAATAATTTAGGTCAGCCCATGAGTGTTGTCCCAATGGCAGGAAGTCTTGTGGCAGTCAAGTCGGGGGTTGACTCGAGAATGTACCGCGCCATGGTGAAAACCCAGACCGGACGAAACACAGCAATTGTTTTCTTCGTAGATTTCGGAAACCAAGAAGAGGTCTGCGCGAATCAGATGTACCCACTGCCCAAACGTCTTGCTCAGGTTTGCAATTATGAAAATTTTAAATTAGATTAATATTGGAGGAATTTCAGGAAGCTCACCAGGCAGTTCTGGTCAAGCTGAAAGATGTTCCAGCTAGGCCTATGACGTTGGCTGCATACATTCAGTGGTGCAATTTGGTCGAGTCCAAAATAGCCATGGAAGTGCATTTGGACCCGAAAACCAATCTTGCATCTTTCATTTCCACTTTGTCCAATGAATGCTTCAACTCGAAGTTGCAAAAAGCACTGGACGGTGACAAGGACTTTGACGAAGGTATTTTTATATGAATATTTTCCATTTAAAATTGTTCCATTTTGGAATTTTTCAAATATTAACAAAAAAACTTTTTAATATTGTTTAATTAAATTGTTGATTAAAAAATTTTTAGATTCTGGTGGAAATATCCCAACAATTTCCCTCGAAGAAGGGAAAATGGTGCAGCTGCTGGTTCTGCAAGCGCCAGTGGACCATAAATTCGTCTGCACCAAGGCCTCCTCACCATTGCTGAGACACGTCCTTGACACGCAGGTGCGCCTCGCAGCCAAGTTTGTTGCAGAGTGCAAGGACGGAAATTACATTCCCTGCTTCCAGGAATTATGCTTGGCTAAATTTTCTGGTATATTTATTTTTCGTAAAATATTTAATTTTTACTAAAAAAAAGAAATATCCATATTCAGATGGATTGTGGTACAGGGCTTTGAACGTCCACACAAACAAGAAGAGCTGTGAAGTTTTGTTCATTGACTTTGGAAACGTCGTGAATGTGGAACACGCTTGTTTGCGAAAATTGCCTCCAGAACTCAAAACTGCCCCAAGTTTGGCTTTGGTGGCAAATATTTTTGGTATGCATTTATCGCTTTTTATATATTGAATTATTAATTTACATTTTTATAATCAAAAAGGGTTGAAAGAAGCTGACTTTCCAAACCAGGAGGTTGAGTTAGCTCTGCAGGAATACCTTCAGCCGTTTCAATCCTACCAAGCTCTGGTTTGCAAGCAGAGAGAGGGAGAAATCGACATTGTGATTCCAGGTTTGCTTGAGCATTTAAGTGACCAAAGTTTGCTGCCTGCCAGCAAATTGGCTGAAGGTCAAAAGCTGCTCCTGTCTTGTGGAGACTACGTTCCTCCTAAGACTGAGCCGCTTTGTGACCAGTTGATTGATCTGACCGAATCTGAAGTGTCCACTGGAGGTCATCAGACAGTCGATATCTTCTTTGACGATGACATGTCAAACCTTAATTTGCGCCAGCCTTCTCTTTTGTAAGATTACGTAAAATGGTATCATGCAATTATTATTTTTCAAAAGCTTGAATTATTTCTTCTGTGAAAAATTAGAAGAAAATTGTGAGTTGATTTTAATTTTCTTTAAGTACAAGAATTAAATTGATACAATCTAATGATGGCAAATTTAAAATTAATTATAGAGGCGTAGAGTTGAATCTGATTTATATGAGGAGGGAAATAAATCATAAATTGAATAATAAAGACTCGGAGTCATGGAGGTATGGATATGATTGACCTTAAGAAGGCCACATAAATTATGTCCTAAAGTGGAATGTCAAAACCAACATAACCAAAGCACCAATTATAAAAGAAGAATGAATTAAAATTTATTTTATTCTCTACTAATTGCAAAATTTATGGTTTTAATTTAGACACGACGAGTCTGAATAAAAGAAAAATTTCCATGACCAATTACGTTTATTTCCAGAAGCAAATTAATCACGGCGCAACACATATTGGGCGATAACCCAAAATTTCACGAGTTATAGAAATTTGTTTCGCGTCCGGGATTAACACGTAGGAATCGTACTGAGCATCGGGACTATTATTCACGCTAGCGTATCCTGAAAAAGAAACTGAGGCGTTTGATGTGCACCACCGAGGGTTGGTGCTGTTGATTCTGCTCAAAGCGACCCAACACCAACCGCCGCTGTACGGCGTGCCTGAAAAATATTTTATATTAAAATTTATGAATGTAAAATTAATCATTTTAGAGATGAAAGCTGAATTTTTAAAGAATTTAAACATTCAAGAATTTGCTTACTAATCCCGGCCAGGCATTGAATATCGTCCACAGTTTCGATAGACGCGAGTTTCATTCCGTACGAGCAGCAGACGTTAAACGCTTGTTGAAAATTTACCTGTGCATATATTTATTAAAGCGGAGCATTACTTAAGTAGGTGCAATTATTTTTACAGCATTTTGATAATTAAAGTACTTCTTGCCACAAATACTTCGCACGTGGCCGGTGGGAATCGTGCAATTTCCCGTACAGTTGGCCACTGAATCAGCAGAGGTTGCCTTTGGAAACAAATTTATTTTTGAAAATTAAAATAAAAAAAACTCCTACATTCACGACGCAGGCTTTTGGATCGTAACATAATGCTTGAGGCGGTAGTGGAGCAGTTTCCTGATTTTAAATTTTTATAATTTTTTTTTAAATTAATGGCAATTACAATAGGCATTGATTGGTCCATGGACATAATTAATCCGTTAAGAACCTCAGGCGCTTTCTCGCTGCTGCATTTTATCATTTGCGCCGCTTTGTCGCACTCGTCCATTCCAGCTAATTTATTTTTAATTCATTCAAAAATATTTTATTCCGCGGACAGAAAAATTTCGCACATGTCGAATTGCCGCACTCGTCCATTATTCCCATCGACTTTTGCAGTTCGTCCACATTTCCTGCAGATATTTTCTCCAAAGCGGCCAAAACCTCATTCTCCAAAAATTTTCCGTTCACCATCTGATAATTATTTGTATTTTGAAACTGGATTGTTTTAAAATTAATTACAGACCAATCCAGAGTTTTCGCCAATACATCTAACAAAGCACTGAAAAAGTATTATAATTATTTTTGTTAATTTTCAATTGTATTTTTATTTGCCCTTATCCTTGTGTCTTTTTTAATGCTGGGGTTCAAAATTCCATCTATTTCAGCTGTAAATTTTTAATAATATCAGATAATAATGTAAATAATATATAATAAATTTCTACTCTGGTTAACATTGTAAATTGCAGCACACTCGTCTCTAACTGCAGTGCCACCTGAACTTGATTTTGAAGTGTCCCGAGCCTGAAAATTTATTTATATTTTTATACATACATATAAACAGGCCAATTTTTTCAATTCTCACTTCACAAATGTATCTGATTTTTGAGTCCTCGTTGTAATCAAATAGCTGGGCTTTTGCGGAGTCGATAAAAACAACGACGGAACTTTCATTTCCGTCGGCGTTGTCCGGTTGATTTGGAGCCCAAATGGCCTCTTGCCGCAAAGTTCTCTTCGCCGTGCAATAACCGTAATTCGATTCGCAGCCCTGATCGCTGCCCGACGTCCAGTAAAAGTCACTCGACGACGCATTTTCTTTAAAAAAATTATTTCTATAATATTTATAAAGTAATATTACCTTTAATCGCCTGTATGACTGATTTGTATTTGTAGTCGTACTCTAAACTCAACAAAGTCATTCCAATTTCGCAACACGCCTTCATCGCTCCAATATACTAATTAAAAAATTTTCAATTTGATAATGCAGGAAATTTTAATTACAGTTGTGGTTTTATTTGGAAAACTGAATAGATAAGACCGTCCATTATAAGTGAACCAACTTCCGTGCAAACTTGGATCTGAAATTATAAGTTTTAATTTAAACACTCCTTAAAAGAGAATACTTAAAATTACTTGTTAAATATTGCAATTTTCCTGAAGTGGAATATAGAAGCATCTGAAAATTGAAGAAATTATTGAATAACCATTACAACTTAATATTTGCTAATATTTATTACATTTTTTGCACATGTAACATTTGGGCAGACGGGGCTTGAGCACGTTGGGGCCGGAGTTGGTCGTCCCTGCAAATTCATTTTGTAACATTTTCTTTTATAATTTTTATTTTAACTCACTTGACACGCGAATATTTGCGGATCGGTGCAAGTTCTGTCCGAGAAAGTGTAATTTGCGTTCGCTTTCGACACGTTGAGGTGCAGACAATTTTCACTGTTGTTGAAATTTTGAGGCTGTCCTGCCGCCCACGGTATTTTTCCTTTCTCAACCGTAAACGACCCGTTTTTGGTGCACCACGAAAAGTCGCTTTCATTCACTCGTAATCCAGATGTCCAGTAACTGGAGCTATATTTCCATTTGGAAACTATAATTTTATTTAATTGTTGTTTAATTCTTTGTAATATTCGTCATTCAAATATACCTAATTTTGTGAAACAGTCGAGTTTTGATGCATCTTCAAAAGTCAGAGGCTCCATTCCAAGTTTGTAGCATCTTATGAAATTGTCCCTCCATGTCGCCTTAATAGTTTTAAAATTAGATTTTTTAATAACACAAATTCTGGACAACCAAAGATTTTCCAAAGAGAAACTGCTGACCACACGATTGAACCCAAAACCCATACTTCTCAGGATCTAATTTCCATTAAAAATCGAAGAGAATTTTATTTTTTCTAATTATACCTTTAAGAGTTCCAGCAGTATCAATTAAAGTAGTCTGCAGCGTAAAGTAAATCCTTACAAAATCATATCATTACAAAATTCAAATTACGTCTCTTTCAAATGAAGTGTCACAAGTTCCAAGAATAAGCTCCTGAAAGTTGTAATAAAATAAATTATTTTATTTTATTTATTTTTATACATACCTCTTTCGTCGGAGGTTTTGTGGTTGTCGTAGTTGTTGGTGTTGTTGTAGTCGTCGGCGTCGTCGTAGTGGTTGATGTTGTAGTTGTTGAAGTACTTGTGCTAGTAGAAGTGGTTTCTGTAGTAGACCTGTGAAAATATTTGGTTAAAAAAGATCAAATTTGGAAGGGAAAAAAATTAACGCTTCAGTATATTGTTCCGTTGTAATTTCTTCAGTTAGAGGGTTCGTTTCAGGTTCCGTTGCGCTCTCTGTTGTTGAAGATGATGACAGAAGCTTGCTTTCAGTCTGAAAATTAAATTCACCTCATAATCATGGAGTAACACATTTTAAAAGTAATTTTTGTTACTAAATGCATTTCTTTTTTACACAACACAATTATTTTCACTTTAAATTCTGACAATGTGCATAAAAAGTTCTAAATAATTATGTTTTCTTTGCAAAAATACCGTGCTTTTTGAAATCGTCAAGTTTGTAGAAACCACCGTCTTGATTTTCGTAGCAGGTTTTACACAGGAACCTCCTCCGCAGCACTGCACAATTGCATGTCTCCTATCTGTTAAAACTTATTCTTAAATTTCTATTAAATATAAAATGCACATAGCCAGAAAAAATTTAAATGCTGTACCTTTCTTAGCTGCATCTGTTACATTAAGAAATGCGAGAACCTTTGGAAATTAAATAATATGAAAAGGAAAGATATAATATATAAAATGTGATAAATCTTTACAGTGACGAAGAGAAACAGTTTTAAATTTTTTCTTCGCATGTTTCGTTTTTTGCCACGCAACCTGTGCAACCAAATATTAACAAATGGTCCAACGGAAGGTTAGCACTCAAAATTACGGAAAAATCCCAGCTATTGTGTTTGGATTTCCCGAAGATGATAATAATGAATGTATTTTTTTTTTTTACTTGTGACATTGCCTTTGGTTACGAAATAAATTTAATGTGTTAACGTTTAGCTAATTCAATAAAATTTTCACGTTACCTTTGGAATGCGTGAAACTGCACTTCTGAAGGTAGATTTAGAAAACATTGTTAAACGTCGAAGGCCTGTTATGTGCTCTATTATTTATGAAAGTTTGAAAAAGTCAATATTGGACACGTTTATAAGAAAGGATTCCCCCCTTTCTTTAAATAATTTTTTTAAAGCAATTATTCATAATTATATTTCTTTGCTACAATATCACAATATGCCGACCTCAGAATGATGTAAGCAACTGTTTAAGCTTGTGTCGTGCAGATTGCATACATTCGTCTTGCAACAAATTTCACATTTATTTTGCGATTTTGTACATTTTCGTCCAAAATTATGAATGGGGCCACGTGATTGATTATTTCATTTGAATATGTTAAATTTTGAAACATTGTATATTTATTAATCATCACTAAAAAATTTTAAAATTTTGTTAGCTTTTCCCAGCTTTATCTAGAGAAAAGGAAAAGAAATTTAAAAACAAACAAAATGGTTTTTCTGCAAACTGAGGGGCTACGAATTGTCTGATTTTATAATTTTTGTAGTTTTCTGGTGAACTTAATTTAGACATCATTTAAATCTGCAATTGAAATTTTGAATCATCTGGTTGTTAACTTTTACACCAGATCAATCGCGAAATTTTTTTATCGAACATAAGTGCTTAAGGGAGGCTCACAAAATAAAACAATCGATTCAAACATAAAAAATAATGAAGTGAAATTTTATTTCACAGGTTTCACGCGCTTTACATAATTTTCAGCACCAGTAGGTTTCAATTTTTAACAGCCATTTTTGAGTGGAAATTATTCGCCGATCGACTTTCAGTTTTAACAATTTATCTTGATCGTGAAATTTCTTTTGCAAAATTAAACTTAAATATAGTGCATAATATTGATTGAGAACACACAACACATTCATCGAGAGCAGTTAATTGATTGTTAATTTTCCATTTTGAGGTTTCCCCTCTTTCCATTAATACCAATTAAGCTGTGATAAATTCCATTCTGGCCAATATTGTATTTAATCCATGTTTGTTTAAAAAAACTTTACTTTTGTTTTTAACTTAAAATATATTGATTTTATAATCAATCAGAATTCCTAGTAAAAAACTAGAGTGACATTCAAGATCATGAATATAAGTCTAAAACATAAGGAGAGCTTGGATGATTTAATTTAAGGATTTTTGCGATATTTGAGGAAACACCAAAGTCACATGGGATTTAAGGGATGGAATGCATGAAGGGGATGGAATAGACATTAAACCAAGAGGAACCAATTAAAGCATAGTTATGTTTGATGTCTGAATTTTACGGCGGCACCGCCCCCAACTCTGGATCTTGAGAAGGCCCTAATATGTTAGCTTTTAATGAAGAGTATTTACTGTCTTTATGTCTTATGTCACGTCAATTGTAAATTCTTAACTCAAGCAGGCGCTGCATTATTTGCACAGTACGCAATCAAAGTAATCATGTTGTGCTGCTCTTATGGTCTTGGCGCGTAGTTGCACTATATATATGTCGAGGGCCGGGTCTGAGCTATCTAAAATAGTGGTATATCCTGAAAATGACACTGTAGCGTTAGAGGTGCACCATCGAGGAACGGTGCTGTTGACTCTGCTTAACGCAACCCACGTCCAATCTGCCACCAAATAATGGGCTGTTAAAAAAGGTAGCTTTAAATTTATTTTTTCAAGAATATTCCTTCTGAACGTGCAGAATTATTACAGAATAAATAATATTTGTTAAAAAAATTCCGTACTGCTTTCAGAGAGACAGTTTAATTCGTCATCACTTTCAATGGAGGCTATTTTCATGCCAACTCGGCAGCAAACGGAGGATGCATCATTGTATGGAACCTAAAAATGGAGGCTAAATTAAAACTAATGCGATGAATTTTTTTATACTTTACAGGAATCTTATGGTGGTAGTATTTCTTGTTACACCGATTTAATGCAAAACCACTTGAGAGTTCGCAAAAACTGTTGACGCAATTGGTTACTGCATTGCGTAAAACAGTCTGTATATTTGAATTATTTTATTGTTCGCGCCTTTTATGAATAACTTTAAAAAAATACGTCAATAGGAACACCACTGCATGATGTATCCGGACAAACTGCCACTGGAGGCAAAGGGTACTTTTCCTGTTCAAAATATTATTGTAATTTAAATACAAATAGGGAATTAAGCATTTTTTATACCACAGGCATCACTTTGTCCATCTCCATGACAACGCTTTTTAGAACCTTAGGCGCTTTCTCGCTGCTGCATTTTATCATTTGGGCCGCTTTGTCGCACTCGTCCATTCCACCTAATTGATTTTATTCTTACTTAAAATGACGAAATTATTTCAGAAATTTTCAAACTTGTGGATTTTCCGCACTCGTCCATCACTTCCATACTTTTTTTCAGTTCGTCAAAATTTCCCGCAGCTATGTTTTCCAAAATTGCCAAAATTTCGTTTTCCAAAATTTTACCATTCACCATCTGAATTTGACAATTTAATATAATTATGAAGAATGTTGAAATTTTTTAATCAACCAAGCCGGAGTTTTCACCCAAACATTTGAGAAAACACTAAAAATTTTGTTTTAAGTTTTAATTGATTCACATATTTTTTTAGAGTGAAATTTCTAACCCTTATCCTTGTGCCTTTTTTGATGCTCGGGTTTAAAAGACCATCAATTTCAGCTAAAACAAGGATTACAATAAACACATAAAATAACATTAAATTTTCATCAAACTTTGAGTGACGTTGTAAATTGCAGCGCACTCGTCTTGCACTGCCGTTCCTCCAGAGCTTGCATTTGAAGAATCCCTCACCTTTGTTCAATTAATCAGATCATTAAATTATTATTTTTAATAATAAGTTTACTTCACAAATGTATCTGATTTTTGAGTCCTCGTTGTAGTCAAATAGCTGGGCTTTTGCCGAGTCGATAAAAACAACGACGGAACTTTCATATCCGTCGGCGTTGTCCGGTTGACCTGGTGCCCACACGGCCTTTTGACGCAAAGTTCTATTCACCGTGCAATAGCCAAAATTTGATTCACAGCCACGATCGCTGCCGGAAGTTCTGAAAAAGTCACTCGACGATACGTTCTCTTTTTTTGGGGAACATTTCATTTAAAAACGTGATGATTTTTAAATTTTAGATTTACCTTTAATCGCTTGTATGACTGATTTGTATTTGTAGTCGTACTCTAAGCTTAACAAAGTCATCCCAATTTCGCAACACGCCTTCATCGCTCCGATATACTGATCAAAAGTTTATTTTATTTTAATTATTTCAAGAAATTTCAATTACAGTGGTGGACTTATTTGGAAAACTAAAGAGATAAGTCCGCCCATTATAAGTAAACCATCTTCCATGGGAACTTGGATCTGTATAATTAAACATACAAAACTATAATTATATAAAAAAAACCAACAACTTTTTACTTGTTAAGTATTGTGTCTTTCCTACAACCGCAAAAAAGGAATCCTGCGCGATGATTTTTAATTTTTTGAAATATTCAACATTCATAATTTTCCATTACATTTTTCGCACAAGTTACATTTGGGCAGACTGGACTTGAGCACGTAGGGGCCGGAGTTGGTCGTCCCTGCAAATTCATTTTGTAACAATTTCTTTTATAATTTTTATTTTAACTCACTTGACACGCGAATATTTGCGGATCGGTGCAAGTTCTGTCCGAGAAAGTGAAATTCGCGTTCGCTTTTGACACGTTGAGGTGCAGACAATTTTCACTGTTGTTGAAATTTTGAGGCTGTCCTGCCGCCCACGGTAGTTTTCCTTTCTCAACCGAAAACGACCCGTTTTTGGTGCACCACGAAAAGTCAGTTGCGTTCACTCTTAAGGCAGACGTCCAGTAATTGGAAGTGTATTTCCATTTGGCGACTATAAAATCGTATTATTTTTAAATTTAAACCCATTAAATTTTATTTTTGAATGTACCTAGTATGGTGAAGCATTGACGTTTGCTCGCATTTTCAAATGTTAGGGGCTCCATTCCAATTTCGTAACATCGAACAAAATTGTCCCTCCATGTGGCCTAATTAAATTTATTTTTATTTTCTCAGTTTAATAATTTTTGGTGGTACCAAAGATTTTCCAAAGAGAAATTGCTGCCCGCACGACTGTACCCAAAATCCATATTTCTCAGGATCTTTTCATAAATGAAGAAATTTATTATTTTAATACATATTTAATTGATTTTAAATTCTGCCTTTTAGTGTCCCGTCTCTATCAAGTAACTTTTCCTGCATTGTTCTTTTATTATGAAACAAATTTATTGCTTGATATTTATGATATTTACGTTTTTCTTGAAATTTGTGTCACAAATTCCTCGGATAAGTTCCTATTTGATTTTAAGTTTATATATTGATGATATTCAATCATATAAAATGACCTCTCTGGTTGGAGCTTTTGTTGTGGTCGTGGTGGTTGTAGACACTGTCAGTTTTTTTGTTGCTTGTGTTGAGGTACTTGTTAATGACATTATTGTGTGTGTTGATTTTGAACGTATATTTGTTGATGTTGTTGTTGATGGTACTGAGGTTTTTGAAGATACAGTTCTTGTTGAGGTACTAATTATGGAAGTGCTTGAGGAACTTGGTGCCTCAGTTAGTGACTCTGAAGTAAAGCTGTTAACATAAAATTATACAAATTGTTTTTATTGAAAATAATATAAATAATTACATCGCTGACGTCAACTCTTCAACTTTTCCATTAGATTTCATAGGATCTGTGCTTGGAACTTCCGTCGGTTGTTCGATACTCCCAAGAACTAGCGTTGTTAATAATTTGGCCAAGTAAGATGGGGTTCTTGTTGTTGTTGAGGTGCTTGAGGAACTTGGTGCGTCAGTTAGCGACTCTGAAGCAAAACTGTAAACAAAAAATTATTCCAACTTTTTATTGAAAAAAATATAAATAATTAACATCGCTGACGTCAACTCTTCAACTGTTCCATTAGATGTCACAATATCTGTGTTGGGAACTTCCGTTGGTTGCTCGGTAGTCTCAGTACTTCCATAAACTAGCATTGTTGTTAACTTGGCCGAATAATTCTGATCATTTAAATTTCAAAATAAAACATGTTTCATTATTTTTTTTTCTTGAATTTTTACTGTTCCTACCAAGCTCTTAGATGGACTGATGATACTGGCAGGCATTACTTTACCAGCAAAATTTGTGCATGAAAGTTTGCCGCAACACTTTATAATCATTTTCCTGTTGTTATCTGCAATTAAAAATCAATTTAAAATTAAAAAATCAGAATTTTGTTCAACATTCACAATATCTTAATGTTCCTTTTTTCCCTTTTTTTGCTTCTGCTGTTTTATCATCTTTGAATACCTAACGAATTTCAAAATTTTAAAAATAAACTGTATACATGAAAAATTGAAACTAGTCGAACCTCGTTGGAAAGAAAAAATGACAAAATAAAAGCACAACTTGACCCCTAATTTTCAATTCTCCCAATTTTATTATTAATTTTTGATAAATTCCTCCAACTAAGTTTTAGTTGGGGACGAGAAACTCTAGTTTTTAAGTACCAGGTCGCCTTATTTTGGGGTCAGTTGTTGTATTATTTTTTTCCATTTTTCTTTGCAACGAGGCTCGCCCGGTTTCAATTTTTCAAGAAATCCAACCTCACGTGTTGGCATTCAATTGAAAACTTTATAAACTTTGCAATGAATTCACATTTACATTTATGAAATTCTAAGATTATTATAAATATAAACCATACCATGCATAGTAGAAATAAGTGCACAAGCACCATATTAACCGTTTTCATGTTTTTTCCTCCGTTAATAACTTTTTCAACCGAGTTCGTAAAGTTCTGTTGGCAAATGGCAAAGTACCGGACGGGAAACCGGGTTCCATTGCAAATTTATTTGCCGGCTATAAATTACGATATAATGCAATGTCACGTACTGGGTGTCAAATAAATAATCCGCGGTTGACAGCTCGCCACGGGCGAACCGTTGGTCCAATTTGAAAAATCTGAACAGATTCTCAAAGCCCTACTTTCTCCAAATTTGTCAGAGATGAAATTTTAATTTTGCTTGAAAGACTAAAAATGCCTATGGGAACACCCGTGTAGTGGCAAATGGTGTGTGTGAAGTTAAAAGTGTGAAACAAATTTTTGATAGGTAATTCAACCCTCCTGAACACGAATCTGGGGTCTATTTTTCTGTCATTCTCATCTGGAGTCTCGTTATTAAAAATGGCTGCCAGCTCGTTGATCGTTTACCATGTGCGAATAGATGCAAGAATTAAAATCGTTGATGTGCCGCTTCCCGCAGACTCATCTTTTTGGTGGGACATTCAGTATATGGTACTGCGCACATTTCCCCCCACAATTTTTACATTTGCATTCAACAATAGCTTCGTAGTGAAATTTTTTATTTTCATAAAACAAATAGTGATATCCATGACAAGAAATTAAGTATTCTAGCATTTTTTAAATAAAATTTTTGTGATGGTTCATCAACGGCCAAATATCCAAAAGAATCAAAATAATTAAGTTATTATTGATTTATTAATAATTTATCCAATTAAAACCCAGTGCTCTCCTACGATAAACAAAAGATAAAGTATCATTCATAAAGAAAAACTTTGAAAAATTTATTTTTCCAGGATCTGTATTTACAATCCACATACCAGTCTCTGCTGGTGGTGCTTTTGGCAATTCGTCTGATGCACATACTTTTACATTAAGACCATTTACATAGCATTGAATTTCATTGGTTCTCATGTAAAAATTTAATTGGATATTAAATAATATTAAGGAGAGATATATTATATTAAATGTGACGAAAGAAACAGTTGTAAATTTTTTCTTCGTATGATTTGTTATTTGCCAAGCAACCTGTGCGACCAAATATTAACAAATGGTCCAAAGGAAGGTTAACACTAAAATTTACGGAAAAATCCCAGCTATTGTGTTTGGATTTCCCAAAGATGATATATGCATAATATGTATTTTTTAGTTGTGACATGGCCTTTGATTACGATATAAATTTAATTTAAAATTTGAAGCTAATTCAATTAAATTTTCTCGTTACCTTTCGATTGCTTAAAATTGCCTTGCTGAAGTTAAAATGAGAAACCATCAGGCAAACGTCAAAGACCTGTTTGCCTTCTTCCATTTATTAAATTTTGCAAAAAATCAATAATGTTGACGTTTATGGGATAGGATTGTTCTTCCGCTATTTTTTTTAAATTTTTGTTTCTTAAATAGAAATTATTCATATTTTTTTGCTACAATATGCCGCACTGGACCTCATAATCAGAGTGCCGTATGCAACTGGTTAAGCTTACGTGTCGTGCGTATTGCATACATTCGTCTCACTAGAAATTTGTAATTATGTACGTTCTGTTAAAATTAAACTATGGATTTGTAAAAAGAGGCCACATAGTTGATTATTTTATATGAATTTATTAACATTTAAAACACTTGAATTATCAATTATTATTATTGCCACTCTTGTATAGGTTTATGTTGTGATATTTATTACAAATAGTGCACTGAAAGACGTAATTCACCCGTTTTCAATTTTTTTAGCTCTTCACCCAATGCAAGACTCATATCAGTGTCTAGAGTCCGTGTCGAGTCGCTAGTTAATGGAAAATGCACAAAAATGAAACACTTTTTTGGTTTTAATAGAAAAAAAAATTAATATGAAATTTTATTTACTGGGTGTCTTACAAAGTTTTCTTGGCATATCTAGGTTTTTTATTTAAATTTTAAGAGCAGAAATAATGAAAAAGCTGTAGAATTACGTGATTCGCATAAGATATAAATCAAGGCGCTGATTATTTGCACAATATGTAATTAGAGTACAACTGACTTGCGGCTATTAAGGTCTTGATATTTAGTCGCACTGAATATGTGTCGAATGCAGGGTCAGAGCTGTCTGAAAAGTTAGTATATCCTGTGAAGGACGCCGTAGCGTTCGAGGTGCACCATCGAGGAACGGTGCTGTTGACTCTGCTCAACGCAACCCACGTCCATTCTCCGGCCAAAACGTTGGCTGTTAAAAAAAGGTAGCATTTTATTCTATTTTTCTAGCTAAATCATTTTAATCAGGCAAAATTATTTCAAAAAATATAATTGCTATATAATTTTTTTTTTTAAATGGGAAATTTCTTACTACTTCCAGCTAGACAGTTTAATTCGGCATCACTTTCAATCGAGGCAAGTTTCATTCCAATTTGGCAACAAAGGGTGTATGCATCCTTATATGGAAGCTATAAAGGCTAAATTAAAACTAATTTGGTGCATTTTTTTTACTCTTTACGTAAGTACCGTGGTGGTAGTATTTCTTGTTACACACAGAATATACATAACCACTCGAGAGGGTGCACGAACCGATGCAAGTGTTCACTTGACTTTGAGCAACAGTCTGTAAATTAATTATTATATTTTTCATGCCGTTTTTTTGTGTTAATTAAAAAAAATACGTCAATAGCAACGCCACTGCATGATGTATCCGGACAAACTGCCACCGGAGGCAAAGGCATCTTTTCCTGTTCAAAATATTAATTTTTAATTTATGCGAATAATTGGATTTTTTTTATTTACCACGGGAATCGCTTGGTCCATCGCCATAACAACGCTGTTCAGAACCTGGGGCGCTTTCTCGCTGCTGCATTTTATCATTTGCGCCGCTTTGTCGCACTCGTCCATTCCACCTAATTGATTTTATCCTTCAAGGACGAATTTAAATAATAAAATTTCAAACTTGTTGAATTTCCGCACTCGTCCATCACTCCCATGCTTTTCTGCAGGTCGTCCAAATTTCCCGCAGCCATTTTTTCCAAAATTGCCAAAACTTCGTTCTCCAAAAATTTTCCATTCACCATCTGAATTTAAAATTTTAATCAAATCAAATTCTTATAAATTTTTATATCAACCAATCCGGAGTTTTCACCCAAACATTTGAGAAAACACTGAAAATTTTGTTTGAAATGAAATTAATTTTTAGTTTATTTCTAACTTTTATCCTTGTGTCTTTTTTAATGCTCGGGTTTAAAAGACCATCAATTTCAGCTAAAATGAAATAATTACCAGTGAAACTAAACAAAAATTAAATTCTCGGAATAAAACTTTGATTGACGTTGTAAATTGCAGCGCATTCATCTCGCACTGCTGTTCCTCCAGAACTAGCATTTGAAGTATCCCTCGCCTTTGTTCAATAAATAATTTTCCATTAAAAATATTAATTAATAAGTTTACTTCGCAAATGTATCTGATTTTCGATTCCTCATTATAATCAAATAACTGTGCGCTGCTGGCGTTGATGAAAACAACGACGGAACTTTCATTTCCGTCGGCGTTGTCCGGTTGATCAGGGGCCCAAACGGCCTCTTGCCGCAAAGTCCTCTTCACCGTGCAATAGCCAAAATTTGATTCGCAGCCATGATCGCTGCCGGAAGTTCTGAAAAAGTCGCTCGACGATACGTTCTCTTTTTTTGGGGAACATTTCATTTTTAAAAATTAGATTTTTAAATTTTAGATTTACCTTTAATCGCTTGTATGAGTGATTTGTATTTGTAGTCGTACTCTAAACTTAACAAAATCATCCCAATTTCGCAACACGCCTTCATCGCTCCAATATACTGATTAATTTTTTTTTATCTACAATTAGATTAATTCAGGAAATTTTAATTACAGAGGTGGTTTTATTTGGAAAACTGAAGAGATAAGACCGCCCGTTATAACTAAACCATTTTCCGTGGAAATTTGGATCTGAATTTTTTAATCATAAAAATTTATAGAATTTCAAAAAAGTTACAAATTTACTTGTTAAGTATTGTAATTTTCCTACAGTCGTATAGAAAAGATCCTGCGCGATGTTTTTTAAATTTTAATTTAATATATTTAACAATATTTTTTACATTACATTTTTCGCACAAGTTATATTTGGGCAGACTGGACTTGAGCACGTAGGGGCCGGAGTTGGTCGTCCCTGCAAATTTATTTTGTAAAATTTTCTTTTAAAATCAATTATTTTAACTCACTTGACATGCGAATATTTGCGGATCGGTGCAAGTTCTGTCCGAGAAAGTGAAATTCGCGTTCGCTTTTGACACGTTGAGGTGCAGACAATTCTCACTGTTGTTGAAATTTTGGGGCTGTCCTGCCGCCCACGGTAGTTTTCCTTTCTCGACCGAAAACGACCCGTTTTTGGTGCACCACGAAAAGTCAGTTGCGTTCACTCTTAAGGCAGACGTCCAGTAATTGGAACTGTACTTCCATTTAGCAACTATGAGTTAAATTTAAATGAAACACGCAAAATTTAAATTTTGAATTTACCTAGATTTGTGAAGCATTGATGCTTGCTTGCATTTTCAAATGTTAGAGGTTCCATTCCGATCTCGTAACATCTAACAAAATTTTCCCTCCATGTGGCCTATTGAAATTTATTTTAATTTTCAGATAATTAAATTTTGGTGTTACCAAAGATTTTCCAAAGAGAAATTGCTGCCCGCACGACTGTACCCAAAATCCATATTTCTCGGGATCTTTTTATAAATGAAGAAATTTAAATAAAAATTAAGACAACAGAATTAGAATAAATTCTATAACATAATAATATTATTAATGCCTTTTAGTGTCCCGTCAGTATCAAGTAACTTTTCCTGTTTTTTTTTTTTGCATTATGAAGCAAATTAATTAGATTATAATTTTATTATTTACGTTTTCCTTGAAAGTTGTATCGCAAGTTCCGAGGATAAGTTCCTAATTGATTTATTTTAATTTATAAACTTTTATAATATTGATTTTAAACCTCTTTAGTTGGAGCTTTTGTTGTTGTTGTAGTGGTCGTGGTCGTGGTTGTTGATGGTGTTGTGGTGGTAGTGGTGGTGGTAGTTGTTGATGTTGTTGTTGTTGTGGTAGTTGTGGTTATTGTCAGTTTTGTTGTTGCTTCTGTTGAGGTACTTGTTGATGACGTTATAATATCTGTTGATGCTTTAGGTATTGTTGTTGACGTTGTTGTTGATACTGATGGTACTGTGGTTTTTGTGGTTGTTGATATTACGGTACTACTTAAGGCAGTGCTTGAGCTAGTTGAGGGACTTGACGTCTCAGTCAGGGACTCTGACGTAAATCTGTAAATTCAAAATTAGAAAACATTTTTATTGAAAATAATAAAAATAAAAACATTGGTGACGTCGGTTCTTCAACAATTCCATTAGATGTCAGAATATCTGTGATTGGAGCTTCTGTTGGTGGCTCGGTTTTCCTATTCCCAGATACTAGGGTTGTCGATAAATCACTGGAGTAATTCTAATTAATTTAATTTCAATTAAAACTTCACTGGTTATTCATAATATTTAAATTTTTAAGCCGATTCTTTTTTTTTGTCCAAATTATTTTAGAGGACCAATTTCTTTCAAAATTCTTGGATACATTTGATTGCATTGAAAATTTCACACCCACATTAAATAATTTTTTCTCATAGTTTTTACATTACCGAGCTTTTAGATGGAGTGATGATACTGACAGGCTTTACTTTACCAGCAACATTTGTGCACGAAAGCTTTCCGCAACACTTTATAATCGTATTCCTGTGGTTGTCTGCAATTCAAATTCAAATTTAAATTAAGTAGCCATAATTTTAGTCAACATATTCGCAATAACTTGACGCTCCCTTTTTCCCTTTTTTCGCTTCTGCTGTTTGATCAATTTTGAATGCCTAACGAAATTAAATTTTTTTTAATTAACCATCACTTCGCAATAATTCAAATTTCCCGTAATTTCCATGTTACAAAAATCTCTTAAGATTATTTTAAATCATACCATCCATAAAAGAAAGTAGTGCACGAGCACCATGTTACTCGTTTTCATGATTAACCAATCTGACATCGACCAAACAGTTGGTTGGCAAACTACCGGAAACCAGGAAAAATATGGTTCCGTTGAAATTCATTTGCCAGCTATAGCCGACTTCAAACTCAATTTTGCTCTTGCGCAGATGGAATGATCTCTAAATAAAATTTTTGTAAATATTGGTTTGGGATAATTTTTTTTTTTTAATTCTTTTTGATTTTGAGAAAAATTACTTTAATTACAATAATAAAAATCTTACTGAGTGAAGACGTTGGCATTCAAGCAGATGAAAATGGACGTGAAGAACACCAGCTTTGTCCTAGTGATTTTTTTTTAAGCCTGCGTCACGGCCTGCAACCAAATTACAAAATCTTTCATCAAGGTGGCCGCGATTTGAGCCTCCATAAAAAGCATTTTATTTGTCGTTTGCGAAACAACTGGGCCGTATTTTTGGCGTAATTAACAATCTAAACTAAACCTCTATGCTCATATATCAATCAATTTAAAAAAAATTTCCACGACACATAAATTAAACTTTTAAACAATTTAATAAATCTCCCGGGCAGAGTTAGTTTGCCAATTTTCTCTGTATATTTTTTGCAAAATATTTAGTTTCATATTTTTCTTACTTATGGTAATTCTATTAAATTTCATTTCCTTCTTTATATATGAATATGGTTTTCTTCTTCTGCCCGTCCCGACTCCACAGTCTCCACTCGACAGGCGCTTTTTTAAATATTGCAAGGAAGCTGGTAGAGGGGAGGTGGAGTTGAGTTTGGTTCGAGCCGGCTTAAGAATCAGTCTGTATTCTTCATTTCGCTGAGTAGCATAAGCTAATCTTGCATTCTCTTTCATCGATTTGATCTTCTGTTAGTTCTGCTACTTGAATCAAGGTATGCTTTCGGTTAAATTTTAAACATCAAGTGAAACGGTTTTTCACATTTTGCATAATCAATTTTTTGAATTTTTTTGTAAGTTAAGATATGAAGCAGGGAAAAAAAACGTCGGGCACTTCCTATTCTTATGCTAATATTTCAATTATTACAATTAAAAGTCAGAAATTTGTGTTAAATTTTTTTCCTCTTGTATCAACAATTTTTGCACATCCTGTAAAATATATTTTAATTTTTTATTAAAAAAAATTGGAAGAGCATCGAATTGTTGCTAATTACGTATTTTTTTAATTAAATTATAAATTAAAATTTCTTGAAATTTTATTAAAATATCACGATATATAAATATTTTTTTTACCAGAATTTGGAGAAAATGGCATTGCAATTGCATGTAGGAGAAACAGTGTTTTCCTATGGACATTTCATGTTCCCAACGCCTGTAAACGGTATCGTGGACACCCAAGGGTTTCTTAAGGCAGCTGAAGGCATCAACTATTTTATAGGCAAGTATTTCTTGTGCTTTTTTTAGATATGGCGTGACTTATAAATAAATTGTGCATGTTCGCAGATCTTTTTTGTGGCGGTTCAAAGTCGGTGGCAGTCGGACACCCCTTTAACGTAGTCAGCGCCTTGTCAAGTATGCCTAAATCAGTGGCTTTGGGTGGCCCTTTGACCCAGCTGGCCCTCGGACATGTCCGAACTGTCCACAAGGATGTTATCTCACACGTGGCCTTAATTAATCTTAAGCGCAATTTGGAAGTAAAAATATTATTTTAAACGCGCAGAATGTATGTTTATTTCATTGATTCATTCTCAAATTTCAGCTGGTGTCCAGCGCGTACAACAATAATCCAAAAAGGTATGCTACTATTAACGAAATGGTTGAAAACGAATTGGAAGCTGGAGAGGATGCAGTGATTGATGCGCTCCTTTGGACCAAAAGGTAAATTCACTGTCGCAGTGGAAACATTTATACCAGAATTTTCAATATTTTTGCAGTTAATATTATCAGAAGTTTAAAATAAGAAATTAAACCAAAAATCGAAATAAAAAAATGGATGCATAACAGAAACTTTGGTTATTTATTATTATTTTTAAAATCAGTACATTTCTCTCTCTTTATTATGTTAGATGTCTGCATTTTGGCCAGTTAACAATGGAGTATCTGGTGGCTGATTATAAGAGGGGAGACTTTGATGGCGACGTTTTGCCTCATTTGAAGCGTGCCTACAAAAATGCACTTGTCAAATATCACAATATTTTAACCACCAACTCGGCTAATGTATGTAAGAAACGTGATTTAAAATGGAAACTTAATTTAATAACTTTTTCCAACATCTCTGTTTCGCACAGGCCGCTATGTACTTATCTGCTCCAGGCAAAAGAGAAGCAATGCTGAAAATGTGTTTTAATGTTCGGGGTCATGAGGCGGCATTAATAAGAGACATGGACCTTGCTGCTGAAAGCATGAAAAGAACAATCAGAGCTATCGACCAAATCTACAGGACTAATGGTGTGAACCTTGAAACCACTGAGCGCTGCATTATTTTGTGAAATAATGAACCATAATAAACCATTTTTATTTCTAATCGGAACTTCTTTGCTATTTTTTTTACTGTATAATAGCAATTAAAAAATAAAAAAATGGGGGAGGGGAGTAAATGTAGCAACAATAAGGGATTTGAAAAGCAACGCGTAATCTCATAATTTCAGTGTAACATGTCATACAATTAGGGAGTAGAAGACAAAAATTGTTAGCGTAAAGCGAGTCAATTTTTTTGAATAGCTGCCCCTGTCAACCTATGGGCTAAAAATGCTTATCACAATTCAATTGTAATCCCAAATAAAATTTGAAAATCACATTCACTGATTCATTTGATAATAATTGAAAATATTTCATCAAAATCTATGAATGTCACTGGATATCAATAAAAAACATTTTTTTAATTTCTGTTGATATTAGTAATTTCTTTAAAGCTAAAAAAATGTTTGCTGGAAAGAATCCGCATTATGAAATATTTTAATTTTCGTAATAATCATTAAAAAAGCAGATCAACATTCAAGAAGCGAAAATTTCGATCAATAAGTTGATAAAAAAAAATACCAAATATACATGAATAATTAATCCTTTACATAATTCGTCGTCCAAAATTACTTTGTAGGTTATATTACATAAAAATTTATTTAAATCGATTAGTAAGAAAAAAATTACTTTTCAAATAATTCATTTCATTTTATATTTTTGCCCAAATAATTCGCAGTTTATCGAGGAAATGCCTGTAATGAAATCCAAATAGGAATTTAATATTATTATATTATATTGCAACTCTTTCATTGTCTTATGGTGTGATATTACAAATAGTGCACTCACTCAGACGTAATTCATATCAAGAAGCCTTCTTTTAAGAAATTAAATTTAACAAGATACCCAGCACATACTGTTACTGAAAACAAAACATAATGATGGACATTCCTCGAGCGCACATTAAGAATTTGTTTAGCAAAGATCAGTCATAATTTTTTAGTGATTCTATATACGCAGGATAGAGAATGTATATTTTTTCAACACTTTGTGTGTCTGAACGTTTCACCGTGGGTGCCGAGGAGCAGCCCAGCAACAAGAAAAAAGGCAAGAAGACGTTCGCGGCCGGAAGATATTTATGGCAACGTCCAAGGACAAAAAGCCGCATCAACCAGCAGCATTTATTATTCTAGCTTTTAGAGGGATCGTTCTACAAAAAGAAGAAACTATGCTCGCTTTTGATACTAGCGTGGTAGTAAAGTGAAATTTAAAATTTTTTCAATAATATTTTAATTTCATTACATGACTTGATTATTTAATGTTCATTGGGTTCTAATTATTATCACGAATATTTATCGACATCAAAGCTTGGTATTATTAATATTCCTCTCCGTCTCGGTACAAGAATTTTAAAAATTGGAAAATGAGACAATTTAGAAGGAAGAGTTTACAACTAAAGCAGATGACATGAAAAGAAGCGGCCACCGCGGTAAACCTACACCAAAAATAAAATAAAAATCACAAGCACTTTTTGCATTTGCTATACCACAAAATGCTGCTTCCACAGGGAGAGAATGTTGCTGAAGGGGTAGAATTTAATGTCTCCCGACGCTCCATCCTTTCACAACTTATTCACAATTAAGAGCAGAGGGAAAAAATTATAAACATCCATTTTAATTATTTTTGATTCTGGATCGCTAAATTTTCAAATATCTGTTGTTCTCCTCCACAGCATCAAATCTCATGCTTTCAAAAATTTCAACAGAGACAAATCATTTTCAAAACGAGGCTTCAAATAAATGGAATTTTTTTCAGTTATTTGCTACACCCGCACAATATAAAAGTCGATGGGTTGTGTTGTCAGACACATTTAAAATTACCTCTAGAATCTTACGTCAAAAAATATGTATATCATTGGAGGTTTAAGCAGACCGCAGCTAGTTATTTTAATACCTTTTCTTCTCATTTAACTTCTCAATTAATTTTTTCGTGTAGAGTATAAAATAAACAATGTAAATTCATTCAATATATTTCAATTATGAGAAGTGTGGTTTTAATTTCAAGCAATGAAATATCAATACGCTTAATTTATTCAAGGTGAAAATAAAAATCAAAATTTCGAGGCGAAATGCCCAGCACACATACATGGTTATTTTTCACATAAAAAATTATTTACTATACGTATAGAACAGTTAAAATGAAAAACAACTGAATAGTTTCACCTTTTATTTCTCCGAAATGCAAAGAGACTCTCCTCAAATTGTATTTAAGATTTATTAAGTTACTATACTATCCAATCATTATATTGCAACACTTTTATCAAATATCATGGTGTGATATTTCAGATATAAATTCTCACTGTCAGGCGCAATCCACCCATTTCCAACTCTGGCCATGCAACAATAAAAAAAAAAGAATATTATTCTGAGTGCAATATATTTAATACCATACCATAGACAATAAAGGAGTTACAATATAAACATAAAAATAAATATGATTTAAATATCATCACTCATCACTCAAGATGTGCAATATTGAAGGTAGGATAACGGAAAAAACGAAAATACAACGTGATATCGATGGACTTTCTTTGAGTCACCACGATATAAATAAAACCAATTTTGTTTATCTAGCAGCCAGAATTTTTATCTGGGATATTATATGAAGCAGAGAGAGAGAATCTGCAAAAGTTTTTGGCAGAGAGTTTGTTTTGCATTCGATGTTGGATCGGAATGGTTGACCTTCTTGGGCGAGAGGAGCAGAGCGAGAACGAAAACAGTCAACTGCTGCTATATCTAAACTCATAAAATTTCTTATTTATGGACGACGGCGCAAAAGAAATTGACACAGATGAGGGCCTAATGGGCCTATGCGCGAAAAAGGCATCCGGCCCAAGAGACGTTGATAGCAACACGACCAAGGCCAAACCACACCAACTATCGCATTAAGATTCTTGCACTCCTAGAGAGGGTCTGAGGGAGCTTGTTACAGAAAAAGAAGAAAGTATGCTCGCGCTCTTGAGCTTTGCAAGGAAGCTAGAGAGGGGAGGTTGAGCAAATTTTGTTGGATAGATGTTATGTATAAGAAAGGAGCAAAGGCGGAGCCTACTGAACATCACGCGCTGTGCTGGTGCAAATAGAAGGTTTCTCGCGGCTCCTCCTTTTTTTATATTTTAAATTATGCCAAATTTAAGCCTGGTTCAGACGACTCGGAATAGTCACTTCATTCATATTCTCTCAGTTCAAGAGAAGCGACAGCTAATCGTGCAAATTAATGCTGAATTCTCTCGCTTATCCAATTACTTCATCACTTGCAATTTTGTAACCAAGGTATGTAGAGCAGCATTGTTTTCATTCATATAAGAGCATACAGTATATCCGTTTCCGGTCTTATTGTTAGACATTGATAAGGAATTAATAAGTGCTCAAGAGCTTTGATCATATTTCTTCAAAAATCTTTATCTATGGCACCAAATATTTCACAGGATGACGTACTTTGCAAATACAAAATTGATTTGAAACATTTAGAACAGTCTCTAATCTATCAATTTTTACCCGACCGATATTAGTCAGACTTCATAAAAAAAAAAAAAAAACATTGAAAACTCCTATATAGTTCCCAATCAAATTGTATTTTTTTTTTGCTCGGAGATATAGTCAAGTGCAAATTTATGAATATTTACCGAATTTGGCCGATAAAAATTAATAAATAGTTATTGCAGGCTTCTAGCAATTAGCGTTTATTGTAAATGGAATTAGAAAATCACGTTTTCTCGGCACGAGAGATAGAAGTTTCGGCTGTGAGTCCGTGAAATTTTTTAGACATGACACGCTCCTACTTTTAATTAACGCTCACTTTGACGCTCTTTATATCAGCGCGCTGCCAGCCCCTTTCCCACTCTTAAAATGTTTTCCAGTTGACGGCTGAGTTCAAATTCACCGCTACAAAGCACAAAGCTATAAACTTTGCATACATTTGGGAAGCTGATTTAATTAAAACCCTTTTTCCATTGAATCATGTTTCTTGTTCTTAATAGGACTTACTCAGCTGAAACTAGGGTAAAAATTATTAAGCCTGAAAATTTAAATTTGAGATTGAAATTTTTCACTAAAATTAACTATCTAAAATTCAATCTCCCGCCAAGATTACGCTAAAAAACTAATAGGGGGGGGGGGGGGCATTCTTTTGATATTATCACCTAGTATTTTATACAATAAATCGCAATGAATTAGCTGGAAGACTCTAATTATACCAATGGTGTAAGTTCCGGTTCCGCCTTTATTATTTCCAACAAACTGATTTTTTTTTTAATTTTTTAATAGGTTAACCTTTCCTCTCAATATGTGTGACAAACAAAATCAACCTCGATTAATTTGTTTAAATTCTAAAAAAATAAAATTCTAACTTAGCAATCCATATTATTCAGAATTAATCTTTTTTAATTACATTTATAAATAATCATTTGAATAAACTTATTGTTTTTTTTTTTTTTAAATTTTTATCAATGTCCAATAAATATTTTCTTTGGTATGCAAATTGATGTCCATAAAGTGGCAATATGAATGTATCCATATATTTATATATTTTATATTATCCATATAATATATAATTATATTTCACCTGGCAGCTTATGGGCGTTCAAATCATCATATTGTTTGCACCATAGTTTTAAAATCCTGTGATAATGTTAATTTAGTTAATGGGTCCTTTTTAGACTCTGCGTCTATCATTAATTGCTCTTTCAATTTTCTATTGCGAGTTGATTTGTGAAGAATAAGCAATAAAAATATTTACAAGCCTTTTTGCTTTTCGATTTTTGGGAATGTCGTGACATATGACAGGACTCGATTAATACTAAAACCAATAATCAGAGGCCTTCTCAAGAACCAATTCTGGAGGCGAGCGCTCCAGAGTTAAATAAACAAATTTTTTATTATTAATTGGTCCCCTATCCATTCCAGCACTTACAATTAATGCATTTCTCATCCCTTAAATCTAAATCCATGTGACTTTGGGCTTATCCTTCATTATCTTTGAAGATAAGGAAGGAGTGGCACCATACAGAAAATTGTCTTAATGGGTGCTGAATAGATTCCAAACTTCATCTGAAGTTTTTCATTCTCTCTCTTTTTATATTTTTTACCCTGAAAAGTGTTAGCATTGTATTGTATTGCTAAGAGGTCGTTTCATGGACGAAGTGAGTCAGAATAAACGCTCGTCTGCACTGAGGATTTTATTCAAATTTATATTACTGTTTGCTCTCCAATAAAAATTTGTTCTTTTATTCATCTAGCCTTGGTTAACCAACGTCACTGTCGTCACTATTTTTCTGTCTTATTTAAAATAGATTTCGCTCGAAGTACCATCATTACTGCGATGTGTTGCTGCATCATTACTGCTGCATGCTAATACAAAAATGGACGTAAAAGGCTCAAAACCAAACGATGACCAGCTACTAGAGATCTTACTTGAAAATGAAAAAGCAAATTTGGGCTATTATGGAGCGACGGAAAAGCAGCAAAATGCAAACAAGTAATAAGCAAATTTAAGATTTCTATGTCCATTATGATCAATAATCCATATTCATGATTTACAGCGTTTGCGTATTGGTAGCCAGTTTCCAGTTTGATGAAGATAAAAAATTGAAACGAACAGGAAATGAAGCAGATGTTAAAAATCTGAAAAATTCCTTTCATATAAACAGAAAATGTCGTTTCATTCATCTCAAATCACCAAAACTCCATGATCTGTTTAAATTCATATCCAGCCAAGAAGAATTGTCCAAAAACTTCAAAATAGAAGGCAAAATTACAAATAATTTTTTTGAATGTAATTAAATTTTCAATGTTCCAGGACCCCCCTCCGTTTTTGCAATGTTCATTCTGTCACACGGCGAAGAGAATGGAATCATATGGACAGACCACATAGATGTTGGTTCAAAAAAATACGAAAAATTTACAACTCAAAAAGTAACAGAATATATAAGGGCACTCCCGGATTGGAATAAAACACTTAAGATTATGATCTTCGGTGTAAATATTGACACTATCTATTATTGAATAGACATTGAAAGTATTATTTAATTCAAGTGTTGTCGAGGTACGTTGGAGGATTGCATGCATGGAAGTGAGAAAAAGACGACATATGACAATCGAAATGCTTGCCAACTGACCACATTCCCTGGTGATGAAAATTTCGTGATCGTCTACCCCACTGTTGAAAGTAAACTTTTTAATTCCTTGAACTATACTATTGCAGTGTGTCTGGTGGTGTATATTAATCTAATATCAACAATAATATTTTATTTAGCAACCGTGGCCTACCGAAACAATGCAGCAGGCACGTGGCTTGTTAATATGATGTGCAATACTCTTGATGGACTAGAGAATGACATGCCATTGGAGAATGTCCTCGCTATTGTCCAGTCAAAAATTAGCAACATAACCTCAAAGGAGAACGAAGCCCAGACACCCGAAGTAAAATATATGGCACACAAGCAATTTATTGTACACAGGTATATTTTTCAGTACTTTATAAGTCACATGTGTAGTGAATACTTTTTTTAGATCTACTGTTGATCCACTCACAAATTTTAATAGTCAAGACGCAAGCAAATCCAACAAAAACTCTGACGAAATAATTTGCTGCTCAACTAGAAACTCATTTTTTGGTTGGAAAACTGACGGAAATACTTATTTGCGTAGCAAATTGGCATACATCATTGGTTCAGGCAAATATTCTACAGAGATAGAACGCGCGCTTAGAGAAACTTTAGGCTTCGACACAAACTTCTTGCCAAACTCAGATGCTACATGGAGTAAAATCGGGAAAAATGGTACACTCCTTCTAAACCACAAATTTGTAAAGGGAAACTTAGCTAAACTTTAAAAATCTTATTTAATAGGTTTTCCAAGTGAAGTCGGATGCTTTATGGCTGTTGTTTTTGCAAATTTCTTTGTGATGGAGGATACTAATGAAATCTGCATGCGTATTAACGACGCGAAAAGTGTCAAGCTGAGTGAAATTATTTACCATTTTGTCGGACCTACAAATGAGAAGTGGATTGGAAGACCAAAAATCTTCTACTTTATTAATGGGTCAACTGAAAAAGATGGCGCTAATGAGGTATATTAAAAATTAAATCAAATAAAAAATATATTGTTGAAGTTTTTGTCGTTTTAATTAATAAATATTCTGTTGATTTTCAGAAAAACCAGGAGTACGCATTAAGAGCTACAAATCACAGTGGGTGTTTTGCCTGTATTCTTTACAATCCAGGTTAGTGCTTTTGAAAATATGAAGATATCTAATTTTTTTCGTGGGAAGGTATGGTTTCCTTTTACTGAACATTGTCCCCCTTTCTACAGATTCCGCAAAAAGGCTTATCGAAGTGTTTGAGAATCCCTTACTGAAAAGTGGTTCGAATATTTTGGAACTAAGCTTACAGCTTCTCAGAGACGACGACATTGAAAGATCATGCTCAACAGGACTTCGCCCACAACTAGTGACAACAATGGCTTACAAACTAGATTTTCCTGATTGGCCTAAAATTTTCATAGAGCCTGTGTTTGAAGTAAACCGGTTAACTCAATCTGATGATCCATTGCGCAATGACCAGGAAAAAGTGAATTTTGAAAAGCTGAAAAATGATTTGAGAAAGAACTGCCAGTCGAAAAATGCTTGTGTTTGGCTTTTCACTTCTATGGCTGGATCAGGAAAATCCACTGTCCTTACAGAATTAGCCAGCTTTCTTACGCGAGAACAAAATGATAAGAAAGTATTTACGATCCAACTTTCGCGCCTTTACAACTTTTTAAGGGAGAGACAAAAACCAAATATCGAAGAGGTTCTAGCAAAATCTAACCCATTTGATTATGATGTGCAATTATTAGTGAGTGTAAAAAACGTAATAGTGCTTTTGGATGGCTTCGATGAAGTTTGCCCAGACATGAGAAACAAAGCCTTGATCTTTGCTCAAAGTATCGCGAGTCAAAAGATCCCTCTGGTAATCGCAACAAGGCCTCAAGAAGAGGATGTAATAATCGAAAATCTCACATCATATCAAATAAGAAAAGTGGAAATAAGGCCGTTTGAAAGAGAAGCACAGATTAACCTGTTGCAAAAATTGGATAAACTATTAGGCAATACAAGAACTAGGGATTATTACAGAATATTTGGAAATTTGAGTCCCAGTTCTGCTGAAATTTTAAAAAATCCATTGCACTTGACACTGATCCACAAAATATTTGCAGATGTTTCTGACCATCGTGAATCCACGGCCGTCACTGAGTCCAGTTCAATACCAACGGACTCGGTGACCTCCGCGGACTCACGAGCCCTTATGTTAGGCAAGGGAATTAGCTTGTTTGACATTTTTGAGAAAGTCGTCACCATGCATGTGGAAGATGCACTGATCAAGCTAGCGTTTGACAAAACCAATGAAAGATTTCCATCAAAAGTGATACAGGAAATGAAAACTTTACAAGACTTCTCCGAAAAATTCCTCCAACTCTCGGAATTTTGCGAAGCAGATGAACGGAATATTGAGTTTATAAATACGACGGGCATTGCATCGGTTCAGGATTTGAAGAATATTAAATTCCTTCATCAAACGTACGCTGAATTTTTAGTGGCAAAGAGCTTTCTTGATAAGATCGTCGACGGAGGCCTACGAGAAATGTATGATTCAATCTTTGCTAAAGATAGCATGAGGCAATGCAGACTTTTTATTGATATCTTCACGATCAAGGAAAGTTCAGCACGTGATGCCCTAAGCATATTCCTTTTGGAAGATAAACGGATTAACAACGCTTTTAAGTATATTACAAGTGAAGGGCTGGTCAATATTTTCAGGATCATGTGCAAGAAGGTAACATTTAACACCCACGAGTCTGTAGAGAAAAAGTATATCGTAGGAGCTTTCTCACTTTTGCATGCAGCTTGCAGTTCCAACGAGGAAATTTCTATTGAGATGCTGCGTATGGGGGCTCATGAATGCGTTGAACAAGATCAAAGACCAAGAAGACTTTGTGAACTGATTGAAGGCATGGCTTCCAATAATTTCTTTCGTTTGTTTCAAGAACTGAAAAAGCGTTGTTCCGACTTACAAGGAATAATCAAAAACAGCGAAACGCTATTTGCACACGTAACAGCCGCCAAACACGATCACATTGAAATGCTTCAAGAGCTTATTTCATGCGGAGTGAACTTGAATGTTACGAACAATAACGGAAACACGGCTCTTCATTGGGCTATACGTAATGACAACATGAACATGATTAATCTTCTGCTTAATAATAAAGCCGATTGTGGAATTCGTGATAGAGAAGGTTGGTATTGCTTGCATTTTGCAATACGCTACGGATCGTGGGACACAATGATGTTATTTTTTAACAAAGATGTCGTATTAATGAGGACAAATTCCGGTTTGAATGGAATACATCTTTCAGCTTGGAATGAAAATGAAAAATTTTTGAAAAATTTCATAGAACTTCTGTTTGAACATTTTAAAAAGGAGGAACTGAAGAAACATTTTTATTTTCAAGCTGATTCCAAAGTTTTAAATACTGACCTCATTTGCGTTCTTGATAGTGATGAAAATGATCAGCCACGTGCTGAGAAGAACGGATCCTTATTTCGATATTTCGTGGAAAAAATGAAAGAACGCAAATTTGGTAACGCTAATATATTGAACTGGGCAGTTGGATTCGCAAATATAGACGTGGTTCAATTCTTGGTAGAGCAAGGCATAAAAACAGATGGCTTAAATGAAGACGGAGAGGACTTACTGCAAGGCGCTGCATTCAGGGGCCAGTTAGCAAATGTAGAATATTTATTATCACTGAAAATATTTGATCTCTCGAGAAAAGATGATGAAGCTGGTTCCGAAGGATCAAGAACAGCCCTGCTTGAGGCTGTGGCAGAAAACCACTTCGAAATTGCCAGGATACTCGTCGAGGCCGGATCGGACGTGAATGAGCGTCAAGAAGACGGATCGTCGGCACTTTTATTGGCAGCTAAATTTTCGTCCGTTGATATGTGTGAATTTTTGATAAGTAAAGGTGCTGACGTGGAACAAACGGACAAGGACGAGCAAAATGCTTTACATCATGCTTTTGATGGCCAAAAAAGAGAGAATGTGAAATTCTTCATAGAAAGAGATTACTTCAGCGTAGAGAATAAAGGCAAACAAGGCAGAACGTCTTTGCATCTGGCTGCAAGCAACGGCTTTGTGGAAATAGCTGAAATTCTTCTCAAGAAAGGAGCAAATGTAAATAAAACTGAAGAAGACCTCAACGCGACACCGCTTCTCCTTGCGGCTGAACACGCTTCAGTTGAAATGTGTAAATTATTAGTGGAAAATCATGCTGAAAAATGTGCCAAAGACAAGCACAAAAACAATGCTATGCATTACGCGGCTAAAAAGGGAAAACTGGACAATGTTTCGTACTTGTATGACTTGGGTACCTTCAGCATCGAAGAAAAAGGTCGCTTTGAACGAACTGCCCTTCATTTGGCGGCGATGGAAGGTTACGTCGATATAGCCAAATTCCTGATCAAAAAAGGCGCACAAATTGATGCTTGTGATTCAAAAAATTCAACACCTTTAATTTGGGCAACGAAGAAAAAGCATTCTGACATGTGCCGTTTTCTATTGAAAAACAAAGCTGATATAAACAGAGAGAATAATGAATCAAAATCTGCCAGAATGATTGCAATGGAGATGAATTTTCCTATAGAATTTGATTACGTTTATGACCGCTTGACCGACATTGAAACGGCCATCAGCGCCCCCAACTGCAAGCATGCTGCTGAGCAGGAGGCCCTTGTCAACGACATGAAGAAGGCCCTGGACAGCGTCCACAAACAGCTACTTGAGATGGACGCCAAGATTTATCAACTAAAAGTAATAATAGTGATAATACTATTCATATTATTGGTTTATTGTGTTTACACCGTGGCATTGCAGATAAAATAAGCACACCGGCACACAAATCACTTTTCTGTAAATATTTAAGTATGAAAAAGATTGTTAATAAATTTTCAAAATAACCATAAATCATAATACATCTCGCACAGAAAAAAAACTTGACATGCAATAATGCTTTCAGCAACCCATGAGGTTGTAGGTTTACCGCGCGGCGGCCGAGTTTCTTTTGATATCGGCCATTTTAGCAGATATCTGCTAGTTCTCTTTTTTTAAATTTTATCTGAGAAGAATAAATAGTAATAATAAAATTGACAAATTATGGGTCCTTCTGGTATTGAAATTGGCAACCCATTATATGTACAATCGAGCAATAAAGGACCAATATTATTATTATTATTTTTTTTAATTTTTTTTTAGGGTCAGTCCAAGACAAAGTCTTGTCGGCCTGTGCCCTTTATTGGTGGTACAAAAGGCACCACCCAATATTAGAACTGTAATTGGGCTCTAGCATAAGTATTGACGTATTGAAAAAAAAAACACAAGTTGAATATATTCGTGTTTTCTTATATAAAAAGAAGAGAAGCAGAGAAGAGTTTTTTCAACTCATCGATGAATTGTAATATTTTTGTTGTTTTTTAATCTTCTCTTCCATTTACTTTGTACAATGTTGCAAATGGGGCGCGTTGCAGTGAGTCACTACATCGTGGCGACGCTTCATAAGTCAATAAAGATCAATAATAATAATATATTTTGGATTGAAAAATTTAATTAATTCTGCTTCAAACCCGCTAACGTTCGAGTCGGCACATTTGAGTTATTGGGGACTGCGCGAGCCGTGCACTGGCGTAGTGCGCCTGGCCACTCCAATAAACCTCGACCCGGCGCCAAGCTTTCGAGCTTGGCTGGCCTCTTTGGCCTTTATATCATTATAATAAATTAATATCTTTCCTATAACAAAAAAAGTAAAGGGAAACGTGTATAGTTATGTTTAGTCACTAGAAAGTTTTTTTTACCAGATTTGCTTGTAATTTATATCACTGCTGTTTGTTGTGTGCAAAGAAAAACTGAAGTTCAATACAAAATCAAAAATTTATTTCTGTCGATAAACTGAATTTTACACACATGAAACACACTGGACATAATATACATTATATATGTTAAGCTTGGCAGACGTGTACCATCTGAACAATAAATATCTTTTTCAATAAAAAAATATTCGGTGTGATATTTTCTGTAAGTACTTTTATTTATTTATTCTCCACAAAGTCAAAAAATAATAAATATAAAGGCACAGGCCGTCAAGACAGGAACATATTAAAATCTGGATAAGTATGCTTAAAAAGGCGAATGGGGTCAAAAGTCAAAACCAGTCAAGTTTCCTTAACCTTAATTTAACAGATTGCATCATCGCATATCGCATCACGTGGAATTTTTTGCAGTCAACAATTTTGCCGGAGGAACAAGCAGGTTTCGTTTAAAAAAAGCAATAAAAAAATCACCGCAAACTTGCGCGTTTTTGCCCTATCAAATTACAAAGAGCAAAAAAGAGTTCCATGCACGCAATGTTCGCGCCAAATGAATTCAATTCCTGACATGCGCAAAAACGCCAACCTAACAGCAACATTCTTTTAAAATTATTTTCACATTTTGCTTAATTCTGCAGACAAATAACTTTATTTTAACATTTCCATCTCATAAAAATTTCAACGCAAATCTGTAGTTTCCTTAAAGTGTTAGTTAAAACAATTATATTAGAGGAAGAATCTTTGTTTAGTTGGCAATAGCTAGTGTTGTGCCATATGATCAGTTTCTCGTTCATCAGCCTGCGACCATTGCAAATCACCTCGGAGTTGACAGAAAATCTGCAATTTCGCGAATTCGGCGGTGGCAGTTGGGGCCGCGGGAAACGGCAGGTCCGTGTTTCGGCGGCTGCAGGTGCGGATCGGCGGGTCGGCGTCCGTGTCGACCGAGATTCGGCGAGAACTTGTCAGAGTCGAAAGGTCGCAGTCGGACAAATGACGACGACGAGGACCTGCTGCTGAGCGATTTCTGCGGACGATGTCGAACAAACTTCTGCACGGCTACAAGCGCTTCTTGCGCAACACCTACGACCTGCGGCGGATCCTCAGGGAGACGCGGCAGCTGCTCGAGGACTTGGCCGCGCCACACATCCTACCCTCGGGTTTGAAAATTCACCCAATTCTTGTAATAATATTTCTCAAAATTCAATTTTTTTGCAGAAAAGAGCGAGTTGATCGCCAAAATCCAGAGGGTCGACGATGTCCTGCGAAAGTTCCCGGCCATTGTCGCCGTCGGGCCGCTCTGCTTCGAGGTGCTCAGATCGATCTTCGGCCAGGACAGGGTGGAGCAGGACGATGAGGACGCATTCCTGCGCGTCGTCAACCCCACCTCGGTCTATCCCCCTTTAAAGCTCATTACCGAAATGGTGAACTTGACTTTTAAAATTATATTTATTTTCTAATTTTTTTTTTACAATTTCAAAGGCTGTGAAAGAAGAAATTGAAGTGAAGGAGGTCCAGTTGGGACACTCGCTGCTCAGGGACGGTCTGCAGGTGTTGGTGACCAAGCGGTGGAGCCACGTGCAGCTGGACGCGGTCCTGCCCATCGCTTTGTACGGCGTCCGAGCGGCCGAGTTGTCGGTCGACGACCTTTCCGATCTTCGACGTCTCAGGGCAGACTGGCCTGACCTGCCTCTCTGCCTCATCTGCATGCAGAACGACACCAAAGAGAGAATCCAGCAGCAGCTCAACTCCTTAGGTTGGAATTTAAAAGAATTTGAATATTTAATAAATTGTGTTTATTTTTGACAGATTTCGGACCAATTGTTTTGATTGACGATCACAACGGCTTCAGTGCCTTTGTCAAGAGTTGCCTGCAGAATCACCTTGTCTCTGCCTGCCTACATTTGAATGAGGTGTGCCTGAAATTTAAATTACTTCGACAATTGGTATTCAGTTTGTGCAATTGGTTGGAGAAAGTTTAATGAGGTCAATTTATTACTCATTTTTGCTTGGAGTGAATGTGTAATTTGTTTTTATTAATTATTTACAATTATCTTTTAAGAATATGATGCATATTTGTTTATATTTGAATAATATAACTAAAATTTTGAATTTGCCTTCTTTTTAATCAAAATTTTTGTTATTATTTGCAACTAAAATCACAATCAATACCAAGCAGTTTTATTAAAGCTCTAAATGAACCTAAATTTCTCACACTGATTTGTTGAAACTTGAAATATCAAATTGAGAATTATTTAAACCATCTTTCAATATCAGGTCCAGTCAACCTGCATCCGGAGTTTTATTCTGTCTGCGTTCGACATGGCTCGCGAGCTGCAGATCACACCAAAGCGGTTGCAGTACGTCCAGGACAAGGAGTCTGAGTTGCACCAAAGTCTGATACGGGTGGCCAGCGACAAGCAGCAGGAAATCACCGAGTTAATCGAGCACACCATCCAGGACATGCGAGAGGCGCTTCTCGACAAGGCCTCTGAGTGTGAAGCTCCTCTTGATGTTGCTGGCAATGCTGACACCATCCAAGCGGCCCAGGCGGCCACTAATGTAAACAAATGTCCTTTTTTTATTTTTATGGAAATTTAAAACTCATTTAAATTAAAATAGATAATATTTTTCAAATTAAACTTAAATGCTAGTAAAATTTTCAAAATATTGAATATGATTTGAAATAATTATTATAAATTCAAAATCTTTTTATTCATTCAGCTTAAAATAGATAATTTTTTTATTTAATATAAAATTAAGTCTTGTTTATAAGTATAAGTTATTTTTAATTTCATTTTTCTCTTCTGCTTTCAATAGGAAGTGCAGCAAATGGTGCTGAGCCGTTTGAGCAGTGCTGTGGCAACCCAATTAGCAAGCACGGTTGGTTGTCTTCAGGACTCTTACGTTGGCACCCTGCAAAGGTGTCTTGAGAGCCTTGAGAAGCACTGCCTGGACGCCGAGGAGGGCAGCATCCGGGCCACAGATGCCCTTCGACAAGTTGGAACTTATATATTTATTTGAAAACAAAAATTGATTTATAAAATTCTAGAGTCTAAGCGCGGCGTACTCGGTTGAAATCTCAGCGTGTCCGTCGTCACCATTCTTCTCCATGTTCGACTGGATCCGCAGCCTGATGAAGGGCATCCCTTTGCCATGGACGTCGCCACCGTCAATCGACTCCGGCTGGCGACGGACAGTGGCCGCAGACATTCTCGACTCTCTCAGCGCTTCAAAGTTGGCTCGGGGAATTTGCTCTCAGGTCAGGATTGTTTTAATTCAGACAATTAACCAAAAATTTACAAGAGAAAGAAATTTTAAATCAATATATTTTTTTTTTAGTAAAATTGAATTAAATTTTATTTTTTCAGTTCCGTGTAAAAGTGCGTTGTTCTCACGATTCATTCCAAAAAGCATTGTGTGCCCTGGAAAACAGAATATGCGGCAAGCTGGAACGGACTGAGGAGCAGCGAGTGGCCATCAGGAAGCATCACGCTCCTCAACTGGCACGTCTCTCTCTTGAAACCACTTCCATGTGCGACCTTGTCCGATACGGTATTCATTTCAAAATCATTTCTAAGAATTTATTTTCATTTCCTAAATTATTACAGGGATGCCTCGGCTGGGACGGGAAATTGGTCGAGGGCAGTACGGAGTGGTTTTTTCCTGTGATCCTTGGGGAGGATTCTCACCTTGCGCAGTGAAATCCGTGGTGCCTCCTGACGATAAACACTGGAATGACCTTGCAATGGAGTTCTACTATACAAGGTAAGTTGTTAAATTTCCTCATTAGTCCAAAAATGATTTTTGTTATTATCATTTTAATTTTGTTGAATTAAAATATTCATTTTTCATTTTTATTTTCAAACAGAACATTGCCGGAGCACCGGAGAATTGTGCGGGTTCGCGGTTCGGTCATCGACAGTGGTTACGGAGGAGGTTGTTCACCAGCGGTGCTGCTCATCATGGACAGACTGAGCAAGGACCTGTACTGCGGTCTCAGGGCGGGCATGTCTTGGCTTTCTAGACTGCAAGTGGCGGTTGACGTGGCCGAAGGTGTCCGTTTTCTGCACGCCCAGGGCCTCGTCCACCGAGACATCAAACTCAAAAATGTTTTGGTAAGAAAACTAAAAACTGTTTCTTAGATAAATCTGATTTATTTTTGGTTTGACAGTTGGACGAGGAGAACCGAGCGAAGCTGACAGACCTGGGATTCTGCATCCCAGAGGCTATGATGTCCGGCAGCATAGTGGGAACGCCAATCCACATGGCTCCGGAGCTGCTTTCCGGACACTACGACAGCTCAGTGGACGTCTACGCCCTCGGAATCCTTTTCTGGTACATCTGCGCCGGGCACGTTCGCATGCCTTATGTTTTTGAACAGTTCTGCAATAAGGAGCAACTGTGGAAGAATGTCAAAAGCGGTAAATTTATTTAGAAAATTATCTTCCAGCAACAAAAAATGAAGATTAATCAAAAGCATTCTGTAATTAGATGACTCTAAAAATTTGTTTTCTCAATTTGTATTGTCTCTGGGATGAAACAAAATATTGACTCATTTGCTACAAAATTGCAAAACTAACACAACTTTTTTTATCTGACCAGGTTTGAGACCCGAGCGTTTGCCGCACTTTGACGAGCAGTGTTGGCGGCTGATGGAGCAGTGCTGGTCGGCTGAGCCGAGTCAGCGGCCTTTGCTGGGGTACGTGCAGCCGCAGTTGGAGGCCATCATGAGGCGCTACCAGACGGGCGAGTCAATGGAGGCCGGCAGCAGCAGCAGCGACGCCGCCGTGCAGGACGACGACTCGTTCGTCCACCTGCCCAGCCTCGAGAATCTCGCCCCCACCTCCTAGTCTTCCCCAGGATCTCTGGTAACAAAACTCCTCCTCAACTTCCATCCTCTGTCTTCTCAAAGGGGTTTTGAAGATTTTTTTTCTTTCGAAATTCCAAAGACACAACTTTTGAATTTGAGACGATTCGAGAAAGAGTTCCAGAATCGGCGGTCAATTTTAAAATCGATTCGAAAAAAATTTCCAAGCCTCTTCGTCAAAACTTGTTCATTCCGTCTAAGACTTTGGTGCTCTCCGAAAACGACCGACTCTCCTCAAAATCTCACGCCACTCTTAGCCGCCGTAAGACTGAAAAAAAAGTGATTAGTGCTGCCTCATTCGGTGAAATATTGTGAAAAATATTTTCTACATTCACGCATGAACGTGCTTTAATATATTAATATACGTGTATACACTTATTTTAGCGACTCGTGAACAATTAAACCAAACTAAATGTCGTGTTTAAATTGCACTTTTAATTCAAATCCAGCCGTCTCAGCCGACAATTTTCAAGATCCGCGAGCTCAGCTCTGGCTTTTGAGTTGCGATTCGGAGACTGCCCTGCAGCCGCTCTTTCAGCCCCGGGCTGAGTTCCGAGCTCGAGTGGTGCACCCGCAGCCACGGGTCACCTTTTCCGACCGGCTCGCCGTGTTCCTTGAGCAGCGAGACGCCAACCGACAAGTCCAACTCTTGGTCCGCGCGACTCCGTCCTGCGCCCAACTCGCGACAAACGCGTGCAATTTCCAAAGCATCCAAATCGCCAACGAAACCTAAAAATTAAGCAAAATTTAAAGTGTTCCAGTTACAAAGGTAAAATTTTGGGAAAGAATAAAAAAATTAAACTGATAACTGAATTGAAAATACTTAAAAATTTTAGTCTGCAAAAACTAAATATATTATTTTTAAAGTGATTTATTCTACACATTCGTTTTTAATAATGGAAAAATTTACCATTTCGTTAGAGATCTTTTTATAATTTTTTTTCTCCAATTTTAGAAATATAAAATTAATCATTCAGAATTTTAGCGTCATCAAAATTTCATGTCATTTTTTCTTCTAATTTTCTCAAGAAAAGCGCATTTCACCCTAATTTATCCCTAGTTATTTTAGAAAAATTGCATTTTCACCCAAATTTTTCCCCATTAACGTTTTGAAACAAATCGCATATTCATCCCAATTTCCCCTGATTTACTAATTCTTCCCTAAATTTCAAAAGATAATTAATTTTTGACCCTAATTCTTCACCTAATTAAAAAATCGCATTTTTGACCTCATCGTTTTCTAATTTTAAAAAGTTTTCAAATTTTCACCCTAATTTTTTCCTCAATTATTACGTAGACTCAAATTTTCATTCAAATTAAAAAAAAAACACACACACGCACATTTTCAACTTACTTTTATCATAGAAATTTTATAAATGGATTTGTGTACGAATTTTCTTAATATTTGGTGTAAAAACTAACCATTTTCGGAGACGATCAGATCGGTGGTGAATTTTGCCCTGGGAAGAATCGTCCACTCGTCTCCAAAACAGAGTTTTTCGGCCACCTCGGCGCTCACGCCCTGGCACTCGAGCATCTTCTGAAAGAACTGCAGGGCCGAGCCGTCGTCCAGGGCCGCTGCCACTTTCGCCTCCCCTAATTCCACCGTTTCGACCACTCCGTGCATCTCCAGCAAAACTCCACCTAGAGCGATATTTATAAAATTTACTCAAAAATAGGGGAAAACGCACTCAGGGTGAGAACGAGTTGGCGTAGGTCGTGAGGACCGCGACCTCTGAGACACTCGAGCGACTCGGCGATCTCAAGGGCGTTGCCCACCGTCCTGCCAATTGGCACGTCCATCGCCGTCAACACCGCCTTTGTTTTCAGCCCCAACTTGTTTGCTGTTCCAATCTAAAAAATAAAACACAAATGTCTCTATGAATATTTAAAAAAAAAAAATAATAATAATAACAATAATTAAAAATATTTCGTGGAATTAATTGGAATTTTTAAACAGTTTGGTTGACATTTCTAGTATGAATATGTTATTTTTTTATTTTTTATTTCCACCTTTTTTAATTTTTAAAAAATTTTGACTTTCATAAAGTTAAAGGTTTGCGCTTCTCAAATAGAAGTTAATTTATATAAGAATTAAGAAATTTTCATTAGCAATCTATTTTAATCAAAGCTTAATTTAGAGCTGCCAAATTTCAAAATTTTTAGCTTTTGACGATAAAAATATTTAGATTTTTTCAGATAATTCAAAAATATCTAGCAGCTCAGGAATTTTAATGATTTTCAAAAATAACCAGTTTTGAAGCGACTTGCTCCGCTCGTTGTTGGCTCTTGAAAACGGCAGCGCGTCCGACCTTGACGTCCATGACCAGGGCCGAGGCCCCCGCCGCCACCTTTTTCGACACAATCGATCCTAAAAATATAAAAAAAACGGGTTCAAAAACGTTTTTAAATTCATTCCAATCCATACCGACGACCAACGGGTCCGAACCAACTGTGGCAGTCACGTCGCGCCGTTTGTAAAGTTCACGGTCTGCGGGCACCAATTTGTCCGTCTGACCTGCGATGAAGCAGCCGGCATTTTCAAGAGCCGCCCCCATTTCCTCTTTGCTCAACTGAACCCGGAAACCTATTCAATTTAAACAATCATTTTTTTTTTAATTTTTATATTAAATTGAAATTCACCCCCCGTTAAATTCGGTTATTGAGAATTTTTAAAACATTTAAGCAAATTTAATTAATTTTACATAATTTAATTTCAATTTTAAAGTTTTTCAGGTGCTTAATTAATTCAAATTTATGCTGATTTACATGAATTTTCTCCTCCCATTTAATTCAAGTTGAGCAAATTTAATTAACACATCACACAATTTAATTTATTTTTAAAAGTTTCTAATTATTCAAATTTTACATGATTTTTTTATTTTTAAATTGACATTCACCCCCCCCCCCCCCATTATATTCAAGTTTTTTTGGGAATTTTTAAAAAATTTATGCAATCAACTAATTAAATTAATTTTTTCAGTTCTTAATTTAATCAAATGTTACATGAATTTTGCTTTTTTAAAGCTTAATATTTATTTTATTTTTACTTATTTTTTCTCACCGGGCACCGATTCGAGTTTGTCCAAAGTTCCGCCGGTAAAGTCGAGCCCCCTTCCGGACACCATGGGCACCTTGAGGCCACAGGCGGCCAAAGCGGGCGCCATCGGGATGGAAACTTTGTCGCCGACGCCACCTGTGCTGTGCTTGTCCACCAAGGGCCACTCTTTCGGCCACTCCAATCTCTCCCCTTGACAAAACAGCAAACAAAAATATTTGACATCTCTACATTGACCCCTGACCTCCACCGGCGGGGTCATTTGCCTTACAAGTGGTAAAAATATTAATCTCGCCTTTTTATCTTTTCAATATGCAGACTGATTGCGACGAAAGTCATAAAAATCACTTGTCGCAATTGACCGATTAAGAAATATTGCAATTACCAGAGTTGACGCACGCCCTGGTAAAGTTGGTCGTCTCATCTTCCGTCATGTCGTTCAAGTAAATCGCCATCAGCATCGCGCCTTGAAAAAATACCCAGAGGCAATTAATTATAATTTTAATATTATTTATTTTTACTGTTTACAATGTTATTTTTTTTATTATGAAAATAAAATTTTAGTAAATAAAATTAATTTTAATATCTTCAGTTGACATAATTAAATTTGTTTGAAGAAATTGACACTCGAGGCCTTGTAATAATAATTTTTTATTTAAAAAATTTATAAACCAATTTTTAATTTTTTTTATAGTTTTAAATTGACTATTTATAACTCAAATTCAAATTACCTGCCAAATTTGTAATTAATTGCAATTAAATTAATTTCATCCTGTTCCTAATTATGATTTCTAACAATTTTTTTCCACTTACCCTGCAAATATCAACAGATTTATTCAATTTAACATATTTTTTCTTATACCATTGAAAAAATTAAAGAAAACTCTTTTGAAATATAAAAATTTTAACAAATTGGAAAAAAGGCTAATTTTGAAGGAATTTTCTCTTGATTGGTCCAATTTCGCCCGCCTTTGCAGTTTACGCTTTTTTCAGTTTGAATTTCTCATTTGATTTCCACACTCGACGCAATTTAAAAATTAGGTTGAATACCGATTTGACAGTCCTGGGCCGTGCCGTCGGTGACCATGGTCACGAAGGCCTCGATCTCCTCCCTGGACAGCTCGTGGCCGTCCCTCTTCTTGGCGATCACGTCCAACACGCTGGGCCGCATCTCGTCCAACTGGCAACCACCGCCAGACTGTTCGCTCCTTATCTCCAACTTTTGCATATTGGAGAGACAAACAAACCCACACACCTACCAGCGGTCGTGACGAAAGCCAAGGTCACCGGGTCACTCCGATGACGACTCGCGCGCGCACCAAAACGGGTTTAATTACGCACGCCGTTTCCGCTGCATGAAAATTTGAAAATTCGCAAAGTCTTAATTTATTCATTCATTTGTAAATTTAAAGAAATTTAAGAACTGAAATATTTTATTTTTTAAATTTTTATAAATCTTTTGAGAGATTGAAAATTTGACAACTTATTTCGTATAATAATTAGTTAGATTAATTAAGGGGTTTTGAAAATAAACAAAGAAAATTATACCAAGTCGCTATATATTCTTTATTTTAATTAAAAAAGAAATGTACAAGACAAAAATGTTTAAGCCGAAAATTAACTTAATTAAACATTAGACGAAAACTTGTTCTTTACACGAAAAATACATAATAGGAAAATGTCCGCGCGCGTTATTTAAAATAAGTTACAAATTAAAAGAACGATTTCTACGGTCCCATCACCCACGAAGCAAATCTAAGTTTTGTACTGGTCCAAAACCGAGAACTAACGTTTATTTTATCACTTACGTTGAAATTCAAAAGAATCTCTCCCGCCGACGCTAATCATCAAGCAAACGTGCGAAAGTCCTAACAAGGTCGCCGAGGTGAGTTTAAAAAAAAAATCGAATTTGTTTTTATTATAGTGCCACCCGAGCACTTGTTGCGTTGCACAGGAGGAAAAAGTAATAATTATTCTGCGCCCTTTGCTTTATGATGATTGCCCAAAAATGATCCGAAATTTTCAAATGTTTCCCGCCACCGAAATTTAGCACCGTCCTTCCGAGAGTCCGAACGAAAAATCTTCTTCTTCTTCTTTAGAGGCTAAAAGTGCGACACATTGCGCGTCCGTCCTTTCTCACTTTTCTCTCTTTCTCAAAATTTTGAAGTGTCCAATTGGCCCTTGATCGCGATTTTGTCACTCAGCAGGTCACGATCGGTCCTCCTGCGACTGCAGACGCAGCACGCCAGCCTGCGAGGCGGCGATGCTGCGCAAACTTCGCGAACGCTCGAAAAGCGACGGGTCCGTGTAGATCGGCTCACTCGGGTCGTCGAACGTCGGCCGGCTGCCGCTCACCGTCACCACAGGCGCCGTCGAACTGCAGTCGTCCTCACTAAAATTCATAAACAAAAACGTCAAATTAAGAAAAATAAGTTTCGGGAAAAAGCGATGGTGGCGCCACATTTTATGAAAATTGCCTGAGGAAACAAAACGAAGCCGTTTGAGAAAAAATATCAACAAAATTTTGTGGAAATAATTGACGTTTTAAATTTTGACTGATGGTTGTAAATTTGCAAAAAAAAATTTGAAGAGGAAAGGTTTTTTAAGCTTAATACTTATGAAGTCTAGTGGCGCCACATTACTTCTTGTGGACTTTTTCAAAATTTTAAGTAATACAGGATCTGGATAAAATAACATTTTTTACGGAAAATGGCGCTATTTTGATGACAAATTTGAGAGTTTCTGCTCCAATTTGTGGATTTACCTCGAGACACGTCTTGTAAAAGTGGGAATCATGAAACTAAAGTTGCTGTTGCCGGCAGAAGCTCCACCTCGCGACGCCAAAGAACCGTGACTTCTGGAGCAGGTGGTGAAGTTGTTGGACGACGCCCTGTCTGCAGATACGTTCTTCATCTGCACCGACCAGTACCGCCTTAAAAAATATTTTTGTGTTTGAATTAGTGTGGTGGCCTCGTTTAAAGTTCAAAGCACAGAAATTTTGTGTTTAACGTGAAAAAACGTGGTTTTTTTTCAACACTTAAAGCCTCTTAACTTTGGAACCTTTTTAATTTTAATTTTTGACCATTCCATTCTAAAGAATTCAAGAATTATAATAATTAGAAATTATAAATGCCCTTGTAATATATTTCTCTATCCTATAAAACGATAATGCTAAAAAAAATATCCCCTGAAAAGGATAATCCATATATATTTTTATTTGGACTACGAAAAACTCCAATAACTGAAGCATTATTTATAAAGTACTTTATTTTCAAAGTCTGACACCTTAGGCAAGGTAAAATTTGAAACACAAGATTGCCCCGGCAGCTCCCGTGTCATCTGACTCCCTGTCTGGCTCATTTCCTCCGGCACCGATGATGCATCAAGCACCATCGGTGCCCGAGAAGAGAAGTGCAAACCCGATATTATTCTACTTTTTCTTCTCCACTTTCACATTTTTGAAACTTACTTGTAAGCCAGGGCGGCGATGCCGGCGGTGGCGATCAGGGCGACGAGGATGATGATGACGGCCGAAATGAGGCCGTAGTACTCGCCGGCGGTGAGGCAGACGGCGTCCGCGAGCAGTCCCACTGACGCCTGCGCTCCCGCCACGTCCTCATCGCCATCGACCATTTCGTTCCTGTTCTCCAAAACCTTGATCATTTCGCGCACGTGCTCCTCCTCCTCGGTCCCATTGATGTTGTTGTTGCCGTTGCTGTCGGTCAGCTCGACGGTGCCGTTGACGTCACGACGCCGTCTGCCGAAGGACGGGTCGCTTCGGCCAGTGTGACCAGTGCAGTAAGCCTGGTTCAAAAATCAAGTCATTTTTTAAGGTGTTTCTCCGAAAAATATTTAATTTTTTCTTTTTAAATCGAGAAATATTTCACGTTCAACGGTGACAGTAGAATTCAAGTATGCCAATTTCTTATCAATGGCTTAATTAAACTTTCCAGAAAATAAAATAGAATTTTTTTCTAAATTTAAAATTAATCATCACCACCTTAAATTAAAGTGGTTACGTACCGGTTGGCAGCCGTCCCTGCAAGTGCGAACGGTGGCCTCAAACACGAGGAAATTGGACTCTGGGATTTTGAAAGCGTTGAATCGCGCCTCCAAACCGTCGCCCTCCCTCGACTTGTCCAGCCCAGGGAAGACGAAGTTGTCCACGGGACACCTGCGTTTGAAAATTAATCCCAAATTTCATGATTATTAAATTTTATCCTGACCCATATCGGTCGATCAGTTGAATGGAGCGGCCCGTGTAGGGGTCGCGAGCGATCACGTTGGTCGCGAAGATGTCCTGCGCGTAATTGTACCCGTCCTGCGCCTCGAGGCGGAAGGTCAAAGGGTCGCCGACGGCGATGGTCGTGGTCGGTCGGCCCTGGTACAAAATTAGCAGACGCACTCGCGAACTCAGCGAGTTTTCCGCCGGCAAATACTCGATGGGAATCGGACTGCCAGAACTAGAAAACGAGCAATTATTTAATTTAAATTGGAAATTAATGATTAAGGTTAAAATAATTAAAGTTTGCTTCAAAATGGACATCAAAACGTGTGACATTTTTATATTTTTTGAATTTTCTTCTTTTTTGTGCTGCTTTTTTCAATAGCATTTGGTCTATTCTCTATTTAAAATAAATAAAAAAATGATGAAAAAAGGACAGGCAATTTATTTTACCTATTTTAGATTTGCTTTGAAATTCCTTTTAAAACATTTTTTAAACATTGTTAACTGAAGAAAACTAAGTTATTATTTAATAAATTTCATTAATTTTGGCGCCAAACGAATACCGATTTCATGCAGTTGTGAAATCTTTCAAATTTAGCAAAAAACTTTCTAATATAATCTTAGCATAAATTAATTTACCCTGCGCCGATATAGCCTGAGGTTACGACAGCCTCTCCGGGTCCGCGGAAGAGACAAGTCAGGTTGTACCGCTTGTCCCGACCGGTCTGCACGTAGTCACTGAACTGCACCACCACAATGTTGGTCATCATGTCGCCGTGCTGCAACATTAAGGATAAAAAAATTAATTTCTTTATCAAATTCAATAGTCGAATCATATAAATATTCGTCTACGGCCAGTTACCGGATGCTGTCCCTGTCCAGGGTAGCCGGGTCCTTGTCCCGGCCCTGGTGCCCCTGATCCGTAGTAGCCAGCGCCACCGTAGTGCTGCGGCCCGCCGCCGTAACTACCGGCGTGCGGCGGCCCTTGCGGAGGACCGCCGCCGTGTTGGTAGTCGTAGCGGTAGCCTCTCGAATTGAGCTACATTTTTGTGTTTTCAAGTGAAGATGGCATGCTTAGGATGGAAAATTGAAGGGACTTACCCTCTGGGTGCCGCAGTCAGGGTAGCCGTGGGCGCCACTGACGCGCAACACGTTGACGGTGCCGCCGTTGCCGCGGAAGAAGCAGCGGTCGTAGTAGCCGTACGTGTAGATGCGGCCCACGAAAGGCTCCGTCGTGCGCAAAGTGAACTCCATTCCGTCTTCGCTGCAAACTTGACTCACTACGAAACAAAAAAGTGGAATTTTTAGATGAAAATTTCTAAAATGTAAATAACATATCAATAAAACTGTTCTTCCGAAATTTCAAATAATGATTTGAGCGGGAAAAGGTAAAACCCGATTAAAACGCTTTGGATTCGAATTTTACCATCATTATTTCGATTTTTCCAATAAAAATGTCTTCACTGTTACTCTCAGGAATAAAAAAAATATCATTGTGGGTCTTTAAAAACTGTTATTGCCGAAAAACGTGACTAACAACCCAATATTTAATTCATCAATATTTTGAAAGTTGAGCTACTAGAAATAAAAAATAATAATAATGAATTTTCAAATTATTTAAAGCATATAATTAATAAAATGTACTTGAAATTCATAAGAAAAGCTCACCGTCAAGGCAATCAGAATTAGCTCGGCCGCCAAATCTCTCATAGAAGTCCGAATCACCCGTTTGCTCGAAGAATATTGGGTTGTTGTGGTCCAACTCTCGCGAATCGCGGTCACTCAGCTCGCAATTGTCACGGTCTGCGTAGTGTGATGGTGCCCTATAACCATACAAATAAATTTTATTTTTAATTATAAAAATTCAATAGAATTATTGAAATTTTTAATAATTACCTGTAGTTGAAGGACCTGCACATGAAGTCATGCGCCTCAATACACGCCCTTTCGCACATGAGCAGAGATTGAGCGGAAGTAAACCTTCTGATGTAAGCCTGTCGCATGCGCATGCGCACTCCAACCTGCCCAAAAATGAAATTTTTAGATTTTTTGCACAAAAAATTACTCAGGTTGAGTTTCAAACCTGACGGAAAGCGTCGCCCTCGTCGCACCTGACCGGTTTGGCAGGGCCGCCGTAAGGTGCTCCGCCCCCGTAAAAGGAGTCGCCGGCTCCAGGGTGGCTGGCAATGCCACCCCCAATGCCGCCCCCGACGCCTCCACCGTATCCTCCGCCTCCTGCGAAGTTGCTTCCACTCGGAGCTCCGCCATATCCTCCGCCGCCTCCGATGAAATTACTGCCTCCGCTGAAGGTCGGACCTGCGGCAGGGTAAGGCCCCACCTGCGGCCCCACAGGCCCTGGGGGCGGTCGTCCGCCTCCGCCGTAGCCACCGATAGCAGGTCCACCGATTCCGCCTCCGCCGTACTGGCCCACCGATGGCGAACCGCCTCCAAATCCGTAACCGGCGCCGCCGCCTCCAAAACTGCCACCCCCAAGGTTGCTCGCGCCTCCTCCATAGTAACCTCCGCCGCCCCCGGAGGAACCTCCGTATCCACCGCCTCCACTGGCGACTCCACCTCCGTAGCCGCCTCCGCCGAAGGAGCTGCTCGAAGGGGCACCGCCGTAGCCACCGATGCTGCCTCCGCTGCTGCCTCCAAGGGGATAAACGCCGCCTCCACCTGTTTAGTTATAAATATAGATTTATATTTTATTCATGACTGTTTTGCTTTTAAAAAAGAAACTAAAATCCAAAATTTTACACCCCAAATATGAACTGTGAAAATATGGGGCTGGTAAGATATTGAACTTTTTTATTGAAGGCAATTTTTTAAGAGGAAAATATAAAATTAATTTAATTTATGTTTCGCTTCTTTTACATAATATATAGAAGACCCAGTTCAATTAAAAAAAAAAATAATTCACGCCTTTAGCTATTTTTGTAAAAAATCTAGAAATGACGTTTTCCCCAGCCCTGTAATGTCTAGGGCGGATTTAGGAAATAGAGCTTATGCTGTGAGTAATTGAATTGCCTTTGCCAATGCTGCTCCCACTTCCGCCTCCAAATGGATAAACACCGTCTCCACCTGTTTTTATTTAAATTTTTAGAAAAATATTTGTCTTTTCGTTACAATTCTTTAATGAAAGACAAAATTTTGGTTTTCACACAGTAAATTATAATTTCACTCTCAACATTTTACCCCAAAAAACTTTTAAGTGGTGTGGGAACTTAAAATTTGACGTTACTTTTTATTTTAATTACGGAAAGCAAATTTAAAAAGTAATAATCAATTTTTTCATGAATGATAATTTAAAAAGAAATCGTTTTCTGAAGGTTTCTAAAATTTAATTTGAATATAAACATAAAACATCGCAAAATGCCTATATTTTCCTCGCAATTTTGCTTTTTTTCTTCCTATCCCAGCCCCAACCTTTTGGATAATTAATAAATAAAATCTTTTGCGAGAATTAATTAAAGCTTATAGATTTTCTCCAATATTTTCCCTTTTTTTAATATATCTATAACTGACAAAACAAACGAAAAGTGCGCATAACAAAACAGATCCACAGATAACATGAAGACACATCACTTTACCTATTTGGGTGGCGGCGGGTTGGTGCTGCACGTTGGTGCTGCTGCCCTCAGGTTTGGGCCCTACGTCTGCAAACACACGGGACAACACACGGCACGATGACAAACGAGTGTGACACACGAAAACGAACAGAAACAAAAACAAAGAATGCAAAAATCGACTCACTCATCAGGTTCTCGTAGTAGTCGTAGTCGGCGTCGTAGATGACGCGGTAACCGTCCTTCTGGTTGAAGCGGCTCAGGCGACACGTGCGGAAGCGTTCGCTGTACACGGCCGAGCGACACTGGAAACTCGCCTGGCGCAGACACTCGTCCAGGCACTCGGCCAGCGAGCGGCCCGTGATCTCCGAGTGGAACTCGCCCGCCAACCGACTGTTCCGGAACCGCTGGAACGCGGTGTCCGGACGGCGGTCCGAGAACAGGTGCGAAGTCACCGGTGGGTCCACCTCGTTCGAACGGGCTGAAAAACACAAAAATCGCATTTTAACTTTCGGTTTTTCCGAATTCGGGGTTGGAAAACTTCTAAGAGATCGCTTGCAATAAAAATTGCTATCAAAAATTTCAGAAACATGAAACAAAAGCAATAAAATTAAAACCACATATCAACAATTATGCCCTAAAATATTTCAAATTTGGTAAAAAGTGACATAATTTGCTATCGCTTTGTCCAAAATTTCTCCAAATTTGCACGAAATTTGATATATTTTTTAACAAAAAAGTTTCACTTGCCCAATTTCACCAAATTTGATCAACTTTGGGACGTTAAAATTATCGAAATTGTCCCATCTCTTGTCCTAAATTTGGACAATTTGGGAAAAATTTGATAGATTATATTGATTAAACTATCTAATTTCCACTATTTTTATTGACTTTAGGTAACTTATCCCTTGCTCAATTTAAAACGTGGATAACTTGTTGAAAAAAAATGGACTCAACATTTACCGAATTTCCCATTCATTTTTTCCAAAATTAACAACTTTCGTCTGTGCAAAACTTAGACAAATTATTGATAAAATTATTAAAATTATCTAATAGCATAAATTGTATTTAAAATTTAAGCTAAATTCTTAAAATTTTATAAAATTCTTATTAGTTTTATTGGAACGTTTTGCTGAATCTCTCTTGAATTTGTCAAATTCAATCATTTTCCAACCCTTCTATGGATTTTAATTAAAAATTCGAGACTTTCACAGCGTCGGAACAGCTCTCGATCATAGAGACGCACGGAGCTTGAAAGTGAGTTAGTTTGGGTGTTCGGGGGTTCATACGCTTACGACTGTCAAGGCAGACGAGGTCGAACAGGAACTGGTGGGAGGGGCCAGCAGGGTCGTATCGGCCGATGGAGCGGTGCGAAGAGGCCATGCCGGGTCTCGGCAGGTGTCCGGTGGTGGAGCGCAGTTGTTCGCGCTGCGACACCGAGTCCTCGTCCGACAAGATGCACTGCCGCGTGTCCTGGTCGTACTGCACCGACCGGCAGAAGTACTTTTCCGACTTAAGGCACTGCGCCTGGCACTCGTCCATCGTCAGGTTGAAGAAAACCTCCATCTCGAACGGTCCGCCCAGCTTTATGTTCTCCTCTTTGACGAATACGATCATTCCGTCACACCGACGCTCCTCTGGCGAAATTTGTAATTATTAAAGGTTCGCAACGGAAATGTTTTTTATTTTAAATTATGAAAATAGACAAAATATCACGACAGGCGTTAAAAATCGCGATTAAAAATTTGTAACCTCCAGAGTTTAAACCGGGTTCCGCACTTTCCCGCCATCAAAATTTGAACTTACAAGTCTATTTTAAAATTTAAAAAATGGAGCTGTTTTAAGTGAATATGCTAATCTTTCAATCAGTTCAAATTAATTTGGTGGTAAAAGTTAATGAATTTCTAATGATTTTCCAGCGGTGCGAATATTTTCACCGAGATTTTAATGTCTATCGTCAAATTTAAAGCCATTTTCACAATTTAAAATAAAAATATGACCGGTGTTGACCTTTGCATTAATTCACGAACGACATTCAAGTTTCTGCGTTGTGCGGGTTGCGTTAAAAAATAAATAAAACACTCACGGTTGAGGCAGGTGTTTTCGAGATACTCGGTGTTCGGATGGTCCTCGAAGGCCTCAGGGTGCGTTCGGCGTGTGAAGCTGCTCAGCAAACACGTCCTGCTGGCAGCGGAAAACGACGCAGACCGGCAAACCATGCTGAATTCGTTCAGGCACCTTGAAAATAAATTGAAAAATATATATAAAAATTATTTTCTTAATTAAAGTTTTTAAGTAGTAACTTTAGCTTTGACCTTGAAAATTGGCTAAAAAATACCAAAACTTTCATATTTGGGACTAAAATTACTTTCAAAATTTTTATAGAGCAAAGAATCAGCAAATATTTGCCAATAATTGTTCATTTTTTACTCACTTTTCCTCACACTCTGTCTTATTAGAGGCCGGCACTTCCTTGACACCTTTGCCTGGTGTCAAATTTAGTCTCTTCCGAGGGTACCGCTCAAATACATATCGCATATTAGGACAGTCCCGTTCAATTCGATTAGCTAGAAATTAATTTACAGAAGATTAACGTCATCTTTCGGGGAAACAAGATTTATTTAAATGTGAAATCCTGATTGAAAAATTATTTTATTAAAAAAATTCTGGTGCCAATTTAGAACTTTTTTTATTAAAGATTTTGTTAGAATTTTTGAAAGTCTATTGGAAATGTAAAGAAAACTTGAATTATTTTTTATTTTTAAGTAATAATTCTGCCAAAACTTCATTCTGACAATGAATCTGAAGTCATTCGGATTTATATTATGTAAGACTTAAAGGATTTACTTTAATTTTTTTAGATTTTTCCAATTTTCTTCAAAATAATTTGCTTTGAAAGTTTTTTATTTCTGCATTTTTATTTTGACCTTTTTTATAAATTTTTTAGAACACATATGCTATTGATTTAGTTCAATAATTTAAATTTGAATTTAAGATTGAATTACAAGAGAGGCAGATTTCGTTGAAGTGCATGCTGGTGGGGACGAGTTTGAGTTCGCCGTTGCCCTCGGGTTGCGGCTGCTCCATGGCCATGTAGCACACGGACTCGCTGTACTCGGGCGTTTTTGTCTGCACGGGGTTGTTGTAAGGGTTGGGCGGGCTGACGATTCGACTTCCCGGTTGGAAGTCGAAACTGGTGCACTTGCGGATCAACTTGTTCACGGCCGTCACGTCGCGCAGACACAGCTCCTGGCACCGCTGCAACACGCGCAGCGGCGGCGAAGAATCCCTAACCTGAAAAAACGTAATTAAAATGATTTTTTTCCATTTAAACAAAAAAGAAAGAAGAAATTATGCAGAAAAATATTGAATGGAAAATAATTTCGGAAAAATTTGTAAAAATAATTTAATTAAAAAACTGACCACGTCGTCATCGTATCCACTAAGCTGCATGTCCGGAATCCTTTCGTAAACCAGCCGACCCACTCCGTTGTTGCACACGGTTTGGGCTTAAAACAAGAACATTAACCAAATTAAATAAATGATTCAAAATATTAAAATGTATTTAATGGTGATAATTTTAATATTCTTTTTATATTCCTGCAATTTCCTCTCGAAATTTTATTCAAATGATAAAAATTTACAAAATTCTAGTTCAACTAAATTTACTAAAGTTTTCTAAAAAGAAATGCTATTGGTCTCACTTCACACTTAAATTTTAATCCAAGTAAGAATAAAATTTACAATTAAACAAAAATAATTAATTTTTATTGGATGTGGAGAAAGTGTTTTGGGAATTGTGGGGGTGGGGAACAATATAATACACCTAACCTACTTAATCAATGACCGCATTAACTCAAAATTGCGGATGAGGAAAGAGACGTGGAATAAAAATAGCAGTACTAAAATACGGACCGTTCTATAACTTTGAGAAATTAGAGTTATTTTTTGTTGAATTCTAATTTTAGGGATTTTGTTTCATAAAAAAAAATACTTGATCATTTTTATCATCAATTAAAAAAGAAATTCTGTTTCTTTTAAATACATTGCCTAATATTTTATTATGAAATAATTTTCTGCATTTTTTTTTAGTTTTTTCCGAAATAAATTTATGCTCCATTTATTAATTTTTAATATGAATTTTTTGAATATGATAATATATTTTCTGGATTTATAAATTTTGACTAGAGAAACACAATAAACATTAATTTTTAGCATTTTCCGTAAAAATTTTAACTGCGTTGATTTTTTTTGCAATAAAACCGAGATGATTAAATTACTGCCGGACGTAGAGATGAAAATTGCACAAGTCGAGTGCACGCTCGGCTTCACCTCTGTGGTGCAACACGCGGATTTGAATTCAGGTTGAGTTTGATCGAGATAAGCATCTGTGACGGCCGACGGGGAGGGAGGGAGGGAGGGTGGGAACAAAAAGAGACGACCTTTGACCTCGGCGGCTCGAGTGGTCCAGATGCGTGTTTCCGACGGTGGCCGGATGTGGGGGACCGCGCGCGACTGCTTCCGGCGTCACGCTCGCCGACCACCGGCGAAGGTTATCGCCCCCCACGAAAAACGCATCCCTCTCCTCACGCGGACGCGCCGAAGTCGCGATAATTCGCCGATTGGTCGCGTTGAACCGTCAATTGGCAAATTCACACCTCACTGAATCGATCAATGGTTTTTTTTTTTATTTTAATTTAAAATCTTTCCAATTGGATAATAATAAATTAAATAACTGATTCTAAATTATTAAAAAATGATGAAATATGTATTTTTTTTTTGTAAAATTACAAAAATTTTAATGGATTTGCGCGAAAATTAAAAAAAAACGTGAATTTTCATTTTTATATCAATTTTTTATATATAAATTTAATTTTAAATATTTAAAATTACCAAATCAATATTTAAAAGAATAATTTTTGTAACAATTTTGAATGAAACTTTTTCTTTTATGCATTTTTTGGGTGCAAAATTTAAAAGTCTTCCGGTCGCGTTCCACTTGTCGCGTCATTTTCATATTTTATTTCCGCATCTGCTTGATATTAATTTGTCAGTCGGACTCAGTCAGCAGGGGCGTGGAGCGTGACCTGACAGTAGGGGTGTTGACTTGCGATTTAATTTGACGCCACAGACCACAGGTGCCACACACGCTCCCCTCACACGAAAGGGAGAAGTTGTGGGAAATTAATTTATTGAATAATTGCTTCAGGAAATACCTCCAGTTTTTATTTTACTTTTTTTGTAGCAGTGCAGATTTCTAATAATTTTAAAACTTAACATTATTTCTATTGCGGAGTTTCAATTGTTGACAAATTTTTTTATAAATTATTGGACATATAAACAACAATTATTACATTTTCTAAGTGAAAACCTGAATTTTTAGATGAATTTAAGTGTAATTGATTTATTCTCCATTCAGTTTGAAACTAAAAACAACCTTAAACTGCCCAAATTAATTTTTAATAGTTAGTGTATTTTTAAACTTTTAATTATTTTGGCTATAATATAATTCATGAATAATTTTAACTATTTTAAAATTTAAAAAAATTTAAGAAATGGAAAAAAATTGACGGTTAAACTATGGAGACTTCTTTTAAAATATTTACTTCTTTAGTAGAATTTTTACACTGAAAATGTAAAGAAAAAATAATTTCTCCAATCGCCTTTGAGGTAGGCAGCCGTTCCTCAAGAAACACTTGAAGAACGCGCGGGTTGCATACACTTGCGGTCTGCAGGCGTTCGAATCTCCAATCTAAAAGTACAGCGAACGGCACGTTTCCATTTTCCGACGTTCACGAACCCCGCTCAGGGCCTCTGTCGGACCTTGGAAAAGGTGAGTTCGTTGAACTGACCGTCCACCGAGGCCACCACTCGTGAGCAAGCGAGGAAAAGGAAGGGAAATATTGTGTGGACGCAGACGAACTAACCGCGCATTAAACTCCCGCGTGTGTTGTATTTTTGACGAGAATGACGCCAAATAATTTTGACTCTGAATTTTCTAAATTTTAAATATAAACACGTGGAGGGTTTTTAGAATAATTGCTCAAAAATCGTTTATCACATTCAGTTTTCACAATTATACAAAATTTTCATTTGTGTCATAGAAAATATATAAATTGTTTTATTTATTTTGCCTTTTCGCTGACATCTCTTTTTAATCAATAGCAATTGTTAAAACGCAAGATTAAATAATGGAAATTGAAGAATTCCAATGTCCTTTTAAACTTATGGAAAATTGCTGGAAACTGCTAAGTTCTAAATTTCATTATTATTAATTTTTTTTCTCAATTTAAATATCAATATCAAAAGCAATTTAGTTAAAATAGATGAAGGAATATTAAGAAAATTTAACTTTTACAGTTTAAATGTATTTCTTTAGAGACAAAGCAGAAACTTTTTAATTATTTTAAAGCGAAGTTAAAAAAGCGTTGAATTTTCTTGGCTTTCAATTAAAAAATTAATTCACTGCAATTGTTCAAATAATATGTAGAGCAAGGAAATTTGTAGAAAATTGAGCTTCTGATCTAAATCTAATCAGTTCCAGTGCGTTTGCAATAATTTGGGAAACGTTTTTTTCCCTCTAAACAATAATAATAATGTTAATCTTGTCGCAATTAATAAACAATTAAAAAAACATTCTTTGCATTTTAAAGAGAAATTAAATCTTATATTATGAAAACTAAAAATTGTATTTTCCCCATAGTTGGATTTTAAAAGTGAGCACTTAAAAGTTTCCCAATTTTTCGGTTTCCTCTTTTCCTGGGGGCAATAAATCGGCATGGCTGCTTTTATCGCCAAACAAGATCGGAACGGCCATGTTTGCGCCGCGGCAATTTGTCGCTGCACGGTAAAAATGATGGCAGAGAGTGAGAGAGATGCTGCGATGGACACGTCATCCTTTTATGCTCACCGACCAACATCCGCTCTCAATTTCGCTCGAAAACGCGCCGAGCTCGCCTAAAACTGCGCTCCCTACCCAAGTGAATCGTCAACATTTATGTTGCATAAAAATTTTCAATATTTCATATGCCGGACTAATTAAGAACAATTTAAAAACGTAACATTATTCGAATATAAATTTTTTGTCACCCTAAAAAACGTGAAAAAAAAAACGATGAAGAAGACAAAACTCCATTAATTTTTATGTTCTATTAAATTTTTTTAGCCAGCCTAATTCAAAAAATCAAATTTTTAAAATTACCACTAGGTAACTTCATTATTCATTCATAAATAAATTATAATAAAAATTTTAATTATTCATGAAAATTAAATACAAATAAATAAATAATTTTGAATTTTTTTGACTCACCATCGGTCAGCATTCTGAGCACAGTGACGACAGCGAGCGCTTCCATGATATTTGGCAAGTAGCTTTTCCTGGGCATTATTGCTGGTGAATTTCTCAAGGCGTCGCTCGGGCCTACGTTGGCATGCTTCGGCTCAAACGAGACGCAGCAGCTTTTGTCTGTGTTTTCGATTCGCTAGCTGCCGGTTGATTTGTGCGAACAAATTTGGAACTCGCGTGCGCTCGGCGAGAGTCGAACCGCAGAACTGAAGGTCCAGCGGCGACCCTCGCCGGAAGCCGCCGGACAATACCCCCCTCCACGGTGATCTGCTCGATTCGGCGCGCGGCTGCAATTTCAGATAAAGGAAAAAAAGACGAAAAAACTTTAAAATTTGCAGGGAATCCGCTGGGGAGAAAAGATGGACACTGCCAGGTCTCAGGCGAAGTGGAAAGAACTGGAGCGAGAGGCCAAGAGAATTCCTAATTCTTGTATCGGAATTATTGCTATTCTCTTGACTTAGCTCTCCCGGTCTAAAAGTTATCCCGGGATAAATCCAAAGGGATAAATTTTAACCCCCTGACTTGGACTAAATATTTTTTATACCGCCTTTTTTTGCTCGAGATAACTTTTTCTTAACCCCGCGTCGGCGGGATAAATATTTAGCCCGCGCTATATTTGAATCAGCTGTTTTTATTAAGCGACTCGGGAACTTTTTAAATTTTGGCCAATTGCAACAAACAAAAAACTTTCTCAGATCAGCATTTTGGAGGATCATGAAAATGATGGCAAAATTGATATCTAAAGCGAACATAAAAATCTGTGTGCAATTGAATTTGAAATTTTGTTCATATTTTTCTTAAACAAATATTTAAAGATCAAAGCGAAAATAGGCGAATTATTTTATTTTTTCTTTGAAATTTTATGCATGTAAAATTTCAATTTTTCAGTTGCACAAAGATTTTTATGTTTGCTTTGGATATCAATTTTCATGATTCTCGCAAAATTCTAATCTGAGTGAGAAAGTTTTTTGTTTGTTGCAATTGGCCAAAATTTAAAAAGTTCACGAGTCGTTTAATAAAAACAGCTGATTCGATTATAGCGCGGGCTAAATATTTATCCCGCCGACGCGGGGTTAGGATAAAGTTATCTCGAACAAAACATTTAAGGTGGGATAAAAAAATTATTTATTCCGTGTCAGGGGGTTAAAATTTATCCCTTTGGATTTATCCCGGGATAACTTTTAGACCGGGCGAACTAAATCAAGAGAATAGCGCCCAATTATTAAAAAAGTAACACATATAATTTTTTCTCTTGGTCGATAGAAAATTAAATGGAAAAATAATTTAAATTTATAGAGCAATCTCTTGAGCGCGGAGAAATGTTATGAAGAACTTGACAATTCTTGTTTGGATCCTTTCCTTACACCGACCCGTACACCCTGCTGCAATCGCCCTAGTCTAGGTGTCGATTAAATTAAACAACCAAAGTTTGCCTTGTCGGGGGCCAGGAAGGGACTGGTCATTTTATTCATCAAATAACATTGGAAATATAAAATACTTAAAATACAGCAAAAGAAATAAATATGAAGGTGGCGACGGACCTTGCGCCCCTGGGCTACTCGATGCTCCCTTTCACCGCTAAAAAGGAACTTCGGAGAGTCAGGGTCGAATGGAAGGATCCTTGGCTCGGCGCACCAGTCCTGCGAACTGAGCCGACTATCCTCCGGACAAGCATGGGCCGTGGGTGAGATTTAGTCTAGCATGACAGACCGTGCACGTTGGTTTGGATACCTCAATCAATGTTGTAAAATATAAATGAACATAATATTGAAAGAAAATTTCAATTCCAAGTGAAAGATGGTGATAATTTGGCCAACAATTGCATGTTCTCCTCTCAACTATTTTCGTCTCAATTTACAAAGATAAATAACAATAACAATAGGCAAACTGAAACCGTTATGAAAAAAAATATTAAATAATAGTGCGAACGATTTAATAAGCTTAATATTTTAAAACAATGTAAATAAAAATATAAAATAATTGATTTTCTTGCTCCATTGTTCACTAAGAACAGTGACATTTCTTTGGACGAATATTTAATGGCTACAGTGAGAGGTGTTTCATAAATATCGTCGCGTGTGTTGACGTCTGCCTCTTTTGAAAGAAGAAATTCGGCCAAAGCAATGTGACCATTTTGAGCAGCCAAATGAAGAGCCGTTTTTCCCTGTTTACCTTTCTTTCCTACGCTAAAGCCATTTAAACCCACCAAATACTGAACATTGTCCAATTTTCCATCGAGGCACGCTAAATGCAAAGCGTCGTTTCCGTCATTGTCCACCGCACTCAAATTAGCGCCGCTATCCACCAAAAGTCGACACATTTCTTCATTTGAAAAACGAGCTGCCAAAGTTAGAGGCGTGTCATTATCATCATTGCGTACATTGACGTCTGCCCCTTTTGAAAGTAGAAATTTAGTGACAGCGATGTGACCTTTTTGGGCAGCCCAATGAAGGGCCGTTTTTCCCTGTTTCCCTTTCTTCTCTACGCCGAAGCCATTTAAACCCAGCAAATACTGGACATTGTCCAATTTTCCATTCATGGACGCTAAATGCAAAGCGTCGTCTCCGTCTTTGTCCACCGCAGTTAAATGAGCGCCACTATCCACCAAATATCGACACATTTCTTCGTTTGAAAAACGAGCTGCTAAAGTGAGAGGCGTGTCATTATCAACATCGAGTGCATTGACGTCTGCCCCTTTTGAAAGAAGAAATTTAGCCACTGCAAGGTGACCTTTTTGAGCAGCAAAATGAAAAGCTGTTTTTCCGTGTTTGCCTTTCTTCCCTACGCTGAAGAAGCCATTCAAACTCAGCAAATACTGTGCATTGTCCAATTTTCCAGTGAGGCACGCTAAACTCAAAGCGTCGTCTCCATCTTTGTCCACTGCACTCAAATCAGCGCCGTGATGCACCAAAAATCGACACATTTCTTCGTTTGAAAAACGAGCTACCAAAGTGAGAGGCGTGTCATTATCATCATTGAGTATATTGACGTCTGCCCCTTTTGAAAGTAGAAATTTAGTGACAGCCATGTGACCTTTTTGGGCAGCCCAATGAAGGGCCGTTTTTCCCTGTTTCCCTTTCTTCTCTACGCTGAAGCCATTTAAACCCAGCAAATACTGGACATTGTCCAATTTTCCAGTGAGGCACGCTAAATTCAATGCGTCGTCTCCGTCACTGTCCACCGCACTCAAATCAGCGCCGCTATCTACCAAAAATCGACACGTTTCTTCGTTTGAAAAATGAGCTGCCAAAGTGAGAGGCGTGTCATTATCATCATTGAGTGCATTGACGTCTGCCCCTTTTGAAAGTAAAAATTTAGCCACAGCGATGTGACCTTTTTGAGCAGCCCAATGAAGTGCTGTTTTTCCCTCTTTCCCTTTCTTCTCTACGCTGAAGCCATTTAATCCCAGAAAATACTGGACATTTTCCAATTTTCCAGTGAGACATGCTAAATTCAAAGCGTCGTCTCCGTCTTTGTCCACTGCTTTCAAATCAGCGCCGTTATCCACCAGAAATCGACACATTTCTTCATTTGAAAAACGAGCTGCCAAAGTTAGAGGCGTGTCATTATCATCATTGCGTACATTGACGTCTGCCCCTTTTGAAAGAAGAAATTTAGCCACATCAGAGTGACCTTTTTCAGCAGCCATATGAAGTGCCGTTTTTCCCTGTTTCCCTTTCTTCTCTACGCTGAAGCCATTTAATCCCAGAAAATACTGGACATTTTCCAATTTTCCAGTGAGGCATGCTAAATTCAAAGCGTCGTCTCCGTCACTGTCCACTGCTTTCAAATCAGCACCGTTATCCACCAAAAATCGACATATTTCTTCATTTGAAAAATGAGCTGCCAAAGTGAGAGGCGTGTCATTATCATCATTGCGTACATTGACGTCTGCCCCTTTTGAAAGAAGAAATTTAGCCACATCAGAGTGACCTTTTTCAGCAGCCCAATGAAGTGCCCTTTTTCCCTGTTTTCCTTTCTTGTCTACGCTGAAGCCATTTAAACCCAGAAAATACTGGACATTGTCCAATTTTCCTCTGATGCATGCTAAATTCAAAGCGTCGTCTCCGTCACTGTCCACTGCTTTCAAATCAGCACCGTTATCCACCAAAAATCGACACATTTCTTCATTTGAAAAATGAGCTGCCAAAGTGAGAGGCGTGTCATTATCATTATTGAGTGCATTGACGTCTGCCCCTTTTGAAAGTAAAAATTTAGCCACAGCGATGTGACCTTTTTGAGCAGCCCAATGAAGAGCTGTTTTTCCGTTTCTGCCTTTCTTCTCTACGCTGAAGCCATTTAGACCCAGCAGCAAATACTTGACAGTGTCCAATTTTCCTTTCAGGCTCGCTAAATGCAAAGCGTCGTCTCCGTCACTGTCCACCGCACTCAAATCAGCGCCGCTATCTACCAAAAATCGACATGTTTCTTCGTTTGAAAAAAGAGCTGCCAAAGTGAGAGGCGTGTCATTATCATTATTGAGTGCATTGACGTCTGCCCCTTTTGAAAGTAAAAATTTAGCCACAGCGATGTGACCTTTTTGAGCAGCCCAATGAAGAGCAGTTTTTCCGTTCTTGCCTTTCTTTCCAACACTGAAGCCATTTAAACCCAGCAAATATTGCACATTGTCTAATTTTCCATTGATGGACGCTAAATGCAAAGCGTCATCTCCGTCTTTGTCCACTGCACTCAAATTAGCGTTATTCTCCACCAAGATTTGGATAATTTTTGTGCTTGAATTTTTAGCTGCTAGAATGAGAGGTGTATCACCGTTTTCGTCCGGCTTGTTTACTTCATCCTTCAGCAGCGATTTCAATTGCGGTTTCAACTCTAAAAGAATGTTGTTTAGCTTTTCTCCCAAAATTCTATGTACAGCAAAATTGTGGCTTTGGATTAAAACACACATCAAATTATCTCGGAAAGTGGCATTTCTAGAAATGCAACTGTCGACAAAACTCCGGCTCTGTCTTAAGTTGATGTTTTGGAATATTGGAATGGAAGATTTAAATTCATTTTTTATTTCATGAATGAACCGTTGAGCAACGAGGAATTCAGCAAAGGTTTGGTGAACGAATCGTATTGTCTCTATTTGCATTGATGCGACGCCGGTGTTGTTGATTAAATTGATGTCGGTTGGCAGAGGAATTAACTTGTCATTTAGGAGAAATCTTAGTGAAAGGTCCTGCAAGAGTCGAATTCGCTTGTCAATCTCGTATACTTTGGGGTTCCTGTTCTCCTTTGCAGTTTGTAGCGCTTCCTCTATTTTTTTTTTAATTACTATCTCATAGATGTCGAATATATCTTGAAATGATTCAAGCTTCACGTCACTTAATAGTGTTAAATGAAACGGATTCATGAGAATGTCTGAAAATCCAGAATTTTCGAAGATTTCAATTATTTTTTCACATTCCTCTGGAAGCTTTCCTAATTTCTCGAGAAGTTCAATTTGTTCTCCTTTCTCAAGAGGTTTTATTTCTATTTTCCTTGTAGACAGCCCTTCAAGAGACATTAAAATGGCCTCGGCTTCCTCAGGCCTTGTTGCGATCACCAATGGCATCTGCATTTCAGTCAAATCTTTAATCAGCTGCATCACTTTAGCTCGGTAATCGGGGCAAATTTCGTCAAAACCGTCCAAAAACACTATCCCTTTTTCAACCAATTGTTTCATGTCGTGGTTCACATGATTTGATGCGGATAGTATTTTCACAATATTTGGGTATCGTTCTTGGTGAAAATACTCGTAAAGTTGCTGAAGCTGGATGGTAAAGACCTTTTTGTCGAGCTGGTCTCTGTTTAGATAACTCGCAATTTCGAGGAGCATTGTTGACTTTCCTGAACCAGGTAGCGAGGATAGAAGCCACACGCAGTAATCATGCTTTTCAGAGCCCAATAACTGGCGCTGCATCATTTGTTTCAATTCTTCAAAAGCCAAAATTTCCTCACTACGCCCATGCATTTTAAGCGACGTGGGTTTATCTCGTGCCATGGAACTTGAACGTTCTTCTTTTTTGATTTCTTTTTTTGCGTCTGTTGTTGAGACGCAATTTGAAATTGCTAAAGTCAATCTAGGTGCAACAAATGTTATTGGCCACACGGGAATATCTACCAGGAAAGGAAGCGTTGACACTATTTGCGGAATTATGTCACCACAGTTATTAGGAAAATTTCGAACAAGGTCAAGGGCCAGCTCCTGAATAGAGGTTCCGTTTCTCAACAGGGGATTCTCAAAGAGATGGATCAATTGTTCAACAGAGCCTATGCAGAATAAAATTTTGATCAAAATATAATTTAATTAATTTAATCTGACTCACCTTTCCTTTTCAATATGCAAACGAAGCATCCGCTATGATTCGTGGCCCTTAAATGAAACTTTCGATCCTATATTAAAACCGAATGAGTGAGACTTATGACTTAAGGAAAATTGCTAGACATACCCCAACATAATCTGTCTCATTAATTATATCATCTACAAAGAAGAATATTTTTGGTCGTCCAATCCACTCTTCATTTGATGGACCGACGAAACTGTAGACTATGTCGCCTATTTTCATAGCATTTCCTCCAATTGATGCACATATTTCGCTTCGTTCATCAAGGTATAGCCTCGCAAAAACGCACATAATAACGCAACCAATATTAGTTTGCAGTTGTCCATTTTCAACTGCGTAATAAAAATCGTATTAAACGGAGAGAATTGATCAAACTAATTGCAGTTGATCGTACTTTTGTTAAAAAACATATCCAGACTTTGATTGGGGACTGGAATTGTGTCAAATTCTAAGCTCTGCCGAAGTGCCTTTTCAACGCCAGTTGTGTGGTTTTCTGCTCCTAAAATGTACGCCACTTTTCCTCTCACCGACTTGCAATTTGTATCATTTGACTCCCATTTGTAAAACGGCAATCGAGATTCATCTAAGGCTGGTTTACTTTGTTTTGCGTCATATTTGCTTGGTTCCTGATCACGAATACTGTAAAATAATGTTATCAAATTTTGCGAATATATGCTCAAAAATTGTAAATTTTACATACTGATTTTTTTCTAAAAAGCACTAAAAAGCTTTTACTTTTTTCGCTCTTGTAAATGTTTTAATTTTCATTTATAATTTTTTAATGCTTAAATAATGTATCTCTCGGTTAAGGCAGAGATTGCCTTTTGGTACACCAATAAACTTAATTTGCAACTTAATTAAGTAAAAGCAGTACGCAAAAATAATAATTAAAAATCCATAATATCTATAAGATTTTTTGGTTAATATTTCAATATTTTACCTGCTGATCCAAAATTTTTCGTGCACTGTATATTTGATCTCGGGAGATTGTCCATCATCCAATATTTTATCAGCAATTCCTTCTTGGACTTTGGTCAAGAAAACCTCTATAAGTGTGTCTTTTGTGAGCCCGTCTAGCGCTCCACATAATTCTTGTACCAGCCAGGTTCCATTCTGGGCATGTCGTATTGCTTTTGTTGCTATATGAGTTAAAATATTTATTAAATAAAGTCGTTTGTTAAGCATTTGAATTCACTTTCAACTGTTGGATAGATAAGAATGAAATTATCAGCGCCAGGCAAATTCGTCAGTTGACACGCATTTTTGTTACTGTAATTTTCATTTTTTTGGCTGGATGAGAAGATCTTATCTTGCAATTGGCCCCGACAAGACTATTTAATGAAAATATATACATACTTTGAATATGTAGATGGAAATTCTTTATGTTTTACCCCAAAAACAATTATTTTAAGGCACTTTTCTAAGTCTTTGTGGCTTTTTAACATATCGATAACTTCTTTGGTGGTGAATGTCTCATACTTTGTGTCGACTTTGTGATCCGTATAAATCAATCCATTTTCATCTCCGTGTGACAAAATAAAGAGCAGCAACACTGACGGTGCCTCTGAAATTTTTAAAAAATTAGACGCTCCTTTGGCAAAATAGTTATACTGTTTTAAATCATGCATTTCTAGCTTCAATCTTTTTTGATGATTTTACAGGATTTGCAAAATAAAAAAATTTCATCTATACATTCACAATAATAACCTGGGTCAATTTAATTTCTAGTTTTGCTGTTATTATATCATTATTTTTATAGCATATTAATTCTAATTATTATTATCTCAGTAACAAATAAATTATAAAATAGAATAAAAGCATGCCTTTGATGTTGAAGAGCTGAAAAATCTCGCTTGGGTTGGACAACAACTGAAACAAATCCCTCTTATTTTTAGACTTGAGACTCTGATACAAGCATTTTCTTTTGTTCATTAAACTTTCTTCCAAGTTGCGCAAATCTACGTCGTTTCCATCACGAATCCAACCTGGGTCGTCTTTGAAATCGTAACTGAACACCAAAACGCAAGCGCTGTGAGAGTGAAAATAATCAAACCCAAACATATGGTCTCCGTTAAATTTGAGAATACATACTTTTCGACGTTTTTTGTGCCGAAACGTCCAAGCCGGGTCATCTCTGAGACAAATTTTTAACAAAATTAATCCTCCAAACCAAGCTTATTGTTACGGAAATCTCACTGTCGCTCAATATATCCACGTTTAAGCAATAAACACTAATCTATCCTTACCAATTTCTTAGACTGTATTGAAAGTCAAATGAATGTTGTTGACTTCTTTAAACTAGCACCACCCGACCGCCAGATGGCAAGCCCTCCGGCTTGGGTACAGTGATATTTATATAAATTGGCTCTAAGTCAAATTCAGGCGCGGCAGGCGCCTGATAATAAATTTTGATCAAAAACGATGTCAAGTGCTTTGTAAATTAATATCCCTTTTGCAATCTCAAGTGTGCGAAACTCGATCATTTTCTGTTAACATAAATTGCTGTAAATTAAGTTCTCATTGAAATCTGCTTATAATTAATTCGCAAATTACTCGGCAAATGCTATTATTTTGACAAATATAATTTTTTTACAGTTCAATTTTATTCAAAATATTGAAAAAAAAATATTGAAGAAAACGGCACCACCACTATCAAGAATTTTGCTAATAATTTCAAAATAAAAAATTGGGTTAATTTTTTCTCTAACAGTTTTTAAGAGAGAAAAATTAATTGAATGATTTGTGTATAATTTTTAATTTTCATTTTGACAATGCCATTTAAATGTAAGATAATCTAAGTTAAAAATAAATATTTACTTGTATTTAATATTAAAATTGAACTATTACGAATTCTCTCTCAAGTGAAATTCACATTTATTTTTAAAAAATTAATTCAAAATTTACTGAATTTAAAAGTTCAAAAAATATCTTACAATTTTCAAAAATAACAATTTCTGCATATAATATGTTATATTGTTGTTTATTTCAGTTCAAGTGTTCCAGAGAAAAAAAGTATGCTATTTTGATATATTGAATCCAAATTTTCTTCGATATGGCTCATGAACTCCACAATTTTGTGTACCCATAAAAATGATAAGCGCAGCGATTAATGGGGCTAAAAAAATTGTGAACACTGTCCAACGCGGAGAATAACAAGCTCCCTTGACAAAAGTTTTAAATAGCTCAAACTATTTCATCGCTACGTTATCAAAAAAGGCAAAAACGAGAGCTGATTTCCCTTTCTAATTCAAACAGATCGCACTGATTCGTCCCAAATTGCATGCTAATTATAGTCAACATGTGCGTGTTTTGTGCTTCGTTGTTCCGAGCAGCGATCATTTTCATTTCCATGGAAATCGCTGGACCCTTGTTCCTATCCAGCGATCAAAAATGCAGCGCTCCTAAAACAACTCAATTTTCCCAAATGAAATAAAAAAATCTAGGAAAAATCTGGATTTTTGCAAAAATTGTACACATTCTACTTTTTACAAGATGAACGTGATAAATTTTTTTTCAACCAAAACCAGGTCAGAAATTAGCTTCGTGTGCTGGATGTTTGGGCGAAGCTCGCAACGCAGTCTGATTGATTTTCCTCTCTCTGGCGTGTATTTTTCAAGCTAATTGAGGTGCCGGAAATAAGGAGAGCTTGTTTCATTTGCACCGATTCGCCTCACAGCAGGGGACAAAACTAAAATTCTGTACACAAAAATGATGAATTAAAGTTGTCACATTCAAATGCAACACTTTTTATTTTCTATAAATGTAAATTTATGAATAATCAAGGATTTTTTTATTTATAAATCAAAGATCCATGTGAATAGTTAACATTTATATTATTTTTCCCATTTAGCACTTTTATTATATTAAAATTTTGATATCATTTTCTGGATTATTTTAATTTAAATTTGAAAGGAAAAAACTTTTAATATTGATTTTTTTTTAAATCTGCCATACTTGTAGCCATAAAAGATTATTAAATAATTTTTAATTGACTAAAAGTTTTTGGTTTGCGAAATTTTAATTAATTTTATTTTATTTTCGAAATCATGGAATTTTCTCAAATATATCGTTTTCGCCAAATATCTCATTGAAAAAGTCATCGTCCTGTTTGGCCTTGGTGAATGCCGAAATTATCCCCGTGTAATTACAGTGTCCGCGTGAATAATTGGCCCCCTGTTATCAAATAGCTTTTAATTACAACGTTTCGATTTCGCGCAACGAAAGTAAACACAATTGGGGAAATAAAATGTGACCGTCAGCGGCACGGTCAAAGGCAGATAAGAGCTGCGGATTATCTCGATTTTCTACTTTTTTGTCATTGCCGCCGCCGTTTTTGTTTCAATTCGCGATGCAGCTAGTGGAATTAAAAGGGGTCATTCGTGTGGTAATGACCTGAATGCATTTTTATTGCATGCGCACCTTTATTCAAATTAGGGACCAACAGCGTCCTTTGCCCTTCAGACTGACTCTTTTTCATTGAAACTATAGACAAAATTATTAACTGGAAATCCTCAATTGGTAAAAAGTTGGGAAAAAAACTATTCTGGAATGCTGAAAGACGCCAAAAATAAAAAATATAATTTTACTTATTGGCAGGGTATGATTTTTGTTGTTGCTAAATTTTTAATTTTCACAAATATCAACCTTAATATGCAATTTTTTTTTCATATATCAATTTTAAACAAAATAACATGAAAATATTATTCAAATTTGCAGTGGGATAAATTTTTATTTCGTTGTGGGCTCGGAGACTTAATTTTAAAAATAAGATGCATTTAATTTTTGTAAGTAAAAAAATGATTGAGGCCTAAAAATTATTTTCTCCAAAATTTCAATTTCAAAAATTTTATAATTTCTGATCACCTAATATCAAAATCGCCGCGTTTGGGATTAAAACAAATTACAAATTAATGCTCGAAAACGCATTTTGTTTTCATTTAATTGGTCTTTTTTTAACCTAAATAATTATAGAATTTTTGGCAAACTCTCCTAGAATAATCCCATTTTACAAAATTTAATTTTGTTTCAATTTTATTATTGTTATGAACTAATTGTAAAATAAAAACTAAATTGTATACATTTGTCATCCAATTGATTTATTTTTATTGATAGACATAAAAACAAAAATATAACATTTTTCCTCTTTGATTCACTCCAATAGTAGGACACTAGCGCTTCAGTTTGTGCCTCTTCGTAATTCTTCGCGCTTTTCGACACTCAGTTTCCATCGAAATTGGTGAGAATTTTTTTCACCGCCATAAAAACGTTGTACTCCAGAGTCACAACACTGCTTTTTTCTCTCATTACGTAGACCAGCACGTTATTTATATCTTTCTACAATTAAATATACATTTTCCTGTTTTCGGATAAAAACTTTTGCACTTTTTTTTCCCGTTTTCGGCTTAATTTATTTTCTTACTCATTGAGCTTACACATGAAGAGTATTTGTTGTTTACAATCTAATTTGTCACTGATCCCCGTCAACATAATAATTGTTGTGTGCTTCGTTTAAAAATTTCGTTTAGAATTATCTCGTGTAACAATAATAATAATTTGCGGCAGGAAACTTTTATTTGTCCATATTCGATTCGAAATTAATTTCAATCGCTGAAGGCACTCTCATTTGCGACGAGATGCACTGCATGAATTTTGCACTCACATTTAGTTTATTTTTATACGTGTAAATTTTCTACAAGCACTTCTTGGCTCCACACGGATTGATTCTTGAGAAAGATTGTCTCGCACACAGATTTTTCGCGAGTGGATCGTTTCTAAAATTACAATTGTACTTTTTGTCAATACTTTTTCCGTCTGATAATTTCATCCAGCAAAAGGCTCAGGTGACGACATTTAAAGCTGCTGAGTTGCTTGAAAAACAAAATTAACGGAGTTTTGAAAGTTTTCTTAAATTGACTGGAAACTTCCAGCCAATAAAAATCATTTTCAGTCAAAAATTTGTATTTTCTGAAAGTTTCCAGTTCCTTTAAGGGTTTTGTATAAAATTTTTCACAATTAATATGAGATTTGTAATTTGTAATTTGTGCTTTAAATTAATAAATCGGCACAAAAGTATCAGAAATGTAAATTGGATGAAAAATTCAAAGCTGAAAGAAAATTTAAAATATAAAATTGCATAATCATCCATTATTGTTAATTTCTCAATAATTTTCTCTAAAATTTTCAACCAAACAAAATAGAAATTCTTATTTTTAGATGGTTTTATCATAAACAGAAAGTTTAAAATTTGAGATTCGGTGGCAAATTTGCGGAGCCGTGTATCACATTGACAAGGAGTTTTAAATTTTAATTTGTGATTTTTCATTGAGATTCCACTGATCTCTCTCATGACAAATAATAACAATCTTTTGTGCAGAACGAATAAGCAAAGCGCATTATTTTTTTCTGTAATTTGCACACAAGTATAGTGTCTCAATCAACTGTATAAACGATTTGAGTAGGAGGAGGTCACTGCCTGCTTCTGACGTCGGCGGAGTGCTTAGTCCGTTTGTCCTGGGAGGCACAGTCTTGTTGGAGGAGGAGGGCGGCGTGGTCGGGCGCCGACCAGCGGCGCTTCAGGGAGGCGGGGGCGGTCGGCGCCGGCAGCCGCGGCGACAGCGACACGCACGTGTCGCCCACGCTCAGACGCACGCAGGGCAGGTCGAACGAGGTCAAACTCCGCTCTGGCGAGACCGAGCACCACCCCTTGCCGTACACGAAAAACGGGTGCTCCAGCACCACCTCCATCTCCACAATCTGCAAAGAATTCAAAATTAGTCAAAATTTAAAGAAGAAAAATTTCAACTGATTTTTAAAAAATATATATTGTTTAATGTTTTTATTTAAAATATTCAATGAATATTATTGGTTTATTATATTTAATTCATTTCTTTTAAATATCCCTTATTAACAGTATTATTTTTATATTTAAAAACATAAATTATATTTCGATATTTTTTCCAATGCTTTTGTAAATAATTAATTTTTAAAAATACATTTTATATATTTTTTTTTGTTTTTTATAAAGTTTTGATAATAAATTTGTATTCTTTGAGTAATTTGAAACCTGATGTTGCTGGTCTGGTCCGTATCTGAGGACGACGAGGGCCTGCTGGGGTTTGACGACGCTCTCGGCAATGCGCACCACAGTGGAGGGGTCGAGTCTGAGCGCGGGACACTTCTCGGCAGCAAAGACAAAGTCCTCCGTCCGGATGTCCTCGATCCGGACGACCCGCTCGTTGGTCAGTTTGATCAGGGAGCCCCTGGCGAAGTGGCTCTTGGTCTTTTTCGGGGGCTCCTCGGCCCTGCCGGGGGTCAGCAGGCGGTGCTTCATGGAGCCCTCCTTGCCCGAGGGCACTTTGAAGGGTTGCTGCGGGGGTGGGGGCGGCACCGGAGGCGGCGGAGGAGGGGCGCGAGCGGGGACCATTTTGGGCGAGGGGGCCAAGTTGAAGGCCCGAGGGGGCTGCTGCTGGGGCTGCAGACTGAACTGGTGCGGCATGGCCGAGTTGAAGTAGAGGGGAGGGGTGTTGGAGTAGGCGTGGGAGGGGAAGTACTGCAAGGGCAGTTGCCCTGCCTGTTTGTGCATCAGGTTGACGGCCACGTCGTCCTGCTGGAGCGGGTGGTGGTGGTGGTGAAGGTGCGGCCCAGGGTGGGGGTGCGGGTATGCCATCTTGCCCATCATCCTGACGGCGCCGTAACTGGGCATGAAGTTGTTCACCTCCCCTGCCGTGTACCTGAGAATTAAATTAAATTTAGTTTTTTTTTTTAATATCAATCATAAATCTTAAAAAATTGTTCAAAAGATAAATTTTATGCTCAAAATTAAAAACTGGATTAAACATGTTAATTTTTCAAAACTTGGATCTCCAAATCTTAATAAATTAACAGATATTTTCAAGTTTTCATTTAATGAAGAACATTTTCTTGAAAAAAATGTGCAATTCAGCAATTTAACTTGAAATTTTCAAAAAAAAATTAAAAATGTTATTTGAAAAATTTATAAATCAAAGTAGGATTGAATTTCTTCAGTTGCAATTACCTTGCCGCGGGCTTGGGCAGAGGTCTGAGGAACTCTGGGACCTTTGCCTCGTTGGAGGCGGCCGAGTTGGTGAGGTAAGGGTCGTAGGTCATGGCTCTGACTGTCGGCGGCTGCTTCGCGGCGAGAAGGTTCGAGCTTGTCGACAGCATCAGAAATCTGCAGACAAAATGGATAAAAACTTAGTTACAACTTTTAAAAGAAATTCTGAAAGAGCATTATTCAATTTTGGGAAGTTTTAAGTTCAATGAAAGCTCAAATTATTTATTTTCATTTGTGAAAATTTCCAAATTATTTTTAGAAAAATTTTCAGGGATCTCGTAATTTTACCGTTTTATTCTTCAAGATATTACACATTAACTACAGTTTATGTAAAAAATTAATAAAAATTAGTAATTATATCTGCTGGACCAATTATTAATTTAATATTTTTCTCGAAAAGTGGATTTGAACCTTAAATAAATACACTGAATTTTAACGCAAAATTTTCTGACAAAGTAGTCGATATTGTCGAATTTTATTGAAAATAGTTGCGTAAGTTTATTAATATTGTTTTTTTTTTTTAAATAACTATTTTTAATTTTGATTTAATTAAAACAAAGTCAACATCAAAATTTTTCCACATTTTTCTTAGTCGCTTTTCTTTGAAAATTTTGAACCTGGAAAATTTTCTTGATATTTTCAACACAATTTAAACATCTTAATTCGCATTTTAAAAGGGGAAGCACACATTTCCCATCTCGTGGCTCTCCGTGCTTTTTAAAACCTCAACGTGATTTTTGATTCACGTGCGTATAATTATCGGAAAGCATGAATAAATATTTCAAGGGAGCTAATATGCGAGAGCGACTAGTGGCGACGCGTCCGTCCGTCCATTGAGATGCATTTATATCGATCGGCCGCGCTTCATTCATGGTTGTTGCAACCGAATGAGAGAATTCCGCTCGCGCTATTGTCTCGCAACATTTTGGCCACTAACTTGCATTCCCCGGCCGGCTCGTGACATTTAAATTGTGCGCCGCGTCAATAATATTCAGCCACCGGTGCACATTTCTAATGGGCTTGTTTGTCAAGCATTATTCAATGGGAATAAAATTTTCCGACTCGTCAGCAGACTGATAGTGAGAGAGAGAAAAAAAAAACGCATCGGAATTAATTTTATGCAGCCGAGAGGTTGCAAAGTACGATTCGTCAATTTCATGGCGCGATATGGATTGTAATAACTGGAGGCCTCTTGAATTTGCTGAAAGTGACACTTTTGATTTGTAACTTTTCTTGTGTCAGCTGCAAAATATTATGCAAATGGAGGCAGACGATTCAGAAAAACCGTGAAATAAAAAGCATGAATTAAAATTGGTTTAATTTGTGAATTGTTAAAAAAATTGTTATTTGAAAAAATGATTATAAAAATTCCTTTGCAGAGAAGAATCGCTAATTTTGGGCAAAATATAATCTTCAAAGGGTCATTTCAATCTAAAGTTCGACTGGACCGTCAAAATTGTAAACAGTAAGCAGGGTTTTTATAGCTATTTTTGTTTTAAGAGGGCTTGGAAATCACTTGAAAACTTATCCTAAATGAAGAATTCAATAAGATTTTTGTAATTTAATTTAATTAAATTAATATTGGACAAAAACAAATGAAAATTTGTTTAGTCAATCAACAGTGGAAGATAAAAATTAAAAAGGATTCGATTGGATTCGATAATTATTCATAAATATTGATCTCGGAAGTTTTGGCAAAATTCTTGATGCTAGTGGTGGTGCCGTTTTGTCCAACAATTCCTTTCTTTTCAACAATTGAAATGTAACAAATGAAATAATTTTGACAAATAAAAATCAATTATATCAAAAAGACTGACGCGCAGAATAGCCAATTTTTCTTCTTATTTGATATTCAACCAAAATTTCTGTATTTTTTAATTTCAGTAACGTGTTCAAACCCTTTAAAAATTAATTCAGCATTCAGGATTTCTTAAATTATATATTTTCCCACATTGAGCTGCAAATACATAAACAAAAAAGAAAAACTTATGTAATATTTTTTTAGGGTCTTTCAAGTTGAACTTTTTTTATATAATTGGAATTTTTCCCTACAGTATTCAATTAAGATTTTCCAAAATTCTGAACTCGTGGTCATATTTATGTGGAAAAGGTTTTTAAATTATTTAAAAATCGGCATATCCAATGCTTTAGAAAAGAAATAGAATAAATTTTAGATCGGAAATGAAATAAATTGGTTAAAATTCCTATTTAGAAAGAGGCTTTTGCAAAAACAAATCAGCCCAATTAATTTTGATGCTAATTTTTCTGCTACATTTGTAGATATCAAGCAAATTGGAATTTTTGAAATTATTCCTTGTTTTGTATAAGAATTTTCAAAATTAATTATATCTAAAAATTGGCCCTGTAATATTTTTATAATTTAAAATTACCCTAAAATAAAGAAATTGAAAAACATTTTCAACTGAAATCAGCCTAGGGAACTTAATTTTGATACAAAAACGATCACCATTTCCACAATTTTAGTTCTTTTGTACCTGAAAAATCACCTAAATTGGTGCGAATTTCCCCCTAGCCTAGTTAGATGTGCGTGTTGGGAAAAAAACTCACACGTATGTCGGGTGGCGAACAAGCTGCGGCGGACTACGGACGAGCCATTGAGAAATTGGCGAGCGGAAAACGGCGGCGCTTCGGCCTGGGCTGCGCGTCCGGTGCCGACGACGGTGCGGGCGCCGACGACATTTGGTGGCGCCGACCCGTTGGTAGGCAACCTTGAACTTGCGTGTGTGTGAGTCGGCAGCAGCGGCAGGGGTGAAAAGAAGCTGCCTTGAAACAAAGCGCAGGCCCTGGAGTGGTGAGAGTGTGTGTGTGTGTGCGCGTGGAGTGTTGCGGGGATCAATATCGTGTATCAGAGAAGAGAGTGAATGAATCCCCGCTCGCTCCCTCACCACTCGCGTAGCAACCCGGCCAACGCCAACGCAGATGGGCCAACCCCCGACCTACCCCCGCCAACCCTGCCGCCTCCGCTCGGCAGAGAAATTTCGCAGAAAACCCGAGTCCCGTTCGTTCTGCGAAAAGTCCATTTGTTCTTCGGAAAGTTTTTTTTTTCATCCCCGAAGGCATTCAATATGATTTATTCATTAATTCCAATCCTGGTACAACTTTTAAGGGGAATTTTCAACTTTTGCAACAAAATGTGTATGAAAAACTGGTAAAATTTATTAATTTGCAAACTACAATTCATTCTGTTAACGGATTTTAGTAATTTTGAGGAAACTCATCAAACGTTGTTATAATATTTAAATAATAAAAGAACTTTTTGAGATTTCTGCCAAAAGTTTCAAGTTTCGGGACAATTTTGATGCTTTCATGGAATATGATTTTTAATTTTCTTAAATTTTTCGAAAAATAGATGGAAAAAATAAATTTCATTAAAAACGTTGTATTTTCACGAATATGGATTGTTTTTCCTTCTGCTTAAAAATCATGGCATAGAGTTTAGAAAAAAATTAAACTATAATTAATATGGAATGGCTTTTAATTTTTCACTTTTAGGAATAAATGAAAATTGGGACTATTTCAGATAAATCTGAGTTTAAAATTGGTCTTTTTGAACCAAAAAAAGGAATATTTCTCATTTGTCGGCTTTGAATTTCAATCGCATGTCGGGGAAAAAACAAAACTTGAATTCTTATTTCTTTTTTAATTCTTAATTATAATTATTTGTGTTTATTTATCGAATTTGTTACATAAAATTTATATCTAGTAGAAAAACAATTTTAGCGAGGGCAACACTGAAATTTCGCTAGCAGAATTGCAAATTTTTCAAAATTAATGTCAATTTAAAAAAGAATTTCAAAAATTCAAATTCACAAGTTTTGACCTTCAAATTTGCAATTGACAAAATTAATGGAAAGTTCTAGCGATGAACATTTTTTTTTTATCTATGCAGCCTTTAGAAGTGGAAAAATTTCTTTCTCTGGAATATTCTTTAATTATTTTCGTTTTTGTTTTAAATTTTTAATGGCGATGGTAAACGCCCAAAATTTGCTCAAACGGATGAGTTTGTATCATAAATTTTTCAACAACTCACCAACCAACCAACGTGTCACCACGAGAGATAGCGTGCGTATTTTCCACGCACCGGACACGAAAAACTGCTCAACACGCAACTGGTTATACGTTTTGCAACCGATTTTGAAAAAAAAAATAATAATAATAATTCTGCTCAGGTTTCGCAGAAGCTCTTATTTCTGTAAAGCCACGTGTGCTTGTTATTAATTTTTGCTTAAACAAACGTTTTTTTTTTATATTTGCGCTTTAATCTTATACAAAAAAATCGGTAAAGGAAAAATCTTTCATATCTTAAAAATAGTTCATCGTATTTCCTACACAAATTAATTTTCGTAGAGTTAAATTGAATTATGCACATCTGGTAGAATTTTCCTTTAAATAAATTCTGATTTCAATCTATTTTCAAAATATTGAAATCTATAAAAATCTAGAAAATGAATAATTTTTCCTCAGGCACTGTAAATGTTTCTTTCTGGTTTCAGTTTTAATAAAAACTTTCTATTAAATTGATCTTTTGAAGGAAAATTATCATTTTAGATAAAATCCTTGGTTAAATTGAAAAAAAATATTCTGATTTGAATCTAATTTTCAATTTCGTATATTTAATATAATTATGGTGATGTTATACGACTTTATTTATATAATTATTATTACATATTATTGTGCCTTTGATAAGCAAATTTTAAAGTTTTAGTCTTCTCTATTTAACTGATCAGCAAAAGTTTCTAAAATTGGAGCATAAGTTGGTTGATTTTCATTCACTACATATTATGACGTTTAATATTTAAAACTCTCAAAGATTGCTTTTGACTCTTTTGTATTTTAATATCACAGAAAATAACTTTGATCGTCCATCTCATTTTATTTTATCCTGCAATTTTGATTTTATTTTGATGAAGTGTAACGGAAATTGTTCTTTCAAAAATTCATTTCTTTTTACTACGTCTTCTTTAAACTAAAATTTACAAACCATTGCTATTGGAGTTAAAAAATTACCATCAAAATTGATCGGGCCGTTTTTTTTCTAGCTAAAGCCAATCCTTACAACCGGGTCGTTCTTAAGCAGAACAATTAATTTAAAATAACAATCAAATTTGTCTTAAATTGGTTTTTATAAAATATTTAAATTTATTTGGGCCAAACATATCGTGTGTTTTGTGTTGATTTGAGGCGTTGGAATGTGTGTTGCAGTGCGTGGCGGGTGGATTCAACTTTTCCTCCGTCGGTCGGTCCGCGCCGTGGAATGGGACTCGGCGCGGCCACTTTTTTTTGTGCGCGAGATACGCGCCCGGAGCGGCGAAGGAAATTCCTCTCTGCTGCTTCTTTTACAATGTAGTGCGTGAGTGTGTGAAACCATCGAGAAAAGAAGCGACGGACGGATTCACTGGCGCCAAACTGCATGAAAAGGCCCATTGTGCGGTGCGGGTTGTATAAATGAGAAGAAGAGGCTAAATCGCGCAGGTAGAGGCTCCCCCTCGCCTCCCCTCGTCTGCACCAGCAACCCTCAAAAACTACTTTCGACGAGGCCCAAACACGCGTGAAAATTCCTCTCCTTCACGTTTGTGTATTAATTTCCTCCGAGAGCAGCGATTACGACCGTGAATCGACAGATTGTTTCCTCTTCATTGATTAGTTTTGCTGTTAATGAACGAATGGCTGCCTCCAGTTGATTCAGCCCAGAGACTACTTGGGATTTTGTTTTTGTCCGCATTTTTTAGATAAGAAGAAATTAATTGCGCTTGTCAACGCACATCTTATCAGGCACTCTTGCTTGAAAGAAACAAGTTAATTTTCAAAGGTCGATGAATTTATTAATATTATGCAATTGTAAAAATTTTAATATTTGGCTAGCGATTGAAACAAATTTCAACAAATTCATGCACGTATTTTATAAATAACAACAAAAGAATATTTAAATTTCTTGACTTGAGTAGTGTTTTGAGCAATTTCTATTTAATTTGATGAATTTATGTATTTGAGGGCTAAAATTACAAATTCTATTTTTTTAAACATAATTAGAAATTTACAGTCGGTTTTATAGCATTGGTTGTTAATTTGTTCTTTTACAATTTGAAAACTTAGAATGGAATATTAACTCAAAAATTCACCGATAATTTAAATTTTAAGCCTATTATTAAAATTCCATGATTGAAATTGAATTTATTAGGCTTTTTAGACAAGTTTTTACAAATCGGAAAACTTTGGAACAATTAAAATTTACTCTGATTGTTGACATGTGTCGTGATGCGCAAATCTTGCCACATTGTTTGAAAAAATTGATTTTTCAAGAACAATTGTTTAAAAGTTTTTTTCTTCAATTAAACGGTGCTCTAACCTTTTAAGTAAAAAATTACGAACCAAAATTATGTATATTATTGTTATTTATTGAATTGTCGTGCTATTAAAATTTAATCTCTCGCGACGCAATTAATTTATCGGGTTGAACAATTTGCAAAAGTTCTGAAATAAGAGTTCACTTGTATACAATGACAATGACAATTTTAGAATTAGCCAAAGAGAAAATAATGAGGGGCTTTAGCAAAAAAAAGACAGAAAAAACGCTTGATTAATTTTGATGCTAATTTTTTTCTATATTATAAAGCTTTGCTTTTTTGATGCTAGTTCCAAGTAGGATATATAGTAAGAAAAATTAAATATATTTGGAGCACTGAATTTTTAATTTACCATTTTTTTCTTATTGAAATTTTCTAAAGTATTTTTTACCTCTAAATCGGCCCAATTAAAATAAGTAAAAAATTCAGCAAATCACGTTCATATCACCACAATTAAGACGGAGAAAATAAATTCAATAGGTACGTCGACAAAAAAAAAAAAATCAGAATTTCTCTCAGATTATTTTAGTGAAAATCAAATTGCACGGAAAATAAAGAATTGTGTTGTTTCTAAACCAACATTTTTTTTTTGTATGTTCCTTGTAAAAATTGATACTTTAAAGGAGGAAATAAAAAAAAATTATTATCTTGTATTTAAAAAAAAAGGAAACGTGTGATATTCAAATTATAGAAACGAATTTTAATACACATATCGAATGAAAATTTATATCATATAAATTTTCTAGAAACGAGTCTAATTGCTAGAGTGAGTCATGTTAGTTTGCCTGGCGCTGATTAATTTCAAGACTTCTTTTCCTCGTGCGCGCGGAGCCGAAGGAAGAAGAAGACACCAAACTTCTTCTTCTTCTTCATCTTCACTCTTTTTCTTTCTCTCGAGCTCTCCGTTTTAAATATCAATGACGTAAGTGCGCGCCGTCGGTCGGTATTTACACCCAAGTTTAACCCGGAGAATATCAGGGTGAATGGGAGTTAAATCTCGGTATACACGTAGGCGCCGGTGCCAAGCAACGATTCGAAATAACACCGGCGCATTTATATGTGTGAGAGAGGAAAAAGAGGATGTGTAAAAAATAACAAACTCACCGCGCGATGCGAATGTACGGCGGAGGGTGGGTGTTCGGACACTGGAGCCGATCGACCACCGACTCACGGGCGACTGTCCCCAGACATGGCGCGTGACAGGTCAGAGGTCGCGCGGTGCCGCACCTGCCCTTCTTTTCGCACTACTACGGACGGCCTCGTCGCAATATATACTCGCAATAATAGCACCAGTAGCAACAGACGGACGACGGACGGAGCGACGCCAGCGCCGCCCTCAAAAAATTCCGAACCTTCCGCACGGTGCCAACTTGACAGAGACCGCCGAACTCTCAGTTCGGCCCAAAACTCCAGCAATTCTGATCCGATTTTTAAAATTCTTTCGAATTTGGGACTTGGTTTGAGAATTGAAGTCGGTTTTTGAATTTTGAACGGGGTTGGTTCCGGATTTGGCCGCGATCGGTGTTGACTCGGGTGGGTGTCGGGTTGGCTGCACAATTTACTATGGTCCCCCTTCCTTGCGCCGCTTCTGGTATGTTACTCTCTCCTTCTCGTGTCGCTCTTTTACGCTACTTCCCCTTGTGTAGCCGGGCCCGAGTTTTTTTTCTCTCTCTCTTCAACAAGCCCCGGCGTCATTGCTTCTGCCCAAGGCCGTCCATCGTCCCGTATTGTGTGAAGGTCTCTCTCTCTCGTTGCTCCTCAAACTCCTCGCAGTCTCTTCTATTTGGCGTAGTGTTTAATTTCTCTCTCGCGAGGAGTTTATAAAATTAAATGCGTCCGAATAATTTTTATTTTAAAAATTCAGTCCGATGGGGAAAATAAGTTGTGGACAAATAAAATTCCCCCTGGGAGTTTATAGTTTCCCACAAACACCGGCCGCGCACATACAAATTCCAACCACATTCATTCTTGAGAGCGCGCGTAAAAAAAGAAACAGTTTTTTAGTACCTTTTGCTAGAGGTACATAATCTTGTGTCGTGCTCGCGCCGCATAACTTCGGGCTCGACTTTTTATTAAAGGATGGGAGAAAGAAAATCTGAACTACTATTTTTGAATAAAAAATAATAATTGTTTCAACCTTCTTAAAATAAATAGTTTCCAAATTAATTCACTTTTGTTCTAAATTCTTCAAGGAGGGAAAAACCCAAACAACTTGATACTGTTATAAATCAGAGCTCAAGCAATCAAAACTATTAACTAAAATAAATTTGATGAAAAAAAAATGGAATAAATGAAAAAAATACCTTTTTGCATTAACATAAACACGAAAATTGTACAGTTGTATCCGTAAAACTATTTTGATCAATTTTGAGTTTTCAATTTTTAAATTTGCCCTCAGGAATTTTCAGAGCCTATTACAAAAAGATTTGATCAAAAATTTTATTTAGCTTTTTTTCTTATCTCTTAATTGTGACATTTGAAGTAAAATTAAACATTTAAAAAAAAGGGGGGGAAATGCTTTTTTTTTAGAAAATACCTCTGATTTTGTTTTGTTTGTTATTTTTTTCAAACAGCTTTCTTATTTTTCCTCCACTCTCTTTGCGCTTTAATTTTCAATAATTTTCTTGCGAACAAAGCAGAGGCCATATTTTTTTTTATAAAGAAAATTGCTTTGATTTTATTGTAACAACATAATTTTATGTTTGAAAATTGTAACACAAATTAGATATTGAAAGAGAAAACAATTGTTGGGAGAAAAACGGTGATTTTTATTACAAATAGGCAAAAATTATGCTAAAAAGTCCAAGATCAAATGAGTAAAAACCATTCACCGCTGTGAGCCTCGGTTGACATTTTCTTGGGCAGAAATAATTAAATCAATAATAAGTTAAAAACACTCTCTCTGTCAAATTTTACGGGCTAAATTGATCCAATTTATTTATTCACATGCAATCTTATTTCACTTTCAAACAGAAAATATATGGCAGAGTTTCGTGATTTTTCCGGCAAGAAGACTTTTAAACAAATTTACTCATTTTTCTGTTTTTTGCCTATAATAATTTTTATTTTCAAGAGAGCAGGATCGATATCGCAGAAAGTGAGAAAAAATAATAAATTCTGTTTGGGACTTTTTTGTTCCAGGAAAAATGGCTTTGAAATAATTTGCAATTTCCAATTTTGCACAAATTTCACCAAATTTTTCTACAAGTTTATATAAATTTCCTTTTAATGAGGAAATGAAAGCTAATAAAATCAACCTTTGTGCTTATAGCCCTGTTAGGAGTAGATTTTCTTTCTAACATTTTATAGACTCTTTATGGACCTGGAATTTTTGGCGAAGCCCTATAGATTTCTTCGTAGGTGTTCCGATTTTCAATTTGGGGAATTTTATTCTTTCGGTTGTCATGGCAGGCGATCATATTTCGTCGCCGTGGCCACGATCGAGAGACAAAGGCGCAAAGAAAGAAAGAAGGTCCTGGGCGCGCTGTTACCAGGCACGGGTGGGCGGTGGGTCGGTCGTCGGGGCGGCGCGCACAATAAAATCTCTTCACAACCAGCCGCAGGTATTTCCTACTCATCCCACTACGCTCTCGGTTACGACGGCCCCGGCCTTTATACTCACAAAAATGGTACATACGCGCGCGCCACAGAGAGAAAACAAGAAAATCCAGTCGCTCTACTCGACCCGGCCGAGGCAGCGACTTTTTTATACTCGAAAAGATTACATTCGCAGCAACAGCGAAATATTCCAAGAATGAGAACCCATAAAATTGAGTGTGAGCACCGGAGTGGATAACAAAACTGCCTGGATATTGCCGGGTTTGATTTGATATTGCAAAAAAAATATTTATTAAAAATGCACTTCTCAATTTTAAATTCTAACAAATATCTTTAATTTATTCTTCACAAATATCAATCTGAATTTTTTTTAATTATCCTGGTTCTTCTCAAGCCAATTTAATAATTTGCAAATTATACTACAGAGAATCTTCACCGAACCGTCTTCCATAAATTTATATGAGCTTCCATTGAATTTATTTTTGTTTTCAGTCCAATTTAAAAAAAAAAAAAAAATGGCATTACTGAATAATAATTATTTTTTGAAAAAATTTGATCTTCTCAACTCCCACAATGTATTTATATTTTTCTTATTCACGTTCGGTTCTTGGAAAAATGTTATCTATAGAAACTGTTGCTAATGAGAAAACAGAAATCATCATCAAAATTTATCAAACGCTGTTTTTTATAGCAGAAAACACAATTAAATTATATTTTATTCCTTTCCGCCTCTTTTTTATTGTAAGAAGAATGATTTTTCTTCATATTTTTTTTTACTAAGCTATCGGCTATTCAATTTTTTTTTTCATCATATCAAACTTTCACGTCACGCAAAATTATAAAAAAAAGTTAGTGCAAATTTTTTTCAGCTTGAAATGGAATTTTTTTAGTCCATCCTGCACGTGCTGCGTGCCTGAACTATTTTTTTTTTTTTATCACAAAAGGAAGTAACTCGACCCCTCGGCAAAGTGTGTGATTTTCCACTGAGGCGAAAAGAAAGAGGGACACAGGAAATTGCTTTCTTGATTTCTGTTTTTTGTGCGTCAATTCACAATTTTCCTCGTACATACAAAACGCGACGACGTAAAATGCACAATCAACTTGCTGAAAGCCCGCATAATTTATATTTTTCTTTAATTATTTCCTGCATTTTTCAGCAAGTAATGTTTTATAATTATTTCAAACTTGAAACTGAAAGTCTCTTTTGTGACTTAACTAGTTTTTTATGCTGATTTTATTGGATTTTATATTATTCAAATTGTGAAATTAAATTAATAAAAGAAATTTGATTGAAAGATAAAAACGACACCACCAACGGCAATTAATTTTTTTAAACTTAATTCCAAGATAAAAAAAGGCCTCATACATGCTACAGGTTCATTTTTATAATTTATTTCTATTTAACTAAAAAGTCTCTAATTGACTTTTTGCCAGAATTTTAAATGACATAAAAAAATATATAATCAAAATCTTTCATAAAATTAAAAAATATCCATAAAATGCTGACAACAATTGATCTGAGCATCAAATTCAGCTAATTTGATTCGAAAAAATCAATTACAATTTCTAATTTATGTTACTTAATTAAAGATTGAAACGAAGTGTATTTTTTAACTTTTTAGTTCTTCTAGCAAATACGACCACGGTTAGAAAGGGTAGATTTATTTTTTCTGCGCCCTTGTGGTTTTAAAAGAGCTTTGATGAAAATCACACAGAAGAGATCGGCGGTGCGAGATTGTGCGTTTTATTTCGGGCTTTGTGTGTGCACATGGAGTGACGCGGGGGCTCACAATCCATTAGGTCATTCATGACCCCGAGCGAGAGTCTCTCTTCGGATCGAGTTGTAGGGACGGCGGGAAAAATTGATTTTCCGCCGCTCGCACTCCCAAGGCCGTGCGTGGCTATTTTGGGGTGTGTTTTGTGAACCTGCGCCTGCAGCAGCCCCTTTTATACATACACTGACTCTCTCACGTAAAACTCAAACGTGTGTTTGTGCACGCGTCAGACTCGAATATATCCGTCGCGTGACTCTTATATTGGGTGGCGAAATCGTTGCGAAACCCGCCAACGATTATTGTTTTTATTTCCCCGATTAAAACCAAATTAATCCGTCTGCCAGACGACTTAACTCAAAAGGCCATTAATACAAGCCCAGATTTGTGTATTATTTTCATTGAACCAGAAGTTAGAAGGAAGCCAAAAAGTGTTAAATACAAATTGAATGTAAATTAATTGCTGTTATATATTGTACAATTAATTTTTGGAAATATTTGGGTAAAATTTAAACATTATCATATTAAAGTCAATAAAGAATAATATAAAAATTGATATTTTAATTTAAACTTATTTCGATCTTTGCCGGACATAAATTAATAGAAAAAATATTGTGAATTAAAATTGGCATTCTTGAAACAGAGTTATGATTTATACTGGAATTTAAAGCGTCCTTTTTTAAATAAATTATAAAATATCATATGAACTTTCTCATTTTCATTATTTTATGCAATTCATCTATAAATTTCAAGCATAAAATAGATACATGAAGACAGAAAAACTTATAGAATAGTAAATTAATTGAAAATAAATGGGTTCAAAATCTTGATTTTTTTTGTATTCGACAGATAAAAAAACAAATTAAAATATAATAATATTAATGTTTAATTTTATTCTTGTTCTAACAAAAGCAACTTTTCATTACCAAGGACATGTTGCTTAATAAAAATGTTTACTTTTTTATTCATTTTAAGCTGCATTTTGTGATAAAATCACCACCAAGGTCTGCTTTCTTGTTAGTTTTGTTTCTACCTCAACATTTTCAAATTTAATTAATTGTAAAGCATATTTTTATACACGGCGGTGTTTATATGTTTGTTTGTAATTACAAATTAATTTATTCTCGTATTTATCCTCGAAAAGGCAGCGCGCACGCATATGCATATACGCGGGGCGCACAAAGGAGTAAAAAAACACAACAAATTGCACCGGAAGCGGCCGCGTAGGCGCGGCAACGTTATAACAATGGGGCCTGTGGCGCAATGCGAGCGCATCAGACAAAAAGGTGAATCACTCTCTCGGTGGCATTTGAATATCAAATTTATATATGTATAAATAAATGAGGAGCGCGAGAGGAAGTGGTGCTGCCGAGTAATTATCATCGCTTAACTCTTTTCTGTTAGTCACCGCGGCTGCAGACTTGCGAGAATTATTTTTCATTTTCCTCAAAGGATGCGCACCAAAGCCACACGAAAACACGTGCAAGAAACGAGGACAAACAAGGAAACGGGCTGAATTTTTTATTTAAAGTTTAAAACTTTCTTTATTGTGCCATTAATAAATAAAAAATAATGTGAAATTTGTCACTTTTCTTCATATCATATTTTTGCTTTTTATGAGACATATGCGTTGTTTTATTTTCTTATTTTTGTTCTTTTTTTTATCGTTACGAGTCAAAATATACATTTTCCGAGTAAAAATGAGGATGCGTAATTTGCCGCAGCAAACCAAGCATGACTCCATAACACTCGCTCGTAGGCTGCCCACGCGCCCAGTCAATGCCACAAACACTCACTCCGAGCCGCACCGTGTGTACTCTGCCGTGGCGTGTGGGTGTCTCAGTATTGAGCGGAATGTGCTTGAAATAATAATTCCAAAATTTTCGGCGAATTAATTTTTGTATCTAATTAAAACGCTAAATAGTGGTCAGGAATTTTAATAAGTCGGCTGTGCTGAGAATTCTCAAAATTTACAAAGTTAGGCAACCTGCTTGACTCGAGTGTCTTCCCGGTTGCATACCTACCAAAATGGCCCTGCCCGAAATTCCAATCCTTTTCTATCCACGCTTTGGCTTTTATCTCTCTTGCTGATGAGATTCACGAGTTAACTGTTGCCGAGTTGCGAAATAGGAGAGTGTGTGTGCAACTCGTGTAGTTATTAATTATCATAATTCTGAGCGGCACTGCCTACACGCTCATGTGTTGCAATTGCGTTTTTCTCAGCTCGTTGCAAGACAAACTTCATTTAGTTTTTTTTTTTAACAAATTTATAGTTTTATTTCAACAGACCGCCGCGGCGTGGAAATGTGGCCGCGGCGGGGCTCCTCCATTCCATTATTAAACAAGAGAAAACAAAATAAGCGTCTCACTCAACCAAAATTACGACAACATTCGCCTACGCACTCATACACTAGATAAAAAAGGCATCCATTCATCAAAAGTACTCAATTTGTCTTTCTTTTTTGTTCCGAAACACCACACTCGGATTTCGATAAATAATTTTTTGTTTCCACCGCCGTTTTACATGAGCTGAGGGTTTTTTGTGCCAGGGTTTTCTTGATGTTTCGTTCGAGTTGGTCTCTTCGGTTGGCACGACGGTGTGGAGGAGACGAGAGAATGAAAATATTCAGTCGTCGCTACGCTTTGCTTTTCTCTGGCGTGGGCTCTGCTTAGGCGAGCGCTGCTGATCTGTTAAATAAAAATGTTGTTTGTAATAAAATTGCATTTTCCAATTAATTCGTAAAAAGACAAATTTCATTGGTTAACTTATTTTGTTTTTTGTAAGATTCTGACACTAAATAATTTCTTTTTTTAATCAATAATTTTTGAAAAAGAGACTGACTGTTGAGGTTCTTGAGAGCGTCCTTGGGCAGCCATTCGTAGTTGACGTCGTTGGGGTTGTCGTTGGTGCCAGTCTCGAGCTGCGGCTTGCGCGAAATGTGGCCGCGCTTCTTGCCGACAGAGACGAGCACCTGCTGTCCGCCGACCAGCAGCAGCACCACGCATGCTGCCAGGAACACGTACATGAAGAACACCTCTCCGTCCAGACCCTCGTCCAACTCGACCACCTGCACCGTTTCGTTATACACGGCCTCCCTAAAGAAGCCACCGGACTGTAACAAAATAAGAATAGAAATAAGTTATCAATTTTCAAAAAGAAGAAAATAAAATAATTTATTAAATGAGCAAAAATTTATTCAAATCATCTGCAAATGAGGATTTTAATTCTTAAAACCACAGAGATTGCATAGATAAATGGACAATCACTTAAAAAAGAGAATAATGGTTATATTATTTTCAAAATGGCCAAAATAAATATATTTTCTAGAAAAAAGTACCTGCATTTTAAAAGTGAAAAAAAAATTATATTGGTTTGAACTGTTGAAAAAAATTGAGCCTGAAAAATGTATAAGACGAACCCATTTTTTATACTTTTAAAGAGAGTGAAGAATCTATGATAAAATTAATATAGATAATTGAATATTCATTATTGTTTTTAATTTGGCTGGTTTAAAAATAAAATCTTATAGAGAAGAATTGAATATTTTTCATAATTGTCTCTTAAACCCCAAAACTCTTGAAGTAAATTTAAAGTTCTTTGCAAATGATTGAAAAATAATTTAGTAGAAAATCTTTGATTTCTTCAAAGTTAAAATAAATACTAACGGCATCTCTGTAGTTGAGATTGATGCTCAGACCAAAGGGCCTGCCAGCGAAAGCCTCGGAGGGAATAAACGAGTAGGCCAGCGTGGCCTCGTGTCCAGGTTTGACCAGTCGACTGTAGGCTAAGGTCGAGAAGTTCTGAATGTAAAAGGTGAAGTCCATTGGGTATCGGAAGGACGCGTCCAGAGTCTCCAGGACAAACTCCTGCTTGCCCTTGTTGCTGAAGCCGACGAGGAACTCGACCAGCTTTCCGCCGGCCAGTTCTGTGAAGCGATTTAAAAATAAATACTTGTCTTCAAAATCGGTCAAATTTATTTATTTCAAACCCAGGTTAGATGAGCCGACCGGAGAGGTGAAAAGAATGGTTGTTTCTGCGTCGGGAGAGGCACCAGGCCCTGTCGGCTCTGCCGCCTCCTCGTCACCGGTCACGGAGGTCTCGACCTCCAGGTCCTCACCTTCGACGTCCACACCTTCATCGTCGATATCGTCCTCCGCCCTTACAAGAACTGCCAAAGGGAAAATTCATCAGGAAAAATTGTGCCAAAAAACAGCTGTTCCGAATTAAAGGGCCAAATTTGTGACTGAAAACCGGACCAAATGAAAAATTGCGCCACTGATAAGAATTCTTCAACTCTTAATTTTGAATAAAAAGAGAAAATCTTATGCATATTTTCGAATTTTAGGCCACGTAAAAGGAAAAGATTCGACGGTTGAGTAGGCGAAGAATTTTTCGAATCTCACCATTGTTGGAGGCTAACAAGAGAATCGCGGGCAGAACGAGCACGCCGAGCCAGAGGTGCAGCTTCATTTCGGCAGAGGAAGGCGCGGGATTCGGCAAAACAGTCGGCGGTCGGCCAGATGTCGATCGATTTGCGATTCGCACCGATTTTAACGCATCTACTTGGTCGACCGGCTATTTGTGATGTGTATTGGAATTTGATTCTCAAGTCGGCCACCGGAGCCGCGGCGGCGCTGCCGGCCGTGACGTGTCAGGCCAACGTGCTCACAGTTGGACGAATGCGACGTTGCCGCGAGTTCTTGAATGGGGCAGACGAAAGGGGCGGGACCAAACAAACAAACAAAACCCCGCGAGCAGCATTCTTTCCTTGTTTACAAACACAAAATTCGGACACCTGCCGTTCTCAGGCACCTGTCGGAATGGAAAAGTGAAAAATCTTGACTGAAGAGGAGGGCAGAAGGAGGTCTACAAATTTTTAGTAAGTTTGGTAATGAATTATGTTGCGTTTTAATAATTATTTTTAATAATTATTCCAGTCAGAATGGACGTGCGTCTTTGTAAGACGCTGTCGGTGCAGTACGGGGTGAAGGGTTTATACCAGAGCATGTACGAGATGGCCAAGAGAGGCAGGACGGAGCATCCGGCAAAGGAGGCCGAGTTCCGCCTGCTGATCTGCTGCGCCCTTCGTCTTCTCGGACGGACTGATGAGGCCAAAAAAGAGTCCGAGATCATCGTAGACCCTGAACAAGTGGACGCCTTCAAGTATACTTTAATTTACTAATTTGAGAATAATTAACTAAATTTTTTCTGAATTTAATGGTGAAAATTAAAAAAATCCACTAATAATACAAATAAATACAATTTGAAATAAATCAAATTTAATTAAACATAAAATAAAATTTTATTATTGATTTCATATTTACAAATTTTATGATTTTCAATTTTTTTTTAATTTTTTAATTACGTGACTGTTGAATAGAGTTTTAAATTAAATTTTTTGTGACAGGTACTTTTGCCGAGAGACTTCAACGCTGGACGGGAACAGTGAACACTTTGCGTTGGTCCTGCTGCTGATGGGCAAGCACCGGCAGTGCGCCGACCTGCGAGTGTCTCGTCCCAGCGTGTCCGCTCTGTGCTGCCAGGGGTGGAGTTTATTGGCCCTTGGGTCACCGCAAGAGGCGCACCAGGCGTTCGAAAAAGCGCTCAAGCTGAGTCCCAACGACCTGGAAGCCAACCTGGGCGTGGCTCAGGTCCTCAAGGCCAAAGACGAGCTGGACAAGTGTCTGGACGTCCTGGACAGACTGGTCGTCAAGTACCCGGACGTCATGGCGCCCATCGAGCAAAAGATGCTGCTCCACCTGTCCCTTTGCGACTGGGAACAGGCCTCCGAACAGGCCACCAGAGTCCGCACCGAGTCCCTGGACGCGGTCAAACTCGGTCTCCTCAGGGCGCTCTGTCTCGACGGCAACTTTGAACATGCCGAGGCTGAAATGGCGGCTCTCAACACACTTCTCCGGCAGAAGGAAAACTTTAACCCGTGGGCTTATTTCCAGTGTGGAAAACTTGTTTCAAGGCAATAAAATGACTTTTTTTTTGTATAAATCAATTTTTTTTAGATTCATTCAGGTTTTTTTTTAATTAGAGTCATTATCTAAACTTCCCCTTTAAAACTTTTAACTTTTTCTTCAGGGTGTGTTCCAAGAACGCTGCCATCCTGAGAGAAGCCCAACTTCTTGTAGAAAAGGCCATTGAACTTCAACCTGCCAACTGTGAGTTCCGCTGCGAACTGGGCCTGGTGCTGCAGCTGCAGGACAAGACCAAGGAGGCGCTTAAAGAGCTCAAGGCCGCCGTCAAGCTCGACAGCTCGTCTGTGTTTGCCCTGTCCAATCTGACCCTGTGTCAGGTGCTGGAGAACAGACAGAGCGACACCGTCAGGCAGCAGGTCGAGTTGCTCAAGGAGCTCCAAGGTCAAGACCCGTCGGCCCAGTTACTCTTCATGGCCTCCCTCCTCGACGACAGGGACCGCCACCTGCCTCTGAAGGCCCTGCAGGCGCACCTGCGCACCGTCGAAGGTCTACCCTTCGGACCTGATTACCTCACCGCCTACAACCCTGAGTTTGTCTTCAGCATCATCGGCCTCCTGCTCAACAGGATGCACGTCAAGAAGGACTCACCTGAGCTGCTCTACCTGCTTAAAATTCTCAAACCCATCACACAGACATGTCCAGGTCAATAATTGTCAATGACCTTACAATTATTGGAAATAGATTTCTTTGAAAAATCTCCATTAAAATTTATTGAAATTTTGCTTGAACAAATCCTGATTCAAGGAAAATTTACCTTGTCCTTATTTAAAACTCGCAATTCTACCCTAGCAAAAGCAGGAAATTAAATAAATTTCTTATTCTTTCTTGATTTTAAAAATTGCATATTTTTTGTCACAGGTTTGTGGGAAGCGAAACTTCTGCACGCAAAGGCTCTGCACCTGAGCGGCGACTCTTCAGGCGCCCTTTCTCAGCTGCGGCGGTTCAACCAAAGCAGCGAGGCACAGGTACTTGTGGCCACGATCCTGTTGGCTCAAAACGACCTGGCAGGGGCAAACAGCAGTCTCGAGTCGGCTTTGAGCTTTGACTTTGGGGTTAAGGAACACCCCGTGTACCTTTTAGTGCAGGCCAAGAGCCAGCGGGCCAAGGGAAACGCAGCCGACGCTGCAAAGTGGCTGAAAACCGCCCTCGCCAGTTCCACCCTGACCGCCGCTGACAAGGTCACCCTGAGTCTCGAGCTGGCTGAAACCCTGACCGAGTTGGGGCGACCTGACGAGGCGTCCGACCTTCTGCGCAAAACCATAGCCGAGTCCGCGGGAACGACTGAACAGGCGAGACTTGTCACGGCGCAGGCCGACCTGGCCCTCAGGGCCGGCAGGGTGGACCACGCCTTGGAAATCCTGAACTCAATCGGACCTTCGGAGCTGCATTTTCTGGAGGCGCGGCATAAGATGGCTGAAATTTACCTGGTGCATAAAAAAGACCGGAAAAAGTTTGCCGCTTGTTACCTGAGCGTCGTCGAGCAGAAACCTGGAGTCGAAAGTCAGGTAAAATTTAATTGAATTTCAATCAAATTCTGAAACTTAAATTGATGGAAAATTTCTTCAGATTTTGCTAGGTGATGCTTACATGAGGGTCCACGAACCCGAAAAAGCTGTCGAAGTCTACGAACAAATTCTGAAATCAACCTCCAAGAAAGATGTGTCTCTTGTCAGAAAGGTGCTTAATAAAAACTTTAATTAACACGATTGATATATTTTTTAAAAACTTCCAGATTGGTCAAGCACTCGTAAAGACCCACATGTATGGAAAGGCAGTAAATTTTTACGCAGATCAGGCCAAAAAGCACCCTAGTTTGAGGAAAGACCTGGTCGAGTTGCTCATCCGAATGAAGAACTTTGACCGTGCCGAGGCGATTTTGAAGTCTGCGTGTGCGGGCAGTGTGGCCAGCAACGACAGCGAAGAGTTGATGGCGCGCTGCCAGTTGCTGCTGTTGCTGGCCAGGGTGCAGGAGCAGACGGGACATGCTCCCAGCGCCCTGAGCACCCTGACCGAAGCCAAAGACATGCAGAATAAGGTGCTCAAGCGTCTGCAAATCGAGGGGACGGGAAAACTGGCAGCCCAAAAGGTGGTGGCCGCCAACATCTGCAGGCTGATGGCCAAACAAGGCAGCAACCAGGAGGCCATCAAATACTACAAAGAGGCCCTTGTCCACCAACCTGGCGACCCTGAAACCCTCATCGCCTTAGCCAAACTTTATCTTCAAGTCGGTTTAGCATTTTTTTACACAATTTTGTAAAATAAATTTTTATTTTTCAAGGTGGATGATTTGGCACTCTGTCAAGCAACCTGCGGCCAACTCCTCAGGTCGGACCCTGAGAATGAAGCCGCCTGCGTTATGATGGCGGACATTTCCTTCAGGAAAACCGATTTTGAAACGGCCAGTGTGCACTTCCAGCAGCTGCTGAATAAACAGCCCCGCTATTGGACGGCCCTGGCTCGTTTCATCGAGGTGATGCGCCGAGCAGGCACACTGGCCCTGGTTCTGCCTTACCTGGAAAAGGCTGCTCTCAAGGGAGATGAGCCAGGTCTTGCATACTGCCAGGTATTTTTATATTTCTTCCAAACTATTTCTAAAATTAATGATTAAAACTTTAGGGACTGTACAGTTGGTACAGCGGAGAACCAACACAAGCCCTGAAACACTTCAACCGAGCTCGGAGAGACCCTGAGTGGGGTCGCCAGGCTATCTGTTCCATGATCCAGATTTGCCTGAACAATGGTTTGTCTTTTTTTTTTTTTTTTTTTTTTTTAAATTGAGGAACAAATTTTTAGACTCGTTGGTTTCTTTAGAAAATTCCGCAGAGGTGGATTCTAAGGACTCGAGAGAGACTGCCTTGAAGACGGCTGAGAAATTACTTGGCGAGCTAAATCCCAGGCCAGTCACGGAGGAAAAGAATACATACCAACTGCTGGTTTGCTTTTTGTTGTTGGCAAAGCGTGACAAGGCCCTGGCAGAACAGGCCCTTCAGGAACTGACCCTCCTTGCAGGGTATTTAATTTCATTCCTTGCAAGAATAATTATAAGAGCTTAAAATTTTTTATTATTCAGGGTGGAGAATTCCAGGGTGAGCATTGGTGTGACTCTAGCCATTTCAATGGCCTACCTGGTTTTGAAGCAATCTACGAGAGCCAGGAACCAGCTAAAGAGGGTTTCCAAGCACCCTTGGACCTTCGAGGAGGCTGAATACCTCGAAAGAAATTGGCTTCTTCTTGCTGACCTTTATATTCAGTCAGGTACATACTGGTCTCTTTTTTCATATAAAATAAATTAATTTTTTTCTTCTATTCAGGAAAATATGATTCAGCCAGCGAATTGCTGAATAAGGTTCTTGTCCACAACAAGTCTTGCACCAAAGCTTTCGAAGGGCTCGGCCTCATCCACGAAAAGGAGCAGCAGTACAAGGACGCGGCAAGCAAGTATGAGCAAGCGTGGACCTTTGGAAATCAATCTAATCCGGCAGTCGGCTACAAAATGGCTTACAATCTTTTAAAAAGTAAAAAATATGTAGCGACAATTGACGTTTGTCACCAAGTTTTGTCGCAATTCCCCAATTATCCCAATATCCAAAAGGATATTTTGGAAAAAGCCAGGAGCCACTTGCGGACTTAATTAATTTTTGATCTTGATCTCTACCTTGCACTTGGTGATATTATTCTGTCCATTTTCAATGTATTTAATAAAATAGCAAAGTTATTAATTCAAATTAAATTCTTATTTATTGCACTTAAATAATAATCAGGCTTTTTAGTTTGGTTAAGAACATAGATTAAAATAATGCATGACTAAAATGCAGTTAACAGACTTCCTAGCAACTTTCTAACAAATGAGATTACAAGTTGAAGTGGATTTTACAACCTCAGGATTAAATTGAACATGGTTACTTTTTACAACATAAAATGTAAATAATAGGGTGAAATGAACTAAAAAATTTGATCAATGGGTCATTAAATGTTAATCTACGTCAGTACTGTTGAAATCCACTTGAATCACAAATAATTACGTGAACCGAATCAGAGGTCCGAGGGTAAAGCCGACGAGTGACTGGAGCGCCACCTGACCCACGTCGATAATGCTGGTGACTGAAGCCATGAGAAAAGTGGGTTTGCGCATCAGGAGCAGGTCCTGCCGATGGCAGTCAAGACAGTCGATCTGCTGCAACCTGAGTTGAGGTTTTGGACCGCCGAGGCCATCGGCCAGCAGCTGGCCGCTGAACCAGACGCGGTCTTGCGGCTGCAGAGCGGCTGTGAAGTTGGTGAAGAAGTGTTCGGCGACGACCTGCACCTCGGCGTCGCCACCCCACATGCGCTTGGCCTTCATCTTGACCTTCAGGGTGACCTCCGTGGTGGCCCAAGCGTCAAGGTGGCACTTCTGGCCAGTCAATTGTTGCAACTGGCACCGACTGGCTTCTGGAGGACACACCAACGGCACTTGTTCTCCGAATAGACAGGAAAGTGCCGACCCCACCACCGAGGGCAGCGACTGCAGCAGGTCGGCCAAAAGGTTGCGGTGCTTTGTGACTTCTACGGAGGTCACGTAGCCATTCCAGCTCACTGTGGTGCCAGCCAGTGAAGAACAGGCAAGCTGGAAAGAGGATTTTGATTAATCAATTGAAATAAAAATTCACAGAAATATAAATCGTATAATAAAAATATTGTCAGACCTGTGTTGAGGCAATTGAGGACTTTTCCCAGGCAGGTTGGTGGCAGTGGCTGTGATAGGCGTCCCAGCTGAGTCCGACATTCGGAACTGGAATAGATTCGGCCTCAACTTTTGCTCCCGGAGGCATGGGCTGCTCCTCCTGAAGGAAGGAGACGCCGTTCAGGGTGGTGCTGCTTATGGGGTAGAGCAACACCATCATGGCCACAACGCTGCAGATGAGTTGCAGAACCAAAACCAGGCGACCAGCCTCAACTGTTCCTCTCTGAAAACATTATGAAATTTTAATTACGTCAAATTCCATGAATGGTAATAATAAATAATCCTTAAAATGGATAGAAACTTTCAACGAATCAAATTTCTTAAAAAAAATACTGAAACAAACGCTGGTGGTTTTAATTTCTTAAGTTTCATTCCATAAATATTATCAAAGTGTAATAAAAATGGTCGTAATTGCTACAGGATAATTTAATTAAATTTGTTTAAAAATTTTTTAAAGATATTTTAGCTCACTCTGTGGAGTCGGGAGATCCACCAAGAAATGAAAAACGGTAGGGCTGCGACTAAAGTGGAGGTAGCTGCCTTCACAAGCAGTGTGGTGCTGGCAAGGGTCTTTAAAATAGCCAGGGCGGGCAGAAGAAGGAGGAGGACCCCGATGAGTGGCAAGCAGAAGCCGAGACCAACAATCGAGAAGGCTGCGCGCAGAAGACCAAACTTGGTCGCACTCTCGGCTGACAAAACGGCAATCTGGACATAACTTTCATTTTTAAAATTAATTTGGTAGTTGAAAAAACTGACCTGCCACCAAGCCAGGGCAACACAGTGGGGGATGAGAGCCCGACAGACGCCGGCCCAGCCGTTTCGCAGGGCCATCCTCAGCAGGATGACGCCGACGGAAAGGTGCAGAAGGGACCTGTACGTCAGGCAGAACTCGACGCTGCGGCCAACAATGGCCGAGGCAAACGCCGGCGCTCGCAGGTCCAGAAATTGCCATCCCTGAACCACCGCGTCAAAGTCGTACGGGTAGCTGGAATCGTTAAATAAATATTTCAATATCATCTGCTTTTCTTGCAAATGAGGTTTTTTCTAACAATTTTCTTAAAATGTTACAAAAATATTTTTTATTTTTATGACTAAAAAATTTAAAATTTGCAATTTGGAAATAAGTTTTATCTTTCGATGTTTTTAATTCATATAATTGCCATCCAAATTTTTAAAGTTACATATTATTAACAAAAAAAATCTAATTGAATTTCTCTTAAGACTTCAATTTTCATAAAAATTCTAATCATTTTTTTTATCACCAAGAAAATTAAATATTCGTACTAATTTGGAGCTTTTGAAAACCTACCGGGCTAAAACGTTGAGAGCAAAGGAAAGAATCATGAGGCCGTCGATCTTCTTCTCCATAAAGCTGAACAGAGTGATTACGGAGAGGACCGTGGCGATGACGGAAATCTCTGCATGAGGCACCCAAGTTGAGTTGACCAACGGATAGGAGACCAGGTAGAACAGCAGTGCAGCAAAAAACCTGGCAAACTGACTCAGGCCTCCGTTCAAAAATCGCCTCTCTGCCTGGCCAGAGTCAAGAAAGCCTCCCCCTAAGTCTGCTGGACTAAAATCATACATATCATTAAATAAAATATTTATTTTTATAATTTAATTTTGGTACTTTGAACTGTGGCTGAGGAAAAGTTGAGACCAGACACGGAAATGACGGAATTCCCTTTCCTGCTGCAGCATTTCCATCGAGGAGACAAACATGAAGCCGAAGGAGGTGTAGAAGATGAGCAAGGCGAAGAGCCACGCCAGACTTTCGGCACCCGCAAGCCAATAACACCCCAGCAGCACCAAAGTGTGGACAGGTGACGTCGGAATCAACTGGAAAATGCAAAAATTAAAATTCTGACCAGCTAAATGAATCAATTTGGGATTTTTCTGCTTTGTTTGACTTGTTTGGAGAAAAATAAAATGAATTGAATATAAATTTATTTGCACCATTTGCAAAAGCGCCGATCCGCGTCTGGCGAAAAACTCGAGCAGCTTCAGGTAGACTAGGACGATGGTGGCCCAAGGGTGCAGGACGCTCCTCTGCATGAATCCGAGTTGCTCGAGTTGACCTCGCTCGGGGTCTGCAAGCACGAGCACTCGTTGCACCAAGGGCAGTTGACCCCTCGTGTAGGTCGTTGCTGCCGAAACCAGACAATCTTCGGTCAGTTTCTCACCAGGGTAGCTCTGCCTGGCCCGGCTCGTCCAGTCTAAAAATAACAGAAAAAAGTATAAGACAATTTGATCTTTACAGAGTAGATAATAAAATTTTTAGTCAGAATCCTGTAATTTGTAAAACTCATTTTTTATTGATTTTTTTCATTTAAATTAATATTTATTGTCTTTACCATGATTACATTGCTCGTCTTCATCACTGCTTCCAGCAATTGGATCAGAAAGGCCCTTCAGTCTGTGCCTGCTAGGGCTAGAACGGCCTCTTTGCAAAACCACAATTCTCCTTCTCAACTGGTCTGTGGTGATGTAGTCCTGTCCAGCAGACAAACTGAAGACAAAATATTCTTCAAAAAATCTATATTTTTCTTTTATAAAAAATTGACCTATTGAAGAGCTGCCTAGCGGCCCTCCTGGCCAGCTTTTCGTCTTGGGACATTTTCAGACATTTATGGACATCGAGGAAGTTCTGCTCCGAGATTCCCTGGCCGATGTCCAGACAGTGCTGCAGAATTTCGGTGGCGTCGACGTGTCCCTGCTCGGACGCTTTGATCAGCCAGTAGACGGCCAGTCGCGCATTTTCCTCTTTTTCCTCTGCTGTCAAATCAAAATCGGTTCAAATTTTCATTACTGAAAATAAATTTTTACCATTTTCGGTGTCATTCAAGAGCTGCTTGGCAAGAGCTACTTGCGCCTCTGGACACCCGTCCTCGGCCAGCTGGCCTTGCAGAAGCCGCAGTGAACTGCGAGGACCGTCTGAAAGCACCATTTTCGTAATTATTGCCACTCCAGTGAAATTAAAAGAAAAAACACACCGTGATAAGTCCACTGTTTTCGTCGCGACGTTTTCTTCAGAGGCACCGGAACCACCCCTGCCATTTTGCGAGACGGCAGTTTTGACTTTGATGATATTTTCGGAGAACCCTCTCAGTCGATTCGGTGCAGACTTTGTCGAAATTGGCCGAAAAACGGAGCAGCCGGGTTCAATTTAGGTTTGTTTGTCTTTTTTTCGGCACCAGCTGGATTTGCACATGGGTAGTAGAGAAAGGAGTTATATATAAAATTTTATGAAAACTTAATTGTTTCCAAATAAGTTGAATAAATCAAGATAAATAATTTTCAAGTTATATTTTAAACTTATTTCACTTTAAATTAAGGTCTTGTGTTGTAAAGAAACGAAATAAGCAGATATAAATTAAACATTTTCTGTTCTCCTTTACTGATACCCGCTTCTGGAGTCGCACACGCCCACATGGTCGCTTGATACGCCCACGTTTGTTGTTTTGAAAGAAAATTTTTGCTGCAAAAAGACCAATTTTTTACCTTTTCATGTATGAATCTCCTCAAATTCGTCACTAAATCAGTTTAAAAAGACACAGTTATAATTTATTCTCTTTAGAAATTAAAAGGTAAAGCTTAAAAAAACCAAAATCAGTCAAATTTGCAGGAAAATTAAGGTTTTTTCTTACGAATGTTTTAATTTTCTGTTCTCTAGATTAAAACCAATTAAGCGGCCAACTTTTAAAGAAAAATGCGTCCACTACCATCCTTTGCGCAGGGTTATGGGCGGAGGGTGAAGGCGAGGACGCCCGCCATGGAGCCAATTCCCTTTAAGGAACTTCTGCCCCTGAAACTGAGAGATTATGTCTCAAATAAGAGGGGCGCTGCTGCTGGTATAAGTCTATGATAATAAAAAAACCAATTAATTTTTAATTATTTGTTATTTGAAAGGCGCCTCCTGTTTACAAGAAATGGCCAATCTGTTCACCTGCTTGAAAACCAATGAATTTAACCAGACTGTCTGCTCGAAAGAAATTGGCACTTTCCAACAGTGTTACAAAATGCATTTGGTAATCATGGTCATTAATTTTTAAAGTTTTAACTGATTGTTTTCGTTTACAGCAACAACGAGAAGAAATGAAAAAGGATACTTCAGGCATTGGCAGTAAAAATTTGTCGGCCAAACAAATTAACGCCTTACTGGCCAAATATAAATAGAAAGTGTACAAAGTGAGTAGTGGTAAGAAAGTAATAAAAAAAAGATTCATTATCATTTATTTATCTTATTAAATTTATTGATAATATAAACTGGCTCGAACCGAAATCAGACTTTATACATTTGCAAAAACTACTCTTTGACTTGAGCAGTTGCGGTTGAAAAATTTCAAACCTTTTCTATTTAAAACAAAACTTCAATTATTAAGGAACAAATTAATATTTTAGAGACAGCTTAATAACTATAAAAATTTGGCCTATAGAGACGATTGAGAATTTAAATTTGAGCTTTCAAAGCTTTAGAGTTGCTGTGCACTTTTCATTGGTTTTCAGCAGCGACCATCTCCGCAGAGGCCTCAGCCGGCACTTCCTCTACAATCTGAGAATCGAATGTTTCCTGTAGAAAAGAAACATGTAATTGTTTTTCAAATATCTACATTTAAATTTTTACTTGTGGGCTGTAGAAAGCATCAGTGGCGACGTTTGGGCTTGCGATGCGATTCATCGTGGGCATCGTCGGACTCTGCTGGCACGAGGACGGCGTCGGGGGCGGCGGAGGCGGACACGGGGGCGGCGTCACATACCCCATTGGACTGTGGCCGAGGGGCGTAGATGGGGTGACGCAGATCTGAGGCTGCGATGGACGCAAGAGGTGCCAAGCTTGGCCCACCATGGCCATTATTTGCTCCATGTGCATCTGCGGAAAGAAATTTTTAATTATTCTGAGAAATTATATATTTTTATTTAAAAAAAAGGAATTTCTCTCAGATTTGATCTCCAGTTTTTACACTATGGCTACGATTGTTTTGGAAATTAAATTTGCTCACCATCATCCGGACTGATAGTGGTGACAATTACGAAAAACTGGATTTCAAATTCTGGAGCTTGGGCAAGTTCACTCAGGTAGGGGATTAAACTTCCTACGAAGAAAGGCACTAGAACAGATGCCAAGAGGATTAAACCTCGTTCGAAAAACAAAAATTGACATTTCAGAATAAAAAACAATTTGATTAATTAGGATGTGCAGCAATGAATGAGTTGGTGTTAATTTCTAATTATAAATTTGGCATTAAGGGAAGTTGCTGCAACTGCAGGGAATTAAGTGCCAAGCTAAAATGGGAGCTGCTCTTGATTTGGCTCGCGGGCCTGAATTGATTCTTGGCCAACGAGAGCTGCTCCCGAAATTTCATGCATCCATTCACAAAAAATGTCGGCATGCTTTTCGAAAAAGTTTGCCTTCTCCGTTGGTGAGGTGGGCGCTGGCCGTGTGCATGTAACGCTGGGCCGCCTCCACGCCGGAGGCCGCGATTTTGGTGCAGCTCGACACCAACTGCTTTGTGCTGGACGACTCGAGTGCCGCCAAAGTTCTCACCTTCTCGGCGCCCATTTGCTTCAGCTCGGACGCCTTTTCCATCAACTGCAAAAAATAAAATTAATTTGATTTAACAACAAAAAAAATTAAAAGAAAATTATAATTGATCATCATCATGTTTTTCATTTGGACTTATTTAAAATAAAATATTTTTTTATTCCAAATATGAAATTAGATTAAATTTATTTCTGGCCTGATTGATTATTTAATTTTCATTTCCACAAAAAAATTAGATCTAATTTAAAATTTATTTCCACAAAAAAAATGCTTTCTCACCTCATGAGGCGGCAATTTGACAGCGGGCACCTTGGCCTCGACATAGTCGAGACTGGAGCAGAGCAGAGAGTCCACGCGCTTCAGATGCTTTTCCATCTTTTCTGCCACCGGAATGGCGTGCTCGGCGGCTTTGCTCATCGTCGACTCGGCCGTGCTCAAAGTCCAGTTGATCATCGCGTTGGATTCCTACACAAATCGCAACAATTCCAAGCAAAAATTCCGTCAGAAATTGCGATAAAAATATTTGAAAATAATAATTTAATTCGGCTGAATTAATTTAAAAGTTAAAAATTATGAAGTAAAATAAGTTTTTGTTAAATTCTCTGAAATATTAATAAAAAATTCGTTTTAAAGAAATTTTTTATTTCTTTCGAAAGAAGTTTTATTTTCAAAAATTGGCAAATTTGAATCTTGCCTTGACTCGGCTGTAGACGTCGTTGGCGATGCTGATGGACGACTCGACCATGGGCAGTTTGGCGATGCGATGGACCGCCTCCAGGGGGATGGTGTCCGACAATTTACGCTCCTGCTTGGGCGCTCCGGCCGTCTCCGAACTCGCTGCGCTCGACATCTTCTCGCAAGCTTGATCTCTCACAGACTGACGAAAATTGCAAGACAAAGACGACTCTCCACTCTCTCTCCCTCTGTCGGTCCTCGTCAGCCGCGCCAGAAAGACACTGAGTCAATAATGAAATAATAATTGAAAATAAAAATGATTAGGACCTTTTTGTAAAGTTTGGCCTAGTGAGTGTTTCCGATCGGCAGCTTTAATAAAAATTGATTAATTATTTTGTATGTATTTTTTTATGATTAATACTGAATAATTAATCAATGTAATATTCCATGTATCTATCTTGTTTCTTAATTTTTTACGTTATTTTATATTTTGCCCTCCTCTCCTTTTTAAATTTGATGTTTTTTTTTTTAATTAAAATAGAAAATTTATAAAAAATAAAAAATGCGAAAATTTGATAAGTGAAATTTTTAGAACACTAATCAGAATTTACTGCAGGACCATCTCTTTTCCTTGAGCAGATTTCGCAGATTATTATATAGTTTTTCGAATTTAGAGAGTTAATTTATTTTTTAATTTCGCTCGAGTCGACGCCCTTTTGCCCTTGAAGTAGGTGGCAAGTGATAAAAAACTTCCGCACCTTAAAATAAATAATTAAAGCCCTCAAATTTCTAAATCGTCAGAATGTGTGTGAAAATGTTCCCTAAATATTAAAAAATAAAATTATTTTTATGACTAAAACAAATAAAAATTCCAATTTTTTTTATTATTTCTTTAGCATTAATTACAGAAATTAACATATTTCAACAAAATTAAAACGTCAGAGAATAAAAATAACCGAATAACACGAATAACACTTAATAAAGTTACTATGAGTTACAAAAAGATGCACTAGGAACTAGGAATAGGATAATTTAAAATTAAACAAGCCTCAATGGTCAGATTCAAGCCTCAGTATTTCTCATAAAAAAAATAAAATAAGGAAAAAATCATCACGTATGCTTATGCTCGTCTGCGACGGCCACGATAACTTCACCACGTTTGCACGTGGCTTTTCCAACTCAGCGCCTTTCAAAGTGAAAAGTCTCTGATTGGCTGATTGAAAAGGGGGCGTGGTCTTTGCCGAACGAGAAGTAAACACTAGACGAACCTACTTCAATTTATTAATTTTTAGAAGAACTCCCTGGAAATCTTGCAGATTTTTAAATAGTATGGAAGCTTCTGCTCTGAGAAATGTATAATTTAAAAATTTATCTTCAAAATTTGACTAAAAATCATCTAAATTCTTCCAGTTTAAGGACTTCCTGCAGCTCTACAACCTGGTTTCGGAAACGTGTTTTAACAATTGCGTCACTTCCCTGCACTCGAGGGATTTGCAAACCGACGAGGTGAGTTTTAAATTAATTTAAAAATTAAAATCATTAAATTTTTTAATTCAGATCAGCTGCGTGGAGCGTTGCTGCGGAAAATTTGTCAAGACGAACCACGCGATCATGGCGACCTTTGTCGAGATTCAGCCGATCATCGTGAACCGCCGGATCGAGGAAATGAACGCGGCCAATGCCCTTCTCCAGCAGCAACAACCCCAGCAACAATAGAAAAAATGAACCGCAGGGTGGCCGTGGTGCTGCTGACGGGGTTGCCGGGCAGCGGAAAAACCACCCTCTGCCAGCAGCTCCTCCGACGACACCCTCGGCTCTGCAGACACGTCTGTTTCGACGACCTTCTGCACCCTGACGACCTCCAAAGGTGGAGGGCCAGCAGAGACCAGGTCCTTGGACAGGTCGAGACCGTCATCAAAAATTTTGTAAGCAGTTTTCATTTAAAATTCTGGAAAGCCCCAGAATGTGAAGTTGGTATAATAATTGTTTAGATTGCGAGCGAGGACAAAGGAAGACTTGTTATCTTGGTTGACGACAACTTTTATTACCAGAGTATGCGCAGGATGTTCTTCAAAATGGCCAGGAAACTCTCTGTCGTGACTTGTGTTGTGAGTTAATTGCATGTAATTTAAATAATTACTTCCTAGAAAACAATTTCACATGAAAATTTTAAGAAATAATAAATGGAAAAAATAAATTATTTAAAAGCATTTTAAAAGTTTAAAGGAATTAATAAGAAATTATTTATAATTAATTTCAAATTTAATAAAAAAAATCTAAAATTTGTAAAAGTTTTTTGTAGTTTAAATCTCCTAATATGTATTAATATTTTTTTTAAAATAATTATCAATATTTTAGCTTATTTTAAATTGCAATGAAGATCTGGCCATAAAGAGAGTGCAAGAAAGAGCAGCTGACGGAGGACTTTTTGTCGACGAGCAGGTTATTCGGGAAATGTCTGCCAAAATGGAGCCACCTGCTGAAGATAACTGGGAGAAATTTTACATAACAATTGACTCTGAAGTAATTTCAAACAAAAATTTCCTCGACTTTCTTAAAAACTGATTATTTTTTTTTAGGAACCTCTTGACATTGACAAAATTTGGACCGAATTAGAAAAACTAATCGAAGCTGCATCCGGGTGCGAAATTTTCCACAAACCTGTTGAGAATGTTGACGCCCAACCTCATCAGCCTTCGGAACAACAAAACCGAGACTTGCTCTTGCGAAAATTCATTTCTGCCGAAATGCAGCAGGCCCGAAAACAAGGTCTTTCACCAGCCGAGTTGTCCGAATTGGCCAATCGACTCAACTCCGAGCGCAAGTTGTTCCTCAAAAGCCTCAGTTTCTCCAAAGACTCGCCACTAGTGGACCAGTTTAGAAATTATTTGGAAAAATCAGTTTTGTGATTTATTAAAAATCCAGCAGTTGCAACTAAATTGACTATTTAATGCAGTCTTTTTTTCATTCAGTCTATGTAATTTTCAACGCCATCATTTGGATTCTCTTTTGGTCAGGGTGCATCTTCGGAAAGCGTGGTTGTCCTTCGGCATCGGTCAAATCCGAGTAGACAAGCTCGCCGAGCAGTTCGAATCCACTTTTGAGTGCAACCTTTTGGGATTGAACTGAGGTGAAAACCGTTTTGGTCAGGGGAATGTCCAGCGAGCGGCATAAATTCAGTCTGGCCTCGAGCAACATTTTTCCGATGCCTTTCCCTCGCCATTCAGAGGCCACGGACATTCCGGCGCCGTCCAAATAATGGTCAGCTGCATATCTGCAAAAATTTAAATCAAACTGTCTAAATTTATGTTGTGCATTCTCTAAAATCTGGTTATGAGTGTCTTATTTTAAATTAATATATTAATTTGGTAATTTAAGAAAAAGAAATGATTTATAATTTTTTAATATATTCGTATTTTATCTCTAGTAATGTAAAAGTGTTCATTATTAGTATAAATGCAATTTTGTGAATTTAAATTTAAAAATCTTATTATTTTCTAATATAAATTTAATTTAATTGTTATTATTATTTTTCTTTTGAAAACATTGGAGTTGAGAGGAAAATATCAGGTTAGGAATTTCAAATTAACCGATTTATATCTTTATCAAACCTCTAAAAATAATTATGTTTTTAAACAAATTTTCCTTCAAATTTTATGATATTTTATTTTTAATTATATAAAAGAATTAACACCAATTGGATTATTGATATTTAAAAAAGTTAACTCAGCAAAATGTTTAGGAAAGATTCATTAATAACAAAAGCTAAAACAATAGTTTTTTATAATTTACCTTTCGTAGACGTCAACTAGGCTGCTGGTTTCAAAAAAGGTATGAAGACAAGTTATGACCTTTTCACTTTTCAAAACCTTCCGGAAATCTGGCAGCTCATGGTCACTTTTTGAGGTCACAAACAGCAGATTTGCTCCGATTATCTTCGGAGGACAATCTTCGCTTACTGAAAAATTTCGATTTTGTCAAAGTTCTCTAAAATTAATTTTAAGAAAACCTTTTTCCAAATCGGCCCCTGGTGTTCCCTTTTGAAGGGCGACGATCGACACTCTCTGGCTCAAAATCAACTTTTCCCAAATCGCAGTCTGCTCGGCCGCGGCCAAAGGGTCCTCGGACACCCTCAGGGCCTGGTTCATCGGCTCTTCGGTCAGGTAGTTCTTGACCTGAGGGCGAAACTTGATTGTAAACATCACCAATTTTTAAACTCTCAAATTGTAGACCATGTAGTCGAGGACGAAGGGGTCAAGGTCGGGGGTCACGTCGCGCACCACCACCCCATCCTGCTCAAACCACACCCTGGGGTGCAGGTCAGGTCGGTGCCAGGATTGAGCTGAACTTAAACCGACCTCCAGAGCCACGAAGTGACCTAAATCGACGGCCATGGCTTTCTGAAATTTGAATAAGGCCGCTTGCACTCCCAAAAATAGAGCAGCATCTCTCGGAGGCAGACACAAATACTGTTCTACATTTTTTTCTAATTTAATTTGCAAGCTTATTAAGGATTTTATAAATTGAAAATATATTTTAAAAGATCTATTGCACTATTATTTCTATGTATTAGCGTTTAATCTATATAAAACTAAAATTTTCATTTTTAATTTAATTAATGGAGACACAATAAAATTAATTTTTCAGCAAAAAGCCAAATTTTAAACTCTCAGATCTCTATCATGAACTTTGGGTGGTCTGGTTCTATATGGAATGCGCAGTCCAGCTAAATTAATTAATTTGACATAAATAATATGAAAATGATCTTAATTTCAAAGTTTACATAAAAAATAATTTCAATTTTTCAATATTCGTTCAGATAAAATAAATCTGCAATTTGCCAACATGTGTCTCATTTTACAATACCACATACCAAATTGAAATTAGTTTTATCCAGCTGCTGCATAAGTTGGGAGGAACATATAGATACAATCATAGGAAAAATAAAAAAAGTTAATAACTTTTATGATTTTCATAACCATTGTATTCAGAATTTTCAAATAAGACAGTAAGTTGAAAAAGCATTTCACACAGTTTTCATATAGAAGGCAATTATAAAATTATAATTATGCGGGCACTGCCATGCCTAATTAGCACCCATCTCTGATACCAAATTATTCTTATCTCAAAATTGAGGAAACCTTGAGAGAAAATAATTAAGAAAAAATTCCAACAGTACTGAATAAGGAATCTCTGTACAAAAATTTCAAAAATAATTGTAATTATTATTTTTGATCTTTATTGACTTATGGGGCCACAATATGATGACTCATTGCGACGCGCCTTATAACAAGAAAGAGAGTAAAAATCAACAAAAATAATACAATATGCATCAATAAGTTGAAAAAAAGCTCCTCTTTGCTAATTAAATTTTTGTGAATGAACAATACGCCTCAAACTAGTCTCAAAAATCTTTTATCAAGGCTCCAAGCGAATATACAGGCAAATTTCTGTTCTACAAAAAGCAGTCAAATAAGTCAAAGGGATAATTTCATAGCAAAACATAATTTCTGAAGAATATTAATATATTTAAAAATAAGGTTAGTTTGAATTGTATAGACCAGATTTAGATTTTGACATTTTTCTTCATGGGGGAAATGACTCTCCACGATTAAAATGCATTTTACTGCGCTATGACATTTTTTTGGTCATCAGAAAAGTTATTCGGATTAAAAAGTTACCTACTCTGGTAAAAACCATATTTCTCCTATTGATGTTAACTCAATTGGACGCTATTTTGTGTTATTTAAACAACCAGCTCAGGGATATTGAAAAATAAACTCTGATTATATTTTATAATTTCAAAATTTAGTCCGAGACTTCTTATTGACCCCGCAATGACTGTGATCATGATTGCGGCAAAAATTTCACGATCATAATATTATATAATATTGTTGTTTATTTGTCCAATTGTTACATCACGTTGTTGACGTACAAATTGTTGAAAACATTTATTTTGAAAAATGGAATTGTTGGACAAGACGGCAAGAATTTTGCTAAAACTTCCGAGGCCAAAAAGACCTCATCCGCCGCAGTGAGCCTCGGTTGACTAAGATTTTGTTTTTAACACTGGCTCTGATCACAAAGTTTGCCACATGTGGGCCTTGCACAGGGTGGGAAATTGTTCCACCGGGCAAGTTCTCAGAGCGTCCGGGAGGGCATTCCAGGGCCCGACGACCTTGAAGGAGAAGGCGCCCTAGGCAAACTTGCTCCGGAGATCGGCAGGCTGCAGTTTTTTTTGGGCCCATAGCCTCTTACGTGTAAAAAGTGTTCTTTGTCACATTAATTTTGAATTAAAATTAACTATAAGCTACATCTGATTAGTGCGCCATTTATCGAGAATACTCTGCTTTTTTAATCACATAATTTAATTTAAATATATTGCGGAACGGACTTTAAAACAACTAAAATTAATGAAAGTTTTAGTTTTCTCTGTAAATATAATTGAAAATTTCAATGCTGCTTTGTATATCGTCACCTATTTTTGGAAGGTATACCGAGGTACCGCAAAAAGGTGCCTGCTCAAGTTTTTTGCCGATTCCTTAAGTTATTGGAATTCCTGGCACCAAATAGGGGCACATCATAAAACCTAGCAGCAGAACCTAGCTAATTTGGTGGGATTTCCAGCCGATTAGCACCGAAAAGAGCTATGTAGGATGATAAAAAAAAGTGTATAGGAAAATTCCGGATAAAAAATTTAAAGTACTTTGAAATAAAAATAAATTAATGTTATTTAATTCTCCTTAAGTTCGAGCGTTTGCCTCTTTTTAGGTAATAATTAGTAATATAATTTAATACATTCCAGGCAAATGCCGGCATAGTTCCCATTCATAGGCCGCAGCCGCTCACCTTCCTCATCCTTCAAATTCCCAACAACCAAACTCACCCTATGCTCCTTTCTCCCCAGCCCAGTGGGTCGCAAGGTCACCGTGTTATCGGTCCCAAAAGGGGAGAACCCGAGTTATCGGCCCTTGCGATTTAGCAGCCTGTCTGCTACCGCTGGTGCCTTTCCCAGGAGGGATAAAAAATTAAAAAAAAAGAAAATATACATTTTAAAAATTAAATTAAACATCACGAGTTGAAATATTACAAAGTAAGAAGTTAATAATTTCAAACAAATATAGCAAAATTATAATGATGCGCGTCACAGTAATTACCTGCACTGCCGTGCCTAATTAGGACATATCACAGATGGAAAAATATGATTTAACTCTCAAAATTGAGGAAAACTTGACGGAAAATAATTATAAAAAAAGCAGGAATCTTTGTCTTAAGTTTTGAATTTCCTGCTACTTTCCTTGGAAGTTATAATATAATTATAATGTTCCGAAAAGATAAACATGCAAGGCCACCATATCTTTGGAGATTATTTCATATATTTTAATATAAAAGGAGGATACATTATTTACCATAGACACAGAAGACACCATGCGTGTGCTCAAGATGCAAAAAACAATATGGCTTATGGCTGTCGTAATCCAAGTAAATATCTAACTTTTTTCATTATTATCCAGTCATTGCCTTATGTGATATGAAGTATATATTATTATTATTATTATTATGCTGTTACAAACCATTAATTATTGAAATTTGAATATATTTTTGAATTTGATTGCATCTCTTAACGTAAATTATTCCGCTAAAATTTAAAATAGAGGAATTTATTTTTAACAGAAGAATATTATTTTTAAGGGGGGAAATGTATAAATTAAAAGAAAGATATGGTATCATCTCAATAATAACTTACGCTAAGAAATATGCAGCAAAATTTGTAAATGAAATATCCCTATTCAGATGGCGGTATCTGTAAGCAGTCAAGTAAGTACTGACTCGACCGCATCCGAAACGACCCCGACAGCAACTACAGCAACAGGTATACTATAATATACAGATTTAGTGTGTTATTCCAAATAAATATTATTTATTTAGTTTTGTGAAATATTTGTCAAATATATTAGGATCAAACAGTCAGCTTACTAACCCTGGGTCAAAGGTTACGGTGCTAACCTTTGACGCAAGGTGACGCAAGGTATCATAAAGAATATGTAACTTGTAAGCATTCTATTCAAGCAGGGTGTTTTTGTAAATATCTTATACCATTGAGCCATAAAAAGATCCGCGCTTAAAGAAGTTTGAGAGACTTGAAATGTGCGTAAGTAGCCAGTAGTGTATGGCAATTTGTAAATTTTTTTTACAAAGGTTCATTGCCTTTGAATTAAATTTATAGTATATGTCATATGTCATTGGTTGTTACTTATTCACATTTCCAATCTCTCGCACTCCCTTAAGCGCGGATCTTTTTATGACTCATAATTAGATGGGAGGTGATTTTTTTCTTTTATCAAATGGTATACCATTATTTAATTTTAATTTTTAAAATAAATTTTGACTTCAATGCTATCTTGAAACTTTCTTTTGATGTGAGGCTGGTTTTTTTAACATGATTGAAACGTGCTACTGGGAGTACTGTGGCAGCGCATGACTTTAAATCTAATATATTCTAAAATTTACTTCAGTTGATTAGTATCCTAAAAAGCCCCTGGGTATTTGTTAAATTCATTTGCGGTTTCATCAGAATATTTTTTTGAAATTGATGACAGGTGTTTTTAACAGATATTTCAATTTCTGGAATGAATTATAATATACAGTACTTGATGTTATTCTCATTGATTTTGCCACAATATTGGGGCGCGTCGCAATGAATAAAGAAATCGTGTTGACACCTAGAGAGTAATGAAAGATTCATAAATATATCCATTAATTCTGGTTCAACAGCCACTGGCTCCACGGCTACCGGCTCCACGGCTACCGGCTCCACGGCCACTGGCTCCACGGCTACTGGCTCCACGGCTACCGGCTCCACGGCCACCGGCTCCACGGCCACCGGCTCCACGGCCACCGGCTCCACGGCTACCGGCTCCACGGCTACCGGCTCCACGGCCACTGGCTCCACGGCTACCGGCTCCACGGCCACCGGCTCCACGGCCACCGGCTCCACGGCCACCGGCTCCACGGCTACCGGCTCCACGGCCACCGGCTCCACGGCCACCGGCTCCACGGCCACCGGCTCCACGGCCACCGGCTCCACGGCCACCGGCTCCACCGCCGGTTCCACGGCCACGGGTTCAACGGCCTCCGGTTCCACAGCCACCGGCTCCACGGCTACCGGCTCCACGGCCACTGGCTCCACGGCTACCGGCTCCACGGCTACCGGCTCCACGGCCACTGGCTCCACGGCTACCGGCTCCACGGCCACCGGCTCCACGGCCACCGGCTCCACCGCCGGTTCCACGGCCACGGGTTCAACGGCCTCCGGTTCCACAGCCACCGGCTCCACGGCTACCGGCTCCACGGCTACCGGCTCCACGGCCACTGGCTCCACGGCTACCGGCTCCACGGCCACCGGCTCCACGGCCACCGGCTCCACGGCCACTGGCTCCACCGCCGGTTCCACGGCCACGGGTTCAACGGCCTCCGGTTCCACAGCCACCGGCTCCACGGCTACCGGCTCCACGGCCACCGGCTCCACGGCCACCGGCTCCACGGCCACTGGCTCCACCGCCGGTTCCACGGCCACGGGTTCAACGGCCTCCGGTTCCACAGCCACCGGCTCCACGGCTACCGGCTCCACGGCCACCGGCTCCACGGCCACCGGCTCCACGGCCACCGGCTCCACGGCCACCGGCTCCACGGCCACTGGCTCCACCGCCGGTTCCACGGCCACGGGTTCAACGGCCTCCGGTTCCACAGCCACCGGCTCCACGGCTACCGGCTCCACGGCCACTGGTTCCACGGCTACCGGCTCCACGGTCACCGGTTCAACGGCCGCTGGATCCACGGCCACCGGTTCAACTGTCACCGGTTCAACTGCCGCCGGTTCAACTGCCACGGGATCAACGGCCGCTGGTTCAACGGTCACCGGTTCCACAGCAACTGGTTCAACGGCCGCTGGTTCCACGGTCACCGGTTCAACGGCCGCTGGTTCCACGGTCACCGGTTCAACTGTCGCCGGTTCCACAGCCACCGGTTCAACTGTCGCCGGTTCCACGGTCACCGGTTCAACGGCCGCCGGTTCCACGGTCACCGGTTCAACGGCCGCCGGTTCCACTGCCACGGGATCAACGGCCGCTGGTTCAACGGTCACCGGTTCAACTGTCGCCGGTTCCACAGCCACCGGTTCAACTGTCGCCGGTTCCACGGTCACCGGTTCAACGGCCGCCGGTTCCACGGTCACCGGTTCAACGGCCGCCGGTTCCACGGTCACCGGTTCAACGGCCGCCGGTTCCACTGCCACGGGATCAACGGCCGCTGGTTCAACGGTCACCGGTTCAACTGTCGCCGGTTCCACAGCCACCGGTTCAACTGCCGCCGGTTCCACAGTCAGCGGTTCAACGGCCGCCGGTTCCACGGTCACCGGTTCAACGACCGCCGGTTCCACGGTCACCGGTTCAACTGTCGCCGGTTCCACAGCCACCGGTTCAACTGCCGCCGGTTCCACGGTCACCGGTTCAACGGCCGCCGGTACGGTCACCGGTTCTACAACCGCTGCTAGTGGAGCCACGACTGGTGCGGGAAACACTACTGGAACGACCGCCTCAACTGGATCAAATACAACCTCAACGTCTTCTACAAGCTCTACATCCACTTCATCATCCACCTCAACATCCACTTCAACATCCACAACAACCTCAACAACCACTACAACCACAACTACACGGCCATTAACTATACCAAGATGTGTGCAAATAAATGGGGTAATTAATATTCTATTTAATTTTAACCTCACCTTAATGAATTGATTGCAGAACGTACTTGCCAAATGTTGCACTCCAGTTGCACCACAGTTGCTTGCTTTCAGCAGAACTGAGGTCAAAACCTGCAAATCATCAAAATTGAAAATGAACGCATTCAAATTGTTGACACTGACCAAGCAACAAAAAACTAATAATAGTCCCGTTAATTCCATCAATTTTAATAGCCCGGCAGTAAAAAGGGCACTGGGAAATTCAGCTGTATGTAATCTACTAATTATGATGAGAAAAGTAACAGAGATTTTCAATTCTAGTGCCTCGTGAATTGTATTCTTACCTCCAGGGGAGCTGTAAGTACATCTTTTTCAATTAGATCTCTGGTATCATTTAATTTATTCCTTATTTTTTAAATTTTAATTATGTCTTAAAATGCAATGCTAAAACGTTTGTGTCGCGTTGGCGGCAAGAAAACACAGATCACGCTTAACATGTGGATCTTTCAAGTTTGTTTTAGATTTTAAACATATGGCGGTGTTTTAACGCCAATTTTTAAAAGTTTTCTATTCCTGTGGGGGCTCAGCGGAAAAATCAGTGTTTACTGCGCCACCGACGGCCAAAAATTCTACTTTTTTGTGTGAAAACTGACGAAACTGAGCTGAAATATCTAGTTAATACATTATAAGCTTCATTTCGGATTTCGTGCGATACATATGAATGAAAATAGCACAAAAACACAATACAAATTAACAATGCACTGTTCAAGAATAATACAGCATCTTGAACGCTATATTCATCATCTTTTTTTCACATCGAATCTCTTTTGCTTGTACTGACCTTATCCGAATTGTAATAGCTAACATCGGGTGTTCTGGATTCGAACATGTTAATCACACTTTTGACGGCGTCTCAAAGCCCAACGTGGACCCCTATCATAACCGATGCAGTGACAAAATGTGTCGACACAGTTGGTGGTATGTTATTGTTTATTTTTTCTAAGCTTGTTTAACTCCAATTTTTCATTACAATTGGAGAACTTAGAAATGAGAAAATATATTTTTTTAAGGGTCAGTCAGGCCAAGAAAGAGTGGTGGGCCTGTGTCCTTTTATGGTGCAGAAGGCACCACCCAATTTAATTTTTTATTATGTATATTTGTGGGTTAATCTTTATTTAAAATCCGTCATCAATTAAAACGACGGCATAACGTGTTCAATAGACATTTATAACAATAAAAATTATGATACTTTCAGCACTCAGCATTCCCAATTTTGTATTTGGACGACAATCTTGCGATGGAACAAACTTAATTATCATACAGTGCATACTGTCGGAGTTAGCTGCAGTAAGTTTTTAAAATAATATTTTTTTAAAGATCGTTTTGATGAAATTTCTACATTACAGAATTGTCCAAGCAGAGGTAATTAAATATTTTTATTTTATTAATTGAATTCGAATTATCTTCAATCTTAGGAATTACTAGAGCTTGCAGCAAGCAATACCAACTATTTGATGGGTGCGTTGGCAGTCTCTTTACTCACGCTGTTTGGAAGCAGGTTGGTGTCAACAAGAACAAAAACCAGATTAAGAAAGTCAAGAAGGTGAAGGTCGTCAAAGGGGACAAGGGGGCTGTTGGATTAAACGGCGAGGAGATAAATAAAAACAAGAAGAAAGTCAAGAAGATGAAAAAAGTGAAGAAAGAGAAGGGAGAAATCAAAGATCAATCAGGACAAAAAGGGTCCAAAAAGAAGGTGAAGAATGAAAAAAATAAGAAAATAAAGGAGAAGAAGAAGGAAGTTAAGAAACTCAAACAACAAAGCGCAGCAAATGGAACTAAAAAGAAAGAAAAGAAGGAGAAAAAAGAGAAGAAACAACAGATTGGTGGAAACGGGATCAAGAAGCAAAAGAAACAAACACAGATTGGTGAAAATCAAATCAAGAAGGTTAAGAAAGTGAGAAAGGAAAAGAAGGAGAAAAAACAAAAGCAAGAGATTGGCCAAAACGGTACAAAAAAAACTAAAAAAGAAAAAAAGACAAATAAACAGAATCAAGCAAATGGAGAAAAAAAGGTTAAAAAGGAAAAGAAAACCAAAAATGGAGCGAAAAGAGAAAAGAAAGAGAAGAACGGAAAACAGGAAAAAGAAAAAGGGAAGAAGGGAATTAAAAAGGTTAAAAAGGAAAAGAAAGTAAAGAAGCAAAAAGGAACGAATATAGAAAAGGCAAATATAAAGGTAAAAAAGGAAAAGAAAAATCAGAAACAAAATTTGGTGAATGGAGCAAAAAATGTTAAAAAAAATAAGAAGGAAAAGAAAGTAAGTAATCAAAAAGAAATATTGACTGGAAAAAAAGATATTAAAAAAATTAAAAAGGCGAAGACTGAAAAGGAACAAAAACAAGGGAACGGAGTAAATGGAATAAAAAAGGTGAAGGAAGAGAAGAAAGCGAATAAACAAAAAGAATTGAACGCTAAAAATGATATTAAAAAGATAAAAAAGGAGAAGAAGGAGATTCAAAAACAGAAGAATAGGAAAAATGTAAAGAAACTAGGAACGGATAATAATGTAAAAACTGGGAAAGTTGATGGAAAACAGATTAAAAAAACAAAGAAAGAAACAGCCAAGGAGAAAAATGTAAGGGGGAAATCTGAACGGAAGAATTTAAATCAAGATGATCAAGGAACTAATACCAATAAGAAAAAGGGTGATACAAAAGAAAAAGAGGCTAATATTGTCGTCAGCTAAATGAAAGAAGTTCAGATTCATCGGAGGTCATCACAGTGGAGCGCACTTGATTTATTCTTTATTTTTAATGTTTCTATCGATAGCTTATGCTATTGATGCCTAATTGGTTCAACCTTTATAATAAAAATATCTTTAATGCAAATGACTTTTCGGATTAATTCTTATTTCCAACAACAACTTCCTCAATACATTGTGCAAATAGTGCTATTCATCAAAAAAATATTACTCTTAATATTTCCATGATATTCAATGTGGTCGTGGGCTAATCTGAAAATTTCGTAACAGCAAAAGGCACTTGTAACCTGCTGGATTGTGCAGACTGCTGAATTTTTATTATTGTTGCTTATTTGTCCTCATTGTTACAATACATTGAAAAGCGGCAATAGCTGGACATGACAATAGTAACATTTGGTGGTTGCTAGATTTTTTAACGCAACCAGGAATTCAGGAAAATACTTCATAGTTCATATGAAAATTGATTTACAAAAATGAACCAATACTAAAATAATTCCTTCTTCACGCTCAAACACGCTGGCCGCTGACGAAAAAATAATTGAACAAAAATTAGATAACGGCAAAAACTCATGAATGATAAGATGCGTTGGCAAGGGTCATGCGATCTTTAGATAATTTTAGGAACTGAAAGACCATGTCAGTAGGTTTTCAAAAATATATAGTTTTACCCCAATTTCTAAAAATGTAAGGGTTTTACGGATTGTTCAAAATTGGGTTTTTGAAATTTTCAAACGGCTGTATCTGGGATTTCCAAGAACGTACAACAAAAATCTGGGAATGGCTGAATTTCTCTCGTCACCCTCTACAACTTTGCTGCTGAATGCAAAATTTTAGGTCACAGTTCAAGGACCTCGTGACCTGTTACCTCAAATTTTACAACCTGGCACAAACATTTTTGAAATTCTGAAATTGCCATTGTGTAGAACGTAAATTTTTACATAAAAGAACCTTAAAAAATTGTTACGTTTCATAGTTTTTTCATTTAAAAAATAAGAAACTATAAAAAAGTGGTTTTCCCGAGCTCTCGAGCCTGAAAAATGGCTTTGACACTATGATACATTTTCTCTGTTATATTTAAGACAATTAACGTGTATAATCACAAAAAGTCCCCTTGACTTTTTCTTTTAGACCATGTATCGCACATAGTGACCACGTCACAAAAGGTCATTGACCTTTTGACCTTACCACAATATATTTTGCAAGTGTGGCACATATGGTTTGAAAGAACATATCAAGAGGAACATTTTGGTACTTAAAAATTTGTTTTAGCTATTCTAGCAGCAGAGATATCGCAGCTCAATGATAAATTATATTCTTAAAATTATCATTTTCGCCCACGAAAAAATAGGATAAACCTGCTACTAGTATAGCTACAACAAAGTTGTTGTATGATCACGGAAAGCCAAGATATAGCCGTTTGAAAGTTTCAAAACCCAATTTTGAACGTGGCGTAAAACCCGTAAATATTTTGTAAAGATCGCACGACCCTTGCCAACGCATCGTACCTTTCACGAATTTTCGCCGATAAATAAAAAGTACTTGTGAAATAGAAGTGATTTAAATCGAACATATGAAAAAAGCCTTGTAGATTGATTGCACTTCTATATATTTAATCCTGTTAGTAATTAACATATTGTTAGTTTATTCCCATGTAATCCACCAGTAAACGTAAATATTGGTTATATTGGTTTATAATGTATATTTTCAATCCTAAGATATGTGATTTTTCTACCCCGGCAGAGCATTGAACGAACAATTACGTAAAATATTCTCTCAAGTTTCTTTTCGCCGTGAAATGAATTTTAGAGAGCCAAAAATTTACAAGAGCTGCTTGTTTGCTCCTGAAATAGGGTCGCAAGCTGTGACCGAAACTAGTACTTAGAAATTTTTTTTTTTTTTTTTTTGAATAAAAATAATATTCGCAACGAGGAATAGCCCGATCTCTTCATTTCCATAATCATCTCCTGGAGTGTCAATTTGTACAAAAAAAATCATTCCTCAAGTAGTTTTATTTCCCCTTATTAAGCTTAATTTTCTCCCTCTAATCACCTCTAATTGAATGAATATTATAGGAAATTTTTATTAAGAATACTGCAATTTTTAAAATTTACATACAGAAAGGAAATTAATAATTGTATGTTAAAAAAATTTTCAGTTTAAAAAAAATTAGAATCATAAATATTGGATAACATCTTGTGCATGTTATATTTTTGTAACATTATGAAAAAATTGTCAATTTTTCGATCCATATGCTGTAATAAAATTCCGGAAATAATGAACAAAGTGTAAGCAAGTTACAGACAGGATTTATTTTACTTTCCACAGATTTTTCATTTATTCCTCAGCCTTGTTGTAGGTTTTTAAGCGGATAAACAAAATAAATATTTCGCCAGGGGTGAAAACGTAGAATCAACGATTTTCACACAAAATTTGAGACTATGTGATCTAGGTTGAATTTTGATAATTGATTGTTTTGACTTGTTTGGAGAAAAATAAAATGAAATGAAACTTTTTTCTGTGTGATAATATTTTATTTTTGTTTCAATATATAATTATTTTTACTATTATTATTATTTATTCTTCTCGGTCAACACAAAAAATTTTAAATTGGAAAAAAGAGAAGAAAGGGTTTACAACTAGCAGATGTCTGCTAAAACGCCCAACATCAAAAGAGACGGCCGCCGCGGTAAACCCATGGGATTTAAAAAAAAATCGCTTTCTTGACCATTTATTTCATAGTAAAACATAATTTCTGAAATACCTATTTACATGAAAAATATGGTTAGTTTGAATTCTATAGACCAGATTTAGAATTTGATAGCTTATATTTTTTGGTTTCCAAAATTAAAATGAATTTTAGTGAACATGCAAAGACAATTTTTTTTGGTCAACAGAAATAGTTATTCAGAACAAAAAGTTAGCTACTCTGGTGATAATTTCTATGTCTCGATTGTATAATCTATTGCCACGGTCGCGATTTGAGTTGAGCCGAGAGGTACAGTCGATTTGTAACTCTGTTTAAAAATTTTGTGCATCGATACGCAAGTTTTACTACGAACAGGAGTTTCAAGAATAGAAAATATGTGTAAAATTCTTTTTTGTGCATGTGCTTTAACACATCAGCTATTTTGAATCAACATACAAACTATTGAAAGAGAATAATTAATCTGCTTTTTTTATTCATATAATTTGTTTTGAAATTATCGCGGTACGGATATTAAAATTAATTTGAACGTTTTGGTATAATCAAGTAAAATTTTGAAGATTTCAAATTTATTTATTTGTTCAATTATTGATTGATTTATTTATTCTTCATTCTATAATACATTCAAAACACAACATCTTATATATATATATATATATATATATATATATATATATATATATATATATATATATATATATATATATATATATATATATATATATATATATATATATATATATATATATATATATATATATATATATATATATATATATATATATATATATATATATATATATATATATATATATATATATATATATATATATATATATATATATATATATATATATATATATATATATATATATATATATATATATATATATATATATATATATATATATATATATATATATATATATATATATATATATTTATAGTGTTATATCAATAATAATAATGCACACAAAAACCATAGTATAATAATTTTCTGTTGCAAATGAGGCGCGTCGCTGTGAGTCTCTGTGAATCGGCGTGACGCGTGACATTATTCAAGGAAGAATAATAATTACAATAACGTAAGTGCCTGCTCAAGGTAAGTCTGCCGTTTCCTCAAGTTATTGGAATTTCAGCACTTCATAAAATCCAGCGGAACCACCAAATAGCGCTCGATGAATAAAAAACAAAAAAAAAATGCATGGGGAAAGGAAATGGAGGATAGAAAATTAAATTACATTAAATAAAATTTTTATGTTTATGTTATTGATAATTACCTCCTTTATGCTATTTTGTAACATACTTTTATATTAGATTTCTAGATTTAAATAATATGTATAAAATTCAACACGATGAGTGAAATTTTACAGTATATTAACAGATACAGATAACAAGTAAGAGAAAAATTATAACGATGCGCGTCATAGTAATTACCTGCACTGCCATGCCTAATTAGGACATATCACAGATGGAAAAATATGATTCAACTCTCAAAATTGAGGAAAACTTGCCGGAGAATAATTATGAAAAAGCAGGAATCAGTGTGGGAAAATGTCGAAAGTTTCATTTCCTGCTACTTTCCCAGGGAGTTATAATATAATTACAATATGTGCCCAAAAGATAAACAAGCAAGGCGGAGATTCTTTTGTATATTTCATTATAAAAGGAGGATACATTCTTTTCGACAGACACAGAAGACACCATGCGTGTGTTCAAGATGAAAAAAACAGTATGGCTTCTAGCTATCGCACTCCAAGTAAATATCTAACTTTTATCATCATTATGTCATATGTATTATTGTACTTTTACCCATGAGCCATTATGAATATATTTTTGAATTCGATTGCTATGTAAAATGAAATTATGCATTATGCAGCTAAAATTTAACATAAATGGTATTTATTTTTACCAAAAGAACATGGTAAATGTGTAAATTCAAACGACAAAAATTATATAGTTTGAACTCAATAATAACTTGCACTTAGAAATTTACAGCAAAATTTGTAATTTGAAAAAATAATATACCACTTTCAGATGGCGATATCTGTAAGGGGTCAAAGTTCTGACTCGACCGCAACCGCATCGACCCTCACAGAAACCACAAACACAGCAGCTACAGCAACAGGTACTTCTACAATACATATTTAGGTTTTTATTTTTTTCTCCAAATAAACATACATTTATTTAGTTTTGTGAAATATTTATTAAAATTTAGCTTATTTCTTTAAAATTAACTTATTTATAAAGTGGTCTATAGTAACTTATCTTCTTAGTCTCTAAAATATAATATCTGAGCTAATATTATATTTTTTCGGCTGCGGTCTCATTTCTTTGAAATTAACGAAGTCTGTTAATAAATAATCTATTTTAATTTCTGGAATGCAGTCTAAATTTTCTTTATGTTTCTTTAAATTTTGTACTTTGAATAAAAAGGGGAGCATCGCAATGAATAATATAAATTTTAATTTAACATAAAATATGACTGAAATATAATAATCTATAACAAAATAAATGGACTAAAATAAAATAACAACATAAACCTTTTTTGCGCCCAGTTTGATACAACGTACAAAATTTAAAGAGAATAGCATGAAGTAAAACTCGCATGATATAAATCATGAGAAAATAAAAGATTTCTTTCAAATTAACGAGCCTAATATTTTTTTAATATATAATAGAAAATCTCTATCAATATCTGGAAAGATTCTAGTTTTACTTCGTGCTATTCTCTTTAAATTTTGTACTTTGTATCAAACTGGGCGCAAAAAAGGTTTATGTTGTTATTTTATTTTAGTCCATTTATTTGTTATAGATGATTATATTTCAGTCATATTTTATGTTAAATTAAAATTTATATTTAATTCTTCTTAAAATTTAATATATTGTTGATGTTTTATTAGATGCAGGCAGGGCTTACATGATATATTTATGCGGCAGTGGTCTAATGAGAATATAATAGATTTCTTCAAAATTATCGAGAGTTATGCAATTTAAGTTATGGAATGAATACTAATTTTTCATCACGTAAAATTCTTTACTTTGTGTTAACTGGGGCGCATCGCAATGAATAAATAAATTAATGGTGATGAATAGAGTTAAACATTTATAAAATATCTGCAGCTGGTTCTACCGATACTGGATCAACTGCAACCGGCTCAACTGCGACCGGATCAACCGGCACAACCGCAACCGGCTCAACTGCAACGGGCTCAACTGCAACCGGCTCAACTGCAACGGGCTCAACTGCTACCGGCTCAACCGCAACCGGCTCAACTGTGACCGGGTCAACTGCGAGTGCCTCAACTGCAACTGGCTCAACCGCGACTGGTTCAACCTTGACCGGCTCAACTGAGACCGGCTCCACCGCGACTGGTTCAACCTTGACCGGCTCCACCGCGACCGGTTCCACCGCGACCGGTTCCACCGCGACCGGTTCCACCGCGACCGGTTCCACCGCGACCGGCTCAACTGTGAGCGGCTCAACTGTGACCGGGTCAACTGCGAGTGCCTCAACTGCAACTGGCTCAACTGTGAGCGGCTCAACTGTGACCGGGTCAACTGCGAGTGCCTCAACTGCAACTGGCTCAACCGCGACTGGTTCAACTGAGACCGGCTCCACCGCGACCGGTTCCACCGCGACCGGCTCCACCGCGACCGGTTCCACCGCGACCGGTTCCACCGCGACCGGTTCCACCGCGACCGGTTCCACCGCGACCGGTTCCACCGCGACCGGTTCCACCGCGACCGGTTCCACCGCGACCGGTTCCACCGCGACCGGTTCCACCGCGACCGGTTCCACCGCGACCGGTTCCACCGCGACCGGTTCCACCGCGACCGGTTCCACCGCGACCGGTTCCACCGCGACCGGTTCCACCGCGACCGGTTCCACCGCGACCGGTTCCACCGCGACCGGGTCCACCGCGACCGGGTCCACCGCGACCGGGTCCACCGCGACCGGGTCCACCGCGACCGGGTCCACCGCGACCGGCTCCACCGCGACCGGCTCCACCGCGACCGGCTCCACCGCGACCGGCTCCACCGCGACCGGCTCCACCGCGACCGGCTCCACCGCGACCGGCTCCACCGCGACCGGCTCCACCGCGACCGGCTCCACCGCGACCGGCTCCACCGCGACCGGCTCCACCGCGACCGGCTCCACCGCGACCGGCTCCACCGCGACCGGCTCCACCGCGACCGGCTCCACCGCGACCGGGTCCACCGCGACCGGGTCCACCGCGACCGGGTCCACCGCGACCGGCTCAACCGCGACCGGCTCAACCGCGACCGGCTCAACCGCGACCGGCTCAACCGCGACCGGCTCAACCGCGACCGGCTCAACCGCGACCGGCTCAACCGCGACCGGCTCAACCGCGACCGGCTCAACCGCGACCGGCTCAACCGCGACCGGCTCAACCGCGACCGGCTCAACCGCGACCGGCTCAACCGCGACCGGCTCAACCGCGACCGGCTCAACCGCGACCGGCTCAACCGCGACCGGCTCAACCGCGACCGGCTCAACCGCGACCGGCTCAACCGCGACCGGCTCAACCGCGACCGGCTCAACCGCGACCGGCTCAACCGCGACCGGCTCAACCGCGACCGGCTCAACCGCGACCGGCTCAACCGCGACCGGCTCTACCGCGAGCGGCTCAACTGCGAGCGGCTCCACTGTGAGTGGTTCAACCGCGACCGGCTCAACTGCGAGTGGCTCAACCTTGACCGGTTCAACCGAAACCGGCTCAACTGCGAGCGGCTCAACTGCGAGTGGCTCAACTGCATCCGGTTCAACCGTGACCGGCTCAACTGCGAGTGGCTCAACTGCATCCGGTTCAACCGTGACCGGCTCAACTGCGAGCGGCTCCACTGCGAGTGGCTCAACCTTGACCGGTTCAACCGCGACCGGCTCAACTGCGAGCGGCTCAACCTTGACCGGTTCAACCGTGACCGGCTCAACTGCGAGCGGCTCAACCGCGACCGGGTCAACCGCGACCGGGTCAACCGCGACCGGGTCAACCGCGACCGGCTCAACTGCATCCGGCTCAACTGCGAGCGGCTCAACTGCGAGCGGCTCAACTGCGAGCGGCTCCACTGTGAGTGGTTCAACCGCGACCGGCTCAACTGCGAGTGGCTCAACCTTGACCGGTTCAACCGCGACCGGCTCAACTGCGAGCGGCTCAACCTTGACCGGTTCAACCGCGACCGGCTCAACTGCGAGCGGCTCAACTGCGACCGGGTCAACTGCATCTGGTTCAACCGCAACCGGCTCTACTGCGAGCGGCTCCACTGCGAGTGGCTCAACCGCAACCGGCTCTACTGCGAGCGGCTCCACTGCGAGTGGTTCAACCGCGACCGGCTCAACTGTGAGTGGGTCAACCGCGACCGGCTCAACTGCGAGTGGCTCAACCTTGACCGGTTCAACCGCGACCGGCTCAACTGCGAGCGGCTCCACTGCGAGTGGTTCAACCGCAACCGGCTCTACTGCGAGCGGCTCCACTGCGAGTGGTTCAACTGCGACCGGCTCAACTGTGAGTGGTTCAACCGCGACCGGCTCAACTGCGAGTGGCTCAACCTTGACCGGTTCAACCGCGACCGGCTCAACTGCGAGCGGCTCAACCTTGACCGGTTCAACCGTGACCGGCTCAACTGCGAGCGGCTCAACTGCGACCGGGTCAACTGCATCTGGTTCAACCGCAACCGGCTCAACTGCGAGCGGCTCCACAGCGAGTGGTTCAACCGCGACAGGCTCAACTGCGAGTGGTTCAACCGTGACCGGCTCAACTGCGAGTGGCTCATCCTTGACCGGTTCAACCGCGACCGGCTCAACTGTGAGCGGCTCAACTGCATCCGGTTCTACCGCGACCGGCTCAACTGTGAGCGGCTCAACTGCGAGCGGCTCAACCTTGACCGGTTCAACCGTGACCGGCTCAACTGCGAGCGGCTCAACTGCGACCGGGTCAACCGCGACCGGGTCAACCGCGACCGGGTCAACCGCGACCGGGTCAACCGCGACCGGCTCAACTGTGAGCGGCTCAACTGCATCCGGTTCTACCGCGACCGGCTCAACTGTGAGCGGCTCAACTGTGACCGGGTCAACCGCGACCGGTTCAACCGCGACCGGCTCAACTGCGAGCGGCTCAACCTTGACCGGTTCAACCGCGACCGGGTCAACCGCGACCGGGTCAACCGCGACCGGGTCAACCGCGACCGGGTCAACCGCGACCGGGTCAACCGCGACCGGGTCAACCGCGACCGGGTCAACCGCGACCGGGTCAACCGCGACCGGGTCAACCGCGACCGGGTCAACCGCGACCGGGTCAACCGCGACCGGGTCAACCGCGACCGGGTCAACCGCGACCGGGTCAACCGCGACCGGCTCAACCGCGACCGGCTCAACCGCGACCGGCTCAACCGCGACCGGCTCAACCGCGACCGGGTCAACCGCGATCGGGTCAACCGCGACCGGCTCAACTGCGAGTGGCTCAACTGCATCCGGTTCAACCGCGAGCGGCTCAACCGCGAGCGGCTCAACCGCGAGCGGCTCAACCGCGAGCGGCTCAACTGCGACCGGGTCAACTCCATCTGGTTCAACCGCAACCGGCTCAACTGCGAGTGTTTCAACTGCGACCGGCTCAACTGCGACCGGCTCAACTGCGAGTGGCTCAACTGCATCCGGCTCAACTGCGAGTGGCTCAACTGCGAGTGGTTCAACCGCGACAGGCTTAACTGCGAGTGGTTCAACCGTGACCGGCTCAACTGCGAGTGGCTCATCCTTGACCGGTTCAACCGCGACCGGTTCGACCGCGACCGGTTCAACCGCGACCGGCTCAACTGCGAGCGGCTCAACCTTGACCGGTTCAACCGTGACCGGCTCAACTGCGACCGGCTCAACTGCGACCGGGTCAACTGCATCCGGTTCAACCGCGACCGGCTCAACCGCGACTGGCTCAACCACGACAGTCTCAACCGGCTCAAGTTCGACCGGCTCTACTGCTACTGGTTTGACGGCCGCTGGCTCTACTGCAGCTGGCTCTACGTCCGCTGCTGGCTCTACTGCAGCTGGCTCCACTGCCACTTCTGGCTCTACGGCCGCAGGTTTTATTACCACTACGCCTACCGCTACTTCTGCTGCAGGTATTGCGTTTTGAAAAATTATTTTTGAGCGTGTCCGAGTGAGATTGAGGGGGCAATGGACCCAAAAAATAACCCTATCTGATTTTTAAATATGTCAAAGGGGGTGCCCAAAGGGGTCCTCTCACAAATTTTCAAAAATGCGGCGTTACCCTAAAATTGTAGGGGTGTAAAATTGACCCTTAAAGACCCTCTCCGGTCATTTGTATTGCTCTTTAATCTGACAGATTGCTAAATTTCGAGTATATCTTGTGAAAACACTATTTGAAAATTCCAAACCGTTGCGTCGCAATCAAAAGAAAATCTATATACGAGTGATTCGCGCGAAAAACGTGTGAGAATTGAGTAGCCAATCAGATCCATCAGTTTTGTACAAAAACTGCAGGATTTGGTCACATTAGCGCTGCGATCGCTGATTTTGCCAAGTTTTCCGCAGCGCCGTGGGGCAAAATCAGCGATCGCAGCGCCAATGTGACCAAATCCTGCAGTTTTTGTACAAAACTGATGGATCTGATTGGCTACTCAATTCTCACACATTTTTCGCGCGAATCACTCGTATTTTGGTTTTCTTTTGAATGAGACGCAACGGTTTGGAATTTTTAAATAGTGTTTTCACAAGATATACTCGAAATTTAGCAATCTTTCTGAATAAAGAGCAATACAAATGACCGGAGTGGGTCTTTAATTTTTTGGATTTACTCTAAATATGGAACGGCTTACGTTAGAAAAACGGTATAAGCTATTCTTAACTCAGTTTTTTACACTGAACAACTTTGCTGCTGACACAAGAGTCGTAGGCTTAAGGGAAATGTCAAGTTTTGGCAATTATTTAATTAAAGTCAAATTTTGACGATGACACCCCCCTCCGATTTTTTTCGTGGTATAGGAAAAAATGTTGCTCGTGAAATTTTACATCGACCCTGTAATTTTCAAAATAGCCATTTTCTCAGTTTATGAGTTATCACGGCTCGAAGAAGAAAAACCGTGTCCGAACATTCGATTTTGCCCGAAAAATCACATTTTCTCTTCTTCGGACAGTGATAACTCAAAAACTGAGAAAATGGCCGTTTTGAAAATTACAGGGACGATGTAAAATTTCATGAGCAACATTTTTTCCTATACCACGAAAAAATCGGAGGGGGGTGTCATCGTCAAAATTTGACTTTAATTAAATAATTGCCACAACTTGACATTTCCCTTAAGCCTACGAATTTTGTGTCAACATCAAAGTTGTTCAGCGTGAATTACTGAGTTAAGTAAAGCACATACCGTTTTTCTAACGTAAGCCGTTCCATATTTAGAGTAAATCCAAAAAAATTAAGGGTCAATGTTTCACCCCTAAACTTTTTGGGTAACGCCCCATCTTTGAGGTCTGAAAATTTGTGAGAGGACCCCTTTTGGCACCCCCTTTGACTTATTTAAAAATCATATATTATATATATCATATATTATATAAAATATTGTAAACAAATAATAATTAAATGTGTAAATCCATATTTTTAACAGCGATAATAAATTTCTTGCCAGCAGGAGCAACGACTGCTGCCGGAGGAACAACCACTTCTGGCGGGGCCACTACCGCTGCCGGAGCCATGACCTCTGCTAGTGGGGCAACAACCGCTGGTGGTGGAGCAACAACAGCTGCTGGTGGAGCAACAACCACTGCCGGTGGTGCTACGACTGCAGTGGGAACGACCACTTCATCGTCCTCTACAAGTTCTACATCCACTTCAACATCAACAACAACTACTACAACTACCCGGCCATTAGTTATTCCAAGATGTGCGCAAATAAATGGGGTAAATATTATAAAATTTATTATTTTAATTTTTTAAAATTTATTCTGATTGAATGATTGCAGAATGTACTCGCCAAATGCTGCACTCCTATTGCACCACAGTTGCTTGGTTTCAGTAGAAGTGAGGTCAGAACCTGCAAATCGTCGAGATTGAAAATGAACGCTTTCAATGTGTTGACACTGACCAAGCAACAAAAAACTAATAATAGTCCCGTTAATTCCATCAATTTTAATAGCCAGTCAGTTATAAGGGCTCTGGGAAGTTCAGCTGTGTGTTTTATATTGCTTATGATGAAAAAGGTGATGGTGATTTTCAATTTTTAGTGCATCGTGAATTGTGTTCTTGGATCAAGGGGTGCTGTAAGTATCACATTTTCAATTAAGTGAAGTAATTGGTGACTAGCATGTTACTTTTTATTTTTATCGTCATTGATTTTTAGTCTACTGAAAATATGAAAATACAGTTATTAGCAGAGTTTCGTGAAAACAAAATCTTTTAAAGGGTGTGTATCTTAAATATATTTAAATTCTTCTGATGACCAAATAATTTCACAATCAACACATTGCCACAAATGATAGCAATTTTTAAGCAGGAACTTAACTATATGTACATACAGGTTGGCCCATAAGTAGTCCGTGATCTTTGACAGCTCGCCACGGGCGAACCGTTGGTCGAATTTGAAAAATCTGCACAGATTCTGAAAGCCCAACTTTCTACAAATTTGCCTGGCATAGTAAGAATTTTGCCAGAGTTGAAATTGTAATTGTTTTAAAAGGAAAACTAAAAAATGAGAAAGTGCCTTATGGGACTTCCCATATAGCAGCATTATGAGTGTCGGAAGTTCAAAGTGAAAATCATGTTTTTTAGGTAAATCGACCCTCCTGAACACGAATCCGTGGTCGGTTTTTTGAAATTCTCATTATTTCTAATTTTTTCCCTCAATTTGCAAATATTTGCAAAATGTGCCAAAAAAACTAACATGCGGAGATAAAAATCTGAAAATTGCTGGAGGGGTGCATCTTGAACATAACAACAACGTAATTTTTCCATACTTGCTATTTTCCGGAAAATTGACCATTTTCACAAGGGGTCCACGTTTTGGTTGATTTCTCGATTTCTATGGGAGATAAAAACAAAACTTAAAGTGATTCTGGAAGCTGATTAAATTTCCTATCTTTCCTCTGTGAACATTAGCTTTCCAACACTGGCTGCTTTTCCGGAAAATTGAAGAAAAAAATTAACTTATTTTTCCCAGAGAGTATGCAACCCGCAACAGAAAGTCTAAATAGCCAAAATGTAGCTTGGTTCTTTGGCAAGACACCCCTAAAATTTCAAAACTTTTCCTCCAGCCGTTTTTCCGCAATCGCCGATTTTCCCGACCCCTTTTGGGAAAAATAAAACTTTTCCGGAAAGGCATGTGTGATGCATCATTCGATTAGGCACGTCAAGGAGATGCTAGAAATGAATTTTTATCAAAATCGGATCATTTTTCAAATTTTCAGAGCAGTTTTTGTAAATTAAAAAAAGTTCATTTTTCAAACTGCTCTGAAAATTTGAAAAATGATCCGATTTTGATAAAAATTCATTTCTAGCATCTCCTTGACGTGCCTAATCGAATGATGCATCACACATGCCTTTCCGGAAAAGTTTTATTTTTCCCAAAAGGGGTCGGGAAAATCGGCGATTGCGGAAAAACGGCTGGAGGAAAAGTTTTGAAATTTTAGGGGTGTCTTGCCAAAGAACCAAGCTACATTTTGGCTATTTAGACTTTCTGTTGCGGGTTGCATACTCTCTGGGAAAAATAAGTTAATTTTTTTCTTCAATTTTCCGGAAAAGCAGCCAGTGTTGGAAAGCTAATGTTCACAGAGGAAAGATAGGAAATTTAATCAGCTTCCAGAATCACTTTAAGTTTTGTTTTTATCTCCCATAGAAATCGAGAAATCAACCAAAACGTGGACCCCTTGTGAAAATGGTCAATTTTCCGGAAAATAGCAAGTATGGAAAAATTACGTTGTTGTTATGTTCAAGATGCACCCCTCCAGCAATTTTCAGATTTTTATCTCCGCATGTTAGTTTTTTTGGCACATTTTGCAAATATTTGCAAATTGAGGGAAAAAATTAGAAATAATGAGAATTTCAAAAAACCGACCACGGATTCGTGTTCAGGAGGGTCGATTTACCTAAAAAACATGATTTTCACTTTGAACTTCCGACACTCATAATGCTGCTATATGGGAAGTCCCATAAGGCACTTTCTCATTTTTTAGTTTTCCTTTTAAAACAATTACAATTTCAACTCTGGCAAAATTCTTACTATGCCAGGCAAATTTGTAGAAAGTTGGGCTTTCAGAATCTGTGCAGATTTTTCAAATTCGACCAACGGTTCGCCCGTGGCGAGCTGTCAAAGATCACGGACTACTTATGGGCCAATAATCGGTTGCTATCTGCGATCTGTGAAAAGCGAAATTTAACAAATATAAAGTCAATTTAATCAATGAATTTTATAATACTGTGTTGCAATTGGGGCGCGTCGCAGTGAGTAATTGCATCGTGGCGACGTCTCATAAGTCAATAAAGAAGAATAATAATAATAATTAAATATTTAAAAATTTATATAATTATTTTTACTTGTGTTCTACAATTTTTTATTGTACTTAATTAATGTTGTGAGTATTCCATTTTTTTTTTTTTTTTAGAATTTGTATATAGTTAATTGCAAACAATTAGTTTTTGCCGTGTTTTATCTGCAATAACACATAGAATAAAGATTAAATTGATGATGTTTACTATTATTCACATGTCTTTAAAAAAAATTAATAAAATAATCAGTGCCAATAAAATTCTTTGATTATTAGCCCATATTATTTTCAATCGGAATTAGGGATTGAATGATAATTTTCCTTAGTATGCAGCTGGAGTTCTGGATTCAGCCAAGTTAACCGCTCTTTTGACAGCATCTAATAGTCCAACGTGGACTCCTATCATAACTGATGCAGTGACAAAATGTGTCTCAACTGTTGGTGGTATGTTTATTTCATGTTTTGCTATATATGCTTGCATTTCTATCTTGATAATTTAGCTCTCAGCATACCGAATTTTGTAAATGGACGACAAGTTTGCGTTGGAAAATACTTCATTATCATGCAATGTATTCTGTCCGAAATGATTGCCGTAAGTTTGCCAGAGATTTTTTTTTGTTTTTTGGAACATAATTTTATATAACTATCAATCTCGCAGAAATGTCCAACTAGAGGTAACTAAAAGCTATAGAGTTTCTTTGGAGCTAATTGAATTATCTTTCATTTTAACTCTAAGGAACAACTAGAAATTGCAGAAATCAATACTCAATATTTAATGGCTGCTATGGCAGTCTCTTTACTCACGCTGTCTGGAAGCAGGTTGGTGTTGACAAAAAGAAGAAGAACAAGGTAAAGATTGTAAAGGAAATAAAGAAGGTGGACGAAGGTGACAAAGAATCCGTTGTAAATAACGGTGAGAAGTTAAATAAAAACAAGAAGAAGAAAGTCAAGAAGGTGAAAAAGGTAAAGAAAGAGAAGGGAGAAATCAAAGATCAATTAGGACAAAAGGAGGGCGAAAAAAAAGTGAAGAATGAAAAGAATAAGAAAATAAAGGAAAAGAAGAAGGAAGTTCAAAAACTCAAACAAGAAAGCGCAGCAAACGGAACCAAAAAGAAAGAGAAAAAAGAAAAAAAGAAACCGATTGGCGGAAACGGTATCAAGAAGCAGGAGAAACAAAAACAGATTGGTGAAAATCAAATTAAAAAGGTTAAGAAAGTGAGAAAAGAAAAGAAGGAGAAGAATAAAAAGCAACAGATTGTCGAAAGTGGTATGAAAAAAGCTAAAAAAGAAAAGAAGGCGAAGAAACAGAATGAAGTAAATGGAGTTAAAAAGTTTAAAAAGAGAAGGAAAAATCAGGAGAATGGTACGAAAAGAGAAAAGAAAGAGAAGAACGGAAAACTTGGAAAAGAGGAAGGGATGAAGGGAAAGGGGAAAAAAGCCAAGAAGCAAAATGGAGAAGATAGAGAAAAGGACGTTAAAAATTTAAAAAAGACAAAGAAGACACTGACGCAAAAACAAGAGAACGTAGAAAATGGAGACAAGAATATTAAAAAGGTAAAGAAGCAAAAGAAAGTCAAGAAGCAAAATGGCGTAGATGGAGGAAAGGATATTACAAAGGTTAAGAAGGCGCAGACTGAAAAACAAGAGAACGGGAAAAATGGAATTAAAATGGGAAAAAAATCCAAAAAACCAAAGGATGGAAATGGAGACAAGAATATTGAAAAGGTAAAGAAGCAAAAGAAAGCCAAGAAGCAAAATGGCGTAGATGCTGGAGAAAAGGATGTTACAAAGGTTCAGAAGGCGCAGACTGAAAAACAAGAGAACGGGAAAAATGGAATTAAATTGGGAAAAAAAGCCAAAAAACCAAAGGATGGAAACGGAGACAAGAATATCAAAAAGGTAAAGAAGCAAAAGAAAGCCAAGAAGCAAAATGGCGTAGATGGAGAAAAGGATGTAACAAAGGTACAAAAGGTAAAAAAGGCGCAAACGGAAAAACAAGAAAAAGGATATAAGGGAATTAAAAAGGAAAAGAAAGCCAAGAAACAAAAGGGACAGAAGGGAGAAAACGATATTAAAAAGAAGAAGAAAGCCAAGAAGCAAATTCAGACGACATGGAACAATGGAACGAAAATTGAATCGGAGAATAATAAAAAAATGTCAAAAGATGACGGTAAAAAGTTAAAAAAGCAAAAGGAAAACATCGAACAAGACATTAATGAAGGGGGGAAAACTAAAAGGAAGAATACAAAACAAGGAAATGAAATAAAAAATGTTGAGAATCGAGGAACTAGACTGAAAAAGCAAAAGATTGATACTAAAGAAAAAGAAGGTAATCTTGGCGCCAATAAGACGAAAGATGCATAATCAGATTCATCTGAGGTCATTTCAACGCACCAAATTTAATTCGCTTATAATCCTTCTATTTGTACGGTATAATCGCTATCAGAGACTAATTTGTTGAACTTATATAATAAACATTTTAGAATCAAATGAAAACTTCGATTCTTATTTGTAACAAAAGCAAAGCACCCTAATTATTTGTATTTTATTCAACGATAGTGTTTTCCTTTTAAAGATTTCATTATTTATTCTTTTCGGTCAGTGCTAAAATTTTTAAATTGGAAAAAAAGAGAAGAAAGGGTTACATTTGATTTAAGTGAAGGTTCTTAAAGTTCCAATAATACTTGTAAAGTAGGCAACCGAAGCCAATTCAAGGAGATGTCGCCTAACTACAGCCCAATTTTAATTATTCTAACGCCAGTATTTATTATTTTACACCTAATATCACATATAGGACTGAAAAGATGAATTATTCTACGGATAGTGTTGTTACTGAATTAAGCAACTGGCGATTTAAGCAAAAGAGTGAACTTTTAGATGTATTTTTACATCTCAAATAGAATACTTTATTAGTACCAAAAATTAATTTGTATTTCAGGATTAAAAAAATTAATATTTAGAATTGCGGTGATTTTTTCAGAGTTTAAATTATTTGTGTTAATACTGTAAATTTTCGGGTCGCCACGTTTTGTGAGAAAATGCAATATCAGAAAAATGGAAAACTAAAATGTCAGAAATTGTTTTGTCAGAATATTAAATGAAAGAAAATTTTCTTGAAATGTCAGAATATTTTTTACTAGAAATATTTTTTGTCAGAAAACTATTACACGAAGTTACATTTACAGGAATGTAATTTTTATCAGAAAATTGTTTATGGTAAAAATACATTTTACGCGTCTACATTGGAAATTTCAAAGGCTAGAGGAAGTGTTTGTCTAGTGGGCCCCAAAGGAGTAGCTTCTTTTGGATCAAATGTTGAAGTGGGAAAAGCAATGTAGCAATTTGTATTATAAGACAATTTTGATGTTGTTTTACTGAATCTTCTGACTCCAATCTCCAAATAAATCTCTTCTTCATTAATTTTTGTGTCTTGACTTGATGTATGATGTTGTTGTAATAAATAAAAATGATTGCATCTAATGCAGAATAATTAAATTTTTACTGAAATTTTTGTTTCAATAAAAAAGATTGGTTTTCACTTTCTACAAATTTTACCAACAACTTTAGGTTTAGTGAGATTATTTCAAAAGTGGGATGCCGGTTGTTGTCAACTCTAAGAAGCACTCGGGCCTTGACGACGCTAGGCACCAGTGTTAGTCTCGCCACACGGGCTCTTTTGAAAAGAAGAGGTCGGTGCACCTTAGTCAAACGTCATACTCAACTCTGCCCGTCATCAAAAATTTCAGCTAGAAATGGAAATGATGAATTAAATCAAGTTAGATGATTTTTAGGGTCTATTTGGAACATATTTTACAGCTAACTTAGCCATTTGCGCCACGCACGCACGATGTCCAGATAGACAGAGAGAATTGGGTATACGGAAACATACGAAAACTTACTACTGAAACGGTGGATCTCGGATGTGTCTAGGGTTTTTTGGGTTGGCTGAAAGAGATGAACTTTACTCTAATTAATTGGATAATTCGCGGGCGAATTACTCGACGGCGGCTGCGAGTGCAGTCGTCTGATTCGGGTGATCTGAAATGTAAAACACGAAGGTGGGTGAAGCAGCCGGGCTAGCCTCTTTGCTTAGGAGCGGGCCGGCGGCACAGGCTTATAAGCGCGCCTTGCCTTCCAAGGGGAACACACTAAGTGAAACAACTTGAATTGCTCGTGGAACTGAATAGCCGGATGCAGTCGGTTTATTTGTGACATTCATCACATAATACATTTCTGTTTAAAGTCCAAGTTACAATATTAATTTTAATATTATTTAATTGACTGTTTAATATTTAATTATGGTTTGATTACATGCGTGTTGTTTATTGATTATTTTAATTAATTGATTGAGCAATTTAATTAATGATTTTTGGGGTTGCACAACCTATCTGAGAGTGGGAAGCAGCACAGTGGGCGATATATTGTTATCAAAAAATCGGTGCGCCCACGGATATTCACTACCCTTACCTGTAAAAATAATATTTTTAATTTTTTATTTTGTTGATCGTGAAGTTATTTATTTCATTTAAATATTTTAAATGTTTCAATTATTAGTTTAAACGAAGCAAAGCGAATTTTTGGAAGATTTTTTAAATACAAACAAAGAATGTGTTCAGAAATGCGCAACTTGTTCAGAGGGCCTATATATGCGGCCCATCTCGGCACGGACCTCTATTGAGGCTCAGCGTTTTAGCAACCTGTTTGCCAAAGGTGTTGCCGTACGTTTCTTCACATTTTGTAAAATTTTTTTTTGTTTTCATGACTTGATTTGTGAAGAATAAACAATAATGATAATAATAATAATATATTGAAAATAACTTTCATTAGATTAAAAATAATTATTATGATAATAACATTAAATGAGGCGGATCGGGTCTTTTTGATATTGGTAGTTTTATCAAAGTTCTTGCTAGTGGTGTTGCCGTTTTGTCCCAAAATTTCCTCTCTTTTCTAAAATTGGCGTTGAATACCTGTTTAAAATATATTTATGATATTAAATTTGCTGATCACAATATCCCTTATTATGTCAAAGCAGTCATTTTAAAAGTTTAGGGGTGAATGAAGCTGACTCATAAATTTTACATGAAAACAATTCTCCTTACTTAAAGAAGTTATTAATCCTCCGCGATGAGTATCACATGAGAGCTTCGAGTTCACACCGAACATTCCGCCATTTGATTATTGCAATAATGAATAATGACTAATGACACTTTCAGAATGTCAAGCATCTTTTTTGGAATGCTCTGCCGCAGAGTGTGTGGTTGGTGTTTAAAAAATTAAATATAAAAAAAACTTTTGAACCAGTGTATAAGGTGAATCAATGAAATTTATCTGAACCATTTATGAAAATTGAATGTAATTGCACTGACTAAAAGCTTAAGTGCCAGGCTAAATAAAAGACGAATATAAAGTCTAACCTGGAGCTATTGCAAGGAATAAGAGCAAAAACTAAAAGTAAATAACGGCATTTCAAAGTATCAGGCAGTTAAAATAAATACAAGCCCTCAGCAAAACACTTTTAATTGCTTGTTACACATTTCATAAATTTTAATTTTGATATTTTCTTACAATTCATATTAAAATTCTAAAAGGGTTCGTCGCAATGAGTAATTTCATCGTGGTGACGCCACATAAGTCAATAAATAGCAATAATAATATAAATAAATTTCATTTGCAACTAAAATTGAATGTAAAAAATCTGATGTAACATTTGGAAAAATAAACAAAAAAGAAAAATAGGCACTGCATTTTTTCAACAATACTCGTCGGATTCTCTTTTGATCAGGGTTCATCAGGTGTCCATCCGCATTGGTCAAATTTGAGAAGGCGAGCTCGTCGTCCATACCACTTTATTAGTGCAATCATTTTGGATTTAACAGAGTTCAATTAGTTAAAATGGGATTTTATTTAATATATTATGAGTGAAAATGGAGTCAACTGCAGCGGATGAACCAGAAATAAAAGCAACAACGTAAAGCAATTAAAAAATTGTCATTCCAAATATTTAGGATCTTTTAATTTAATTTTATATTACACTAAATAATTCAATTTGATATATTAAATATTTGATACATTTATCACCTTCCAACATTTAGGAAAAGACAAAGAAAGTTCATATTTTACTTTACCATTTTAAAATTAAAATTTATATTACAGTTACTAGGGGTCAATCTGAAAACCTTCTGAAAATCTGGTAGCGGTTGCGCATGGTCTATATTTAGAGATACAAACAACGCATTTGCTCAGATTATTCCTGGAGGACATAGGTTAAAATGGATTTTTTTTTAAATGAAACTTGAATAAAAAGGTTTAATGAAAAACATTATTCACATTAGCCCTCCGCATTACATTTTGAAGTTTTGATAATCGACATTCCCTGACCAAAAACTAACTTATCCCAAACAAGTGGCCTTTTTGGCACCGGGCCAACGGTCAATTCTGTGCTAGGAATGAACCTAACCACCAAGTTGACAGCAATAAAATTATACTAAGGCTTCTTCGATCTACAAGGGATAGATTGCGTCGAGAGTAATCAGTTTTCAATATTAATATTGAAAAATAATAATCAATTTTTATATTTAGATATAGTGGTTTTGTAAATAATATACTTTATAGGAAACAGCACAACTCAGATAGAGCAAAGAACAATACCTCAAGTAAAAAAATAAAAAACAAAAATGATAACAAGGTCAAATCTCTTGAAGACCGACACAATTACACCCATTCCTGCATGCGAATATTTCCAATCATTAAAAAAGTAAATCATTATGCAGAAGGTCAGATTTTCATACCCCAAAAACATTTCACAGCTCGAATTAAAATATTTGTTGAAAAATAAACCTATAAATTTTTTTTACTGTATGAGGTATGAAAGAAGCTTCTCGGGAAGAAGAGGACCGGAACTCATTGACAGGCTTGGTGATGAAGTCTGGATCAGACGAAACAGTTTTCCTAACAAGTAAAGTGCTTTAGATAATATTTTATATATGTTATATTTGTCAAATTGCTCGAAAAACAACCTAAATTGTGAAGCAATTTTTTTAAAACAAAAACATTAACAATGCAGGAAAAGACCGATCTCTTCTCTTCCATGATCATCTCCTGAAGGTTCAATTTCTTAAAAAAAGTAACAATAAATGTTTAGTGAAATCAACATGATGACTGTAAACTAAATCAAGGAATTACATTAAAAATTTCTTCCTATTATTTACACCCTTATATTGACTTATGGTGTGATAAAGCGATGCAATACTCTGGGCAGGCTATACCAATTTGCAAAATGTGGTTTTTGGGGGGGGGGGGGGGGGGGGGAAATCACAAATTGCCCAGGAAACATCTCCTCGGAGAAAAAGGTCAATAACGAAGCATTGTAAACATCATACCATTTAAAAAAAATACATTGATTTATCGCGGCGGCTGAGTCACTTTGGATGTCGGACGATTTTTCAGATATCAGTGTGTTGCAATTCCTTCCTTCTCATTTTTTCTGAATAAATTTTTTTTTGGACTGTCGGAGAAGAATGAATAATAATAATAATAACAACAGAAACATTTGGGTTCTAATTCTCGGTAGTTGCAAAAAATCCTGTCTTTCAATGACTTTCAAATTAAATTTATTCAAATTCATAAATCGTTGTAGGTGTTGATATCTAACAAAATGTAGCAACATACCATTCTCCTACCTCACCATTCCTGAATATTTTGCTTTTTATTGAGAGAATAACAAATAATTTGAGTAGCTACGATGAAATAACAAAAGAAAATATTTTCATGCGCAAGCAATTATTACAATTAGTGCGGGACGTAGTAATTACGTGTACTATCATGCCTAATTATCACATGTCCCAGATAGAAAATAATTATGCATGTCTTAAATTGAGGAAAACTAGGTGGAAAATAATTACGAAAATTGTTAACATGTACCAGACCGGGAATAACAGTGGGAAAGGTGAAAAATTAGTACTGACTACAATATACTCCATGAAAATTATGAACTAATTACTACGAGACAAAAAAAAACTAACCAAGCCACGTTATCGTCTAGAGATAGTATTTTTTATTTTTCAAATTATGCGGATATTTTTTCATATAAAAGGAGTATTATATGTTTGTACGACCATAGAGGACACTGCTTATGATGAAGATGCAAACAATAATATGGCTTCTATCTGTGACAATTCAAGTAAAATATATTGATACCTGAATGTTATTTTAACATTCTCAATTAGTACTTAAAAAAAATTAAACAAATTATTCATATTTTATCAATTAATAATCAAAATATTTGCTCACTAAATCGTGATTCTTTCAGATGGAAATATTTGTCATGGGGCTAGACTCTTCATCAACTCCCACTGTATCAGACACAGCAACAACTCCTACGGTGTCAGACACTGCAACGACACCAACGGCATCAGATACAACTCCTACGGTGTCAGACACTGCAACGACACCAACGGCATCAGATACAACTCCTACGGTGTCAGACACTGCAACGACACCAACGGCATCGGACACAACTCCTACGGTGTCAGACACTGCGACGACTCCAACTGCATCAGACACAGCAACAACTCCTACGGTGTCAGACACTGCAACGACACCAACGGCATCAGACACAACTCCTACGGTGTCAGACACTGCGACGACTCCAACTGCATCAGACACAGCAACAACTCCTACGGTGTCAGACACTGCAACGACACCAACGGCATCAGACACAACTCCTACGGTGTCCGACACTGCGACGACTCCAACTGCATCAGACACAACTCCTACGGTGTCTGACACTGCAACGACACCAACGGCTTCAGACACACCTCCTACGGTGTCAGACACTGCGACGACACCAACGGAATCAGACACAGCAACAACTCCAACCGTTTCAGACACTGCAACGACACCAACGGCATCAGATACAACTCCTACGGTGTCTGACACTGCGACGACTCCAACTGCATCAGACACAGCAACAACTCCTACGGTATCAGACACTGCAACGACGCCAACGGCATCAGACACAGCAACAACTCCAACGGTTTCAGACACTGCAACAACACCAACGGCATCAGATACAACTCCTACGGTGTCAGACACTGCAACGACACCAACGGCATCAGACACAACTCCT